TTGCTATGTATTGCTGACTACATTTCATGGGAAGAGGTTGAGCAATATTTTGGGTTATGAGTCCAAAAGACAGCACAGTCTGATGTGAGAATGGTTTGTTCATCAAAGCCATGTCTGGCTTTGCCAGCAGGGCTGAAGGAACAACAAAGACGCCTTTCATTTCCTGTCTTTGAACCCACCTATCTTCTCTTTCTGTTGGTGGAATGTGGACAAGTGGTTAGATGCAGGACCTTTCCTCTCTCTGCCAACTGGTCCACCTCAAACACATTCATTTCCCTCCTTCTGAGGACAGAGGCTCAACCTTGGAAGAGGGAGCTGACCTGGAGTGTTAAGCAGCAGTGGTAAGAAGCTTGGGATACTGGTGGGGGATTCCAGTACTGAATATATTCCATGGTTAGAGCCTTGGAGGATTCTGCTGCATCTTGGGTCCCTCAGGCATTCCTGAGGGCCCATTGGATTGTTCTGTATTTAGCAATAAGTTACATTCAAATCTTTCAAGAGTTACTGTGTACAGTCATCGTAGAATGGCCATATGAAAGGTGGCTTGTTTCTGCACATCAGATATTTTGGAGCTTGGACAAATTTGGTAATTTGAGACACTTTTCTGGTTACTACTGCAAAATGGCTTTCATGGGAGGCATGAACAAGCCCAAGTAACCTTTCAAAAGATGGAGGTGAGGCCTGAGCTGACAACATACTAAACAAACTCACTGAACTCACGATTTTCAGCATCAAGAGAAGCAGCAGTTACAGCTTCCTGTATGAATATGTTGGTGTTTTTTTAAAGGAATGTGTGTGTGTGTGTGGGGGGGGGGGGTCAAACATCTTGATGGGCAGCAAGAAATGTATCTTTGATCATTTGGTGTTTGTGAGTACCATGTTGCCTACCCCTACTATTCTGTGACTCCATTTTATTGCCAATTAACAAAACACAAGTAAAACAAATCTTTATTAGCTGAATGTTAAGAAAACAAAAATCACTACAAAAGAATTGCAGAATTTTACTGTAAACAATGAAGAAATTAAAATTATGAATGGTTTTGGATACTTTGATTCAATTGTCATTCATCAGACTTGGAAGGGCAGCAAATGAAGAAACTAGACAAGCTCAATATATGATTTGATGGCTTTCAGGTTAAAATTGTATTCAGCTTAGTGGAGTGCTGCTTCGACTTAGGAGACATGGGTTCAAATTGCTAATTAGTCAAGACATTTACTAGATGCTCTTGTGATAATCACTGATTACTGTTTTTAGCACAGTCTGCCTCACATGATTATTATAAGGATGCTGCCAGGCAAGGTCCATGCGTGCCACCCTGAGCTCTTGGGAAGAGTGGCCTACAGCTATAACTGTTGATACAGTGAAGAACGAAAGTCAAGCCCTACTCTTGCAGACCTGGCACTAAGCCCCATTGACTGAATTATGAATAAATGCACATAGTATTATGCTGTAAGCATACTTGCAAGGGTATTATGGATCCTAATTTTATACATACATCTATTCCAACCTTGCTGGTTCTGATAAAACTGTCATTTATGCTGGGAAAGTATATTTGTGCCAACCAGTTCAGTATAAACATAGGAAAGTTCTGAATTTTGGAGAAGTTCCAGTACTTGTACACACTCAGCAATTCAAGTACATTTTAGTGTATTGATTTCTCTCTCTCTCTCTCTCTCTCTCTCTGGTTTTGAAGTCATGACCTCAGTGGTTGCACAACATAACAGAGGTTCAAAAAAATGTCTATTTTGTCTTAAGGAACATTCCAATACAGATTCCAACAGAGTTCTCTTAAACTAAAGCTGAAAGTGAATTAGGTATCTGCATCTCTCTGTCTCATTTTTCCTTTTTCAGGCCAGCACTAGTGTGCAGCCTTGTTTAGGAGCCATGCAGGGTATGCATAAGTAGGTCTCTGATAGAGAAGAATGATAAAAGCAATGTGGGAGGTCTGCAGCACATTGCACACCAAGTCAAACATTTGTACCTCTGAGAGAGGGACACAGTAAATCACGAGAATCAGTGGCATAATGGCAAATGCGTGAGCATTTTAAAACATCCAAACCATAAACATTATGCAGCCCTATTTATAATCCACATTTATTCATGATGGTAATCATGAAACAAGATACTTTATCAAATTGGAGCAGAATAGTTAGTGCAATAAATATGGTTTCCCAATATGGCTTAGTAAATAAAGTGTTATGGTCTTCATTAAGCAGCTGGGGCACATCTTAAGTGGGAAGCTTTTAAAGGGTTTGTTGTAGCTGTTCATATCGGCTAAACTCTACCAGGTATAAATGTGATGTTGGATGAATGAGTCAAATGATCAAATGACAGTGTTGTAGATGACTCACTGTAACAGACATAATGTTATGTATAGCATACCTTGCTTTGGGGGATCTTGTATGAACTGAATTACTTTTTCAATAATTTTAAATTCAGTATATTCAAGTGCTGTGAATTGTGCTGCAAGAAACTGAAAGAGTACCATACTTTATCCTCTCGGAAGGCTTCCTATCTCTCTCCATGTCTCCTCTCCTCCCTCTTCTTTGTGACATTCTTACCTTAACATCAAATTATTCTGTGCCCGTTTAGTGTTTGTATAACCTCCTGAACTTAAATGTGTTTAAGACTTGCATTGAAAATGTTACACAGTTAGCTGTACCAGCTGCAAGGGAGATTTGTGTTCATATGTTATACAGGCATACCTCAAAGATATTGTGGGTTCGGTTCCAGACCACTGTAATAAAGCAAATATCACAATAAAGTGAGTCACATGTTTTTTTATTTCCCAATGCATTTAAAAGTTGTGTTTACACTATATTTTGGTCTATGAAATGTGCAATAGCATTATGTCTAAAAAAGTGCATATCTTAATTTTGAAATATTGTGAGAATTGTAGACTTGTTTGATGCAGGGTTGCCACAAACCTTCAATTTGTGGAAAAAAGAAATATCTGCAAAGTGCAATAAAATGAGATATGCCTGTACTTAACAAGAGTTGTTACTGTTCCAGGTGTAACTTTTTATCCAAGGTCAGATAATGTTGAATTTGTGCTTGTTTCCTGGTATCTGATATGGGGTGGGGTTTTTAAACTCTGGGAAACATTTTGATTTGAACAAAAATACAGACCAGGGTAATAAAAGGGAGACCAACTTGACATCGTTATGTAGAGAGATAAGCAAAGATTAAAAGCCCCACAATTCTTTCCAGCTTTTTTGTTTAAATAAGCACTTTGTGGTCTCTTATTTTTTTCCTTGGCACTTCTCCTTAAAATAAAGCTTAAGTCTTCTTTCAACAAACAAGATTTAAAGCAAAGATGAATGCTTGGAAAATTGCTTGCTGCAGAATATTAAATCCATTTATTTGCCATTTATTTGCAATTAATTTGCAATTTTCAGAGGGTAGCTGGATCTGTTGTAACAAACAAGTATTGTGGTACTTTAAAGATGGACAAATTCATTGTGTCAGTTTCTCTTCAAAAGAAGAGAAGGGAAGGGTATCTATGTTTTGATCACTAATCTAAATTGCTTATTTGGGAGACACATTTTGCTTAATGAATGCAAAAGCCACAGAAAATAATAGAGCAACATTGTATTCCAAAGTTAAAAGAAAACATGTCCTCTACACATTTTTGCTGAATGACTGAATTGCCACTGGAGTGTCCAATGAGAATTACTATGTTCTACACCTATTTAGGTGTAAGAGAAACCTACATGAGAAATTTGCAATTCTAAGAAGTACGCTTTGGCTGTGCTTAGGACTCCTTAGTGATTTGTGTGAAGTGGGAGGTGCTGTAGCTAAGGTCGGGGAGAAAATCCAAAGTTCTATTTTGGGCAAAGGTAGGAATAGAAAGAACCCTGCTTGAAAGTCTAGGGAAATACAGCCAGTTCATGTTGACAGAATTGGACGAGATGGACCAATTGTATGACTAAATATAAGACGGCATCTCCTGTTCCAATATTTTCTCAGAGGAACATCTTTGTTTGCTTTAAAGTTCAGTCTGTGTAACATTTTCAATGCAAGTCTTAAATGTCATTGTTTCATTAAGTAAAATGAGCATAACTTGATTTTGCTAGATGGAATAGTGAGTGTGGGTTGGAATTAATTTATCTTTCCCTATAATGCTCAGTGTTTTGTTTTCCAGAAATATTGCCAGCTGGCTCCTTGACATGAATCTTGATTGCATTTCTTCCTGTTGGAGAAAGAAAATGCATCAGTGTACTCTTCATAGGACTTTTCTTCAAACAGTGAATTATTTTTCATGGTATTTGTCACCAAATCTGTTGTTTGGTGTCTGATAATGAATTCTGAAAATTCATAGCATGTTTCTGCAGACACATAAGAAAAGCATCCAGGCCAGGGATGCAAAGATAAGGCTAGAACCTGGTTTTCTTGTGTGTGCTGGATTTCTTTCCTGTGCTCAACCCTGACCTGGAAACAAGCTGAGCCTAGATCACATGTGCAAATGTTAGAAGCTTCTTTGTGCGGAGTGTGTAATTCTTTGCACAAAGAACACACAGTGCAGAATTATTTATGAAAGGACACAAAGCCCACAAGCCACAAGTGTGGAAGCAGCTCTCTTTTTGCACAGCAGGAGTATGGGTAATGTATGTACATCCTGGCTGCAAGACCTACAGAAATGTAGTAGAGATTTTCATGTGCATGAAGACTCTTCTTAGAAACAGAATAAAGGATAAAGTAATGCATAAAACATTGCTATTCAACCTTGTACCTTCCTGCTATTTTGAACCACAGCTCACAGCATTCCTGGCCATTGGCCATGCTGGCTGGGGCTGATAAAAATAAGTCTAAAACATCTGGAGGAATTGAAGTTGGGGAAAGCTCATATAACATTTTCCAGTCTGTAGAAACTGGAAATAAAAAGATAAAGGGGTTAAAAGGGGGTTAAAGAAATCTTTCTGTAAGATGTAGAATGACCTGCGTGCATTTTAAAATCTCCTTATAATTATCATATGGCTTTTCTTCTTCTCTCTCTCAGGTTTATTTCCCGCCATTCTAAATCTTGCTAGCAATGCTCATATCAGCACCAATGCTACTTGTGGTGAAAAGGGGCCTGAGATGTTTTGTAAGCTTGTGGAGCACGTTCCAGGTCGACCTCTGCGCAATGCTCAGTGCCGAATCTGTGACCAGAGCAGTGCCAATCCCAAAGGCAAGTCTTCTGTGTTGTATACTTTCCAATGGCTTTAAGACTTATGCGACTTATGGCATACAACTGATAGGATATTGAAGTGGTTTGAAGGCTGTACCTTAGGCACACTAAAATAATCTGGACTGGATCCAGATGTAATTATCTTTAGAAAGGACTAATAGAAATCAGTGAGACCTAAAGTTAGTCAAAACTGATTTGCCTCATTGATTTCAGTCAGTTGAAGTATGAATATGAATAAATATGGATTCTGTCATTTCAATTAGCTTCTTGCAGGTATGACTGTCTAGACTGCAACTATCATCACTTATTCTCTGGGTAAGATGTTTCTAGTGTCCCACAGGCATGAGATTTTTCCTGTTTTTTTATCTATGCACCTTGTTAGTAAGAGGATAATATATTCATTAGGCAACCTGAATATATCAAGTAAAAAGACACCAGTGGGAAAATGTGACCTCCGTTTCTGTGTCTTTTAGAACAACACCCTATCTCAAATGCTATAGATGGAACAAATAACTGGTGGCAAAGTCCTAGCATTCAGAATGGAAGAGAATACCATTGGGTAACCCTAACTCTCGATCTAAGACAGGTAAATAAATGTATTATGATTTTTCTAATACTTTGTTTTTAAAAAAATACATTTTTGGAATATCACAATTGTTGTTACCATCCATTAGACCAAAGGAATTTGGTTTGGGTTTTGATGGCTTATTCCACAGCATTCTGTATCACATTATGTATATCAAAATATTTACATGCATATGATTGTAAAGAAATTATGACTTTTCAGTGTATATCTGGTCCTAAGGGTTTCCTGTTCTAATGAGAATGAGTTTGAAATGAGTTATGTTTTAGTTGAGTTTGAAATTGGTGGGGATCTGAAACAAAGTAAAATTTAAAGTCAGGATAACTCTTAATAATAGTCTGTGAATGTCTAATATAAATGAAATGACACCTTTGCATGCTCTTAAATGCTTTAGACTTACTTAGTTTTGAGTTTTCCAGAAAAAAATGTTCTGTAAAAATATTTAATTGCACCAAGTGTTGCTCTTTTCATCATACTTATTTTAGGTCTTTCAAGTTGCCTATGTCATCATCAAAGCTGCTAATGCTCCCCGACCTGGAAACTGGATTTTGGAACGTTCTGTGGATGGCATTGAATTCATGCCCTGGCAGTACTATGCAATTAGTGACACAGAGTGTCTTACCAGATATAATGTAACGCCAAGGCTTGGGCCTCCTACATATAAGAGGGATGATGAAATGATCTGTACTTCCTATTATTCTAGGCTAGTTCCACTGGAACATGGAGAGGTAGGTTTTCTATTTGACCATTCCCTGTTATCTTGACAGAGATAGCAACTGTGGAATTACCACAATTTGTTCAAAATTGGCCTGTTCCAATGATAGTGCTAGCCTCCATCTGTATTTTAATTGGAATTTGAAGCGGCTGTAGTGGGTTTTATTCTGACGGTCAGAATATAGTGGAGGAAGAGAAAGATTAAGGCTCACAGTTAACTTCACTCCAAGCAGAATCCCAGAGATGAAATAGCTTCTGAGGAGGCTTATTTAGATAGCTAGTTTTTTTTTTTTTTTTTTGTTTTAGATACAAAATCACTGGAGATTTAAAAAAAAAAACATAATTAGAGTTATTAGAAGTTTCAGAGTTACTTAAACCAAGTTCCGATTGTGTTTTTTTCTAAATTCTTTTTTCAAGAATCACCTGGGTCTAAGGCAAAAAAATAAAAATGTTGGACTAAAAACATAAATTGCTCTGTGCAGCTTGAGCTGTAAAACAGGCCTTGGCATTGTTTCAAGGAGAGTGCATAATTGAAAGAGCTATGCATTGGCAAGTCAACAGTTGATTGTTCATTCTTTTAAAGCAGCTCTATTCATAGTAGTTCTCTAGTATAGATCAGAGAGGCAGTCCAGTATTGTAAGGAAAGAGTGCACTGAAAGCTGTGGCTACTTTATGTGAACGTCCACTATTATATGTTAGCAAATTGAATTCTAACTTTGTAATAATAGCTACTAAGAGAGGAATCCCAAATTCTTCTTCTTTTTTTTTTTAGCATGAAAGATGTTAGAATTCTGATAGTTTTGGGACTGAAATGATATCAATGCTCAGCATGAAAATCTGTATATTTTTTATAAGCACTTTAGCTTCAGTTGGCATAGGAAAGCAAGTAAATACTGAATTTTTTAATGGAATATACAATACTTCCTACAGACATTCCTGAAATTAATTTAGATGGATTAGTTGAGTTTTCTGGTTATTTGATAGCATAACTTGGGTCTGCTGAGCTGAAAAGGGTAAGACAAAAACACGCTTATCATGTAGCATGTATCCAAGGACTGTCTTTCATTTACTTTTGGGTAAGTGTTTCTAGCCCCAGTTTGGATTGGTGCTATGGTGATCAAGGAGGGGGGAGTGTTAAACTGTTTTTCCCTACACCCATCTTCTCATGAACTTGCCCATCTGTGTTGGGAAGGAGGATTAAAGCAAAGGTCTCCTTTAGAAACCGATCATTTACCTCAGTGATACGAATGCCTTTCTGTCCTTAGATTCATACATCACTGATCAATGGCAGGCCTAGTGCTGATGATCCTTCACCAACATTATTGGAATTCACTTCTGCACGATACATCCGCCTTCGACTGCAGCGTATAAGAACCCTGAATGCTGACCTCATGACCCTTAGCCACCATGATCCCAAAGATGTTGATCCTATTGTTACTAGACGGGTAAACCAATTACGCTTACCTGTTGATTTTAGTCTGTCATATGCGAGGGCCACAGGGCCAGTCTACCCCTTAGGCAGGGTGAGCCAGCATTCCAGGCAACAAATGTTCAAAGGCAGGTGTGACAGTGAGGTGTTGGAAGGCGTGTCATGTTCATGTGGCCTGTGCTGCACCTATAAGCTAGCTGGCTGCTCTCAGGTGCAGTGGAGGATGCTGTCTTGTCAGATTTGAAAGAAGATTCAGCTGCTTGGCTTGCAAGATTGCATGTGCAGAAGCCAGGATTGCTTGCTTGGCTTCTGTACATGCAATGGAAAGGAAGGGGTCATTCCTTTGTCCTTTAGCTCTGGCAACAAAATACCTTTGCTGATAGATTTTGACTTATTTCTGCCTACATCCCTTTTTAGAAGTACATGTGGCATTTTTCTGTATGCTGTATGTTTCAAAGTACATTTAGAATGGTGCTTATTTAGATGTAAACAACTAAAGTGTAATTACTCTAACAATGCATTAACAAACTTCTTTCTGGAAGAAGGAAATGATTGTGATCGCTGTATGGAAATTATTATTTGAACTATGCATTTAATAAGTTTTAACAGGTACAGATTTAATTTTGTTTGACAGATGACATAAGCTACTTTTAAAAGTATGACTTGCATCATCTCTGAGAGAATAGAGGCACGCCAGGATGAAGTTCACTCAGCAAGTCTTGCTTGCTTTAAGTGTTGCTTTAACCTAGCTAAGCTTTTCTGACAGCACATAAATTGATGTTATCTGTTCTCAGAAAAAGCCTGTGAATGAAGATGAGCTGGTAATATTCTCATGGACTTAAAAAATTAGTTTGAAGTTGAACATTTAACTTCAAAGTTCAGGATTTGAATAATTCCTATATCCATGCAGAGTTTTACTATCTCATACCTATTCGATCTAGCATAAGAGCTTGTAATGCTGGCAAAGGGAGAAAATCTGACGCTGGACCCCCAGTGTACACATGTACTGCTCTGGGATGTCTGTGCCTTCATTAGAACATCTGTTCATATAAATGTGCGTAAATAATTGCCAAGTAACAAACAGTTGTGGAAACTCTAGCTTTCTTAAAACCAATAACAGCAAGAGCAGCCCTGGAATATTGTCACTTTGTATTTCTTATATTAAAGGTTACCTAACTTTATACACTGAATTTTGCTTTGTTTAGTATTACTATTCAATAAAGGATATCTCTGTTGGAGGAATGTGCATTTGCTATGGCCATGCTCGAAGTTGTCCTTTGGATAAAGAGACTAAGGTATGTATCTTCTCCATGTCCCATACTTACCTTCTTAGTAAAAGTCTCTCCATAAAACACATTAATCTCAAAGGCACAACTTTCTGAATGCTACTAAAACTTATTTATTTATTAAAAGCTTTTGTATGCCGTCCTATTATACAGGATCTCAGGACAGCTTAAAACTTGGTTAAACAATCCTTAGTTCATTATTATGGCAGTGTAGTGGGACATGTGTGTGGCATTCTTCCTTGCCTTCAGTCCTGTCAGCTATGCAGAGAATGTGCTGGTCTGCACAGCACGACTGCAAGTCAACACATCTGCATTGGTACAAATGCTTGACAGCCCAGCTAGGACCAGACTTCCATTGGGGCCTGTTAGAACTATCTAGAGATGCTATTTCAGGTTGTGGACTCCCTATTCAAGTATTTTACTCTTGCTGTTATGGAAAACTTTCTCTTTCAGCTTTTTGTCCACACAGACACCTTCACATACAGTTAAACCTTCATATATAAACACACAAATGGGTATACACAACAAGCACAAGGAATGTGTAAACATTAGGGATCCATACAATGTAAACACACATGGAATCTGACTCTTAGTTTTTCTCCACCATCTCTGCTACTTTTGTTTTTGTTATGTTGGTGCTGTTATTCTTAAGAAGAAGAGACCTTCAAGACTGTGTACAACAGAGCTGCTGTAAAGCCATGAAGGTGTTTGACAACAAAGTTGCCAACCAGTATTATCATTGCAATGTACTCTGATTTCTTTCGCATCCTGGTAGTTCAGAAATCTTTCTATTTCCATATAATCTACTTTCTTTTCCTCAGGAAAACAAGAGGTATTCAGACAACAAGATAATCCACATTCAAACGATGAGTTGGGATTGAATGTAGGTTGCTGCTAAACTGCAGATTGTTGCTGAAATGTTTTGTCTGAGCCCAGCTGCACTAAGAAACTATGGCTTGTAAACCATGAACAATCCACAATTCACCACTCAACAATAAACCTTAGGTTCTCTTTATGGGTTAATTGTGGTAAACAAACTCTGATTTGTTAGCCTGGCTGGGGTCAGACAACATAATAACCCATGCTTGAGCATCAACCCAGAGTCCATAATCAGCTCTTAAGCATGGAGTATCATGCCATCTGAACTTAGTAAATCTGGGAGAGGTTCCATTGCAGGCAGGCCCTAATAAATCAGTGGGAGGTGCAAAAACAAAAGCTTACAGTGCAGCTCAATCTATTATAGCTGCATCCATATAAGGATTTATAGTTGCACCTTGTACATATAATACTCTGCTTGGAGTCTTTGTAGATCAGTCATCTACTCTGGGTATGGCTACTCCTTGGTATTTGAAGAGTTTTTCTTTGTCCTCCATTTACTTCTCAGTTCTTTCCCCCAACATCCCACTATTTGTACTATTGAGCAGCTTGTTAGCTAACTCCGCAAGCTATTTATTGCAGTGTTTGGGTTCATTGGAATCCTTCTGCCCTTCCCAGATTGACCTACATGAACTGGTCATTTGCAGACAAGAGTCAGACCAGATCTAAAAATTTAAAAGATCTTTCTGGTATTTTAGAATCTCAGGTTAAGAGATGGTTTGATATCATGACAACAGGTACTTGAGCTATGTTATAATTTGTTCCATTTAGAAACTGCAGTGCCAGTGCGAACACAATACTTGTGGTGAAAATTGTAATGAGTGTTGCCCTGGCTACCATCAGGCTCCATGGAGACCAGGAACCATTTCTGCTGGCAACAAATGTGAAAGTATGTACTAGTATAGTTATAAGTCTATAAATGTTTGCCTTTATGATGATAAAATATGTAATCCAGTTCAGCGATTAGACTGACCGATCAGGTCAAGCTCTCTTTTTGATGTTTCTAATATTAGTAAGTCTGAGCTATTAAATTTGGACCAGGCTTTATCTCTGAAACTAGGAGATAAAGTCTACAGACCTGCCATTATTCTTGGAGACATCACTGTCAGGCAATCACTATCACTTTTGCATCTTGCTGCCTATGGGTGATGGCAAGTGGCACTTCTTTTTAAATGGCATTTTTTCCAGACATTTGTAATTGCACTCTGAGCCCCTGATTTTTAACTCGCAATAAGAAAGCCCCATGTGAGATCCCCAGCATGTGCACACAACTAGATGTGAGACCCACTACCATATTTTCTGATGGGAGTTAGATGTCGAACAAGTATCTTTACAGAAACATCTATAAGTACAGAATGGTAGTGTTGAAAGGATTCTCCACGGTTGTCTAGCTGATGCAGGAAAGCAGCTACTATATCATGGGTGATACGTGGCCATCTAACAAATAATTTCCTGAACAGTCTTAAACATTGAATTGCTTGTACAGTCAGCAAGGTCTTCCATTTTTTTTCTAAACCATTTTTTTGACAATGTGAATCTGTTGGTTTGGGTCCTACTCTCTGGACCAAAAGAAAAACTTCTTCTGTGTGGCAGCCCTTAAGATATTTGAGGATAAACTGGCCATAACTGGCCAATTATATATTTATAAAGAAGTTTAGATTCTGCTGACTTACAGAAAGTGTGGAAAGCAAGCAAATAAAAAATCGTGCTAATCATGCTAATATTAGTATGACTATGTACTTTCAGAAACTGTTGAACATTTGGATCAGTGAGAACTGCAGAAGATGGTTAAAAAGGACTGTTGTATATTTGTTAGAGAATGCATGGTCAAATATAGTGTTAGTATAATGCTTTATAGTATATAAAGTGTCTTTCAACATGCTTGTCTTTACTGTTCTACTTGTTTAACTAGTTGTATAAAATAGAAATTAAAATGGATTTCTTTATTGATTTTTAGGATGTAACTGTCATAACAAAGCAGAAGATTGTTATTATGATCAGAATGTGGCAGACCAGAAAAAAAGTATGAACATTTATGGCCAGTTCAAAGGAGGTGGAGTTTGCATAAACTGTACCCAGTACACCTCGGGAATAAACTGTCAGATCTGTAGTGATGGATACTATAGGCCGCATAAAGTAAGAATTTTCAGAATTGTGTTTCATTGTATTCTGCACTTTGTAGAATTGTGTTTCATTGCTCTGAATTATACTGGCATAGTTTGTTGATCTTTGCAAATACCACATGATTAAAAAACCATGCCGTCATGATGAAAGGAAAGCTATCAGCAGAAATGTGTCTGAATAAGCTGAGGGTGTGTCTCTGGAAAAAAAGAAAAAAAAAAGACAATTTCTTTTTTGGGAGTGAGAAAGATAGTTGCTTTTGGTACACATTCTCAAGGCCTGTTGTTTGGGATTCAGAGGAGGAGGAGGAAGCATGGAGGTGGGCTTTGAATGTGGGCTGATTTCAGATGTTGAGATAAGCGCCTTTGCTTCTCTCATGTCAAGGCCAGCCAGGTGTGCAGGCAGCCTCTGAGGTGACCAAGATGTACAGCTAGTGGGAAGGGGCTTGGAACAGGGGAGTTTCTCAGAGACAGATGAGGCAGTTGTGGCTCTTCATTGACCCCGTGACATGACATTCGTGGGGGGGGGGGCAGCCCAATTAGAGGATCAGGATGCAGAGAGGAGGTGTGCTCACTTTCAAAAGGCCCTTCTGAAAGGATAGGCCCCAAACATACTCATAAGGAGAGTTCCTAGAGGCAAATGCTAGACCGGGTTCAATTAACTTCTCTGTGCATGCTGAGAGATTCCTTCTGGGTGTTTGTACTTCTGTAAAAAGCTTTGGTCAATACAAAACATGTTTCAAGCAAGGCCTGTTGCTTTGAATGTGTGACGAAAGAAAACCTAGCTCATGAGCCCCCATATATGTTACTGCAGCTGTTGGTCCTAGTCTATAAACAAGACATTTGCCAAGGGAATGATCTGGCTTTCCGCAAGGTCTGCCTTTATGGCCCAGATGCCTGGTTGGTTCATCGTCCACTAGCTCTCCTCCTGGTTGTAGAAGCAGCAGTTTCCTCTGGGACCTCTGTCCTCCATGCAGTCTTCCCTTATCCCACACCCACACCCTGGATAACGTTCAGGCCACATGAACAGAATTAAACAGCAAGTTCATGCCTTTTAGGATCTATCTCTGTTCAATTTTCTGAAACTTTTAACCATCTTCCAACTAGTATTTCTGTTTCAAAATTTCCTGCAGCTATCAGAGCAGCTTGAATGCCACCACATTCCTTCCTATGATCCCCTTGGCTGTTTCTTTCCACGTAAGCTAACCATGTGCTTGAATTAGTCTCACTGCTACTTGGCTTGCTGTGTCATAAAATCATTACTTTCAGATAGGAACAATTAAGCATTTCCAGCAGTATCTGGCAGTTATTAGTAACTAAATGTTTTCTTCACTTGTTCCAGGTGTCTCCCTATGACAATAATCCTTGCCTTCCCTGTGGATGTGATTTATTTGGGTCTTCCATTTTTAACTGTATTAAAGATGATGATCATGCTGATCCACAGCATGGTAAGTGATCAGAAAATGCCCTTTCTCTTAAAAAAAGTGGGTGAACCAGTATTTCCAAAAACTGGAGTTATTAATGTATGTATGAATAACAGGGGGAATCATAGAAAGAAGGTAATATTCAGACATGTTTTGATCCCAACTGTATCTTATATTAGCATTAACAGGACATGTGAGCAATCATTCACATATACTGAAACAACACCTGTTGGGATCTTTAGACTAAAACTGTTACATGCTGTGTCAGAAATAATTGTATTCAGGTGGGGAAAAGGACACAAAAGGCCAAATAATTATTTGGTGTATTGCAAAGAATAAAAGAGAAAGAATTATGTGAACCGCATTCAAATGGGATGACCAATTATTTTGCTCAATCTGTAGAGAAGGGGAAATACATGGAGAGTGGCACTTAGCAGTGTCAGCCTGTTTGTGAAGGGCAGAGAAGAGTTTGATCCCTAATGAGACAGGAGAATAAAAAGAGGCTTATAGGCACGGATGGACTTAACAAGTTTGGAAATACAGGCCAGAATGTAAATAACATGGCCTGCCTAGATTGGTGTAGCTTCTTCAAAGTTAGGGAGTATGTCCCTAATTTTGACACAGGGCAATGGGTATTAATGGATTACTAAGTACTTATGGTGTGTTTATTAACTGGTTTCCTAGCGTTTCCCACAGGTACTTTTCTCTTTCAGACTCTAAAGAAGCCAGTTGGTAGATGTTCTCAGGTGTTTTGATCACAATAGGAACTTGGGCAAGAGTAAAAGAGATACATATTCTGGAAATCCCAAACTTGCCAACCAAATCATGAGAGCCACTCCCTTAGTCTGTCTATCATAATAGAAGAATGTTGGTGTACACTGTATCTTTGCCTTGATTTTATAAAATTCCAGTTAGAGTAGCTTCTTGGTAGAAATGGAATCATGCTAGGGAAATGTGCAAAAGGATTGTGAAGTTGACCCTTTTGATAGCAACGTGGCATCACTGGTGTGGGTGAAAAGCTGAAAAAATAATATATAATGAGATAAGATTGTGAGATAGGGTGGGACTGAGGCATTCTGACTTGTTGATTTCCGATTGATTTTTAAAGATCTGGTATAGAGAGGTATATACATTACTTGATCATGGTTGAGAAATTCTGTAATACGGCAAGCAAAAATAGATTAAGTTACCTTTTGCCAGGCTTCTTGCATTGACTCACATGAATTGATTGATATCAGTTTCTCCAGCTAGGCAGTAAAGTTTAGCCTTGATTGTACTAATACAATCATGTTAGAGGTCATTGTTCTAATACAATGAAAGCCAGAGCCTGATAAACAGACCTATTTGTGTTAAACGGTCTTCCTGCTTCTCTTTTTTTTTCATTCCCATTTTTCAAGGTGTTCAGCCAGGTCAATGTCACTGCAAGGAGGGTTACACAGGAGAAAAATGTGATCGTTGTACCTTTGGCTATAGAGGTTATCCACACTGCATACGTTGTAACTGTAGCCTGGTTGGCAGCATTAATGATGACCCATGCACTGAACCTTGTCTTTGTAAAGTAAGTTTATAGTTTTGGTTTATGAAGAAATTTGAAATGAGATCTGTAAATTAATAAGAAAAATATCTTTTTTTAATGGCAAGGATCACATCCACTGTGTAGCCACTAATCGGAGCTTAAGCATTAATCTCTCTAGATAGGTAATTAATTTAAGATACATGCTAGATCTTGCAAAGCAATGAAGGGTGAAGTCTGAGCAAGACCAAGTAAATGCAATTGTGGCTAACTCAGAATAATATCACACACTTAAATCAAAAGCAGCAGCATGTTTGGCACTAAGGATGGAATTGGAATCATGAATTGTTCACTTTTACACCGTTGTCAAAGAATAAAAGCTATAACTTGCTTCTCCCAACCCTGCTGGGATCCAACATGGTCTGTATTGAACTAAGAACCTGCAGTCAACATGGAAATTCATTTTTCCAAACCTAAATTAAAACATTTAGTTTTACTTGTATCAAAATAAGAAAATAGTCAGATGGATGATTGAAATCATCATCAAATAGACACAAAGACTGAAATGCCATACATTTGGAGTAAGTTTTATTGAACTCAATGGGACTTGCTTCTGAGCAGACGTATATAGGATTGCACTGTAGATGTAACCCATGACATCACTTCCTAGTTGACACAAGTGTATGGCGTGGGAAAATCCTTAATATAGACCATTCCCCTGCACTAGCACTGCATTCATGGGCATAAACGTTGGCTCCAGATTGGAGAGGGGGTGCCTTGGGCAAGACATCTGCAACTGACGAGTCCTTCAGTGAGTCTATTTCCTTTCTGCTCCTTTATCAGGCACAGAATCAGTTAATAAGCCAACAATGGCATGCATTTCTCCTCCTCTCCTCCATGTTTGTTTGGGTCAGAATGAGAAGCAAGAAACTATGCAGGTTGCAGTGGTGGAGGAGAGGAACAGATGTAGGAAGCTTCTCTGCTGGGATGCATATCCTTGGTGGGGCCCCAACGATGGCAGCCCTGGGTATGCTCTCCATAGCCTGGTTCCTGCTAATAGTGATACAGCAGCTGAACCATATTGCTGAACATTTATAATATTGATAAATGAAGAGATGTTAATATAGATAAGGCAGAATGATAGCAATAGGGCAAAGTGGATGTTTAGTGTTCTGGCATGTGAATGATTGTAAAAATTTGCACAGTTTGTTCAGTCAATATCTAATTTGATAAGGTGTACAAGCTGACTAAATTTCAGAATAACCAAATGAAAAGCAGCTTAGCTACATCGACTTTAAAAGTGTGGTTGGAAGAATAGGTGTGTGAGAAGAACTCCAGTAGTGAGCTAGGAATGCATGGGAGCCCGAAACAGTCCATTCTTAATAGAGATGTTGATACTGACCAGGATAAAGGTACTTATGAGAGAGACTGTGTTTGTGTGTTTGCATGCATTTGCTTGTGGGTCTTTAGCATAGTTGAACAAAGAGACTTCCCCTGGCTTACCAGGGAGGAATAGACTAGATCAGAAAGGATATAGCAAGAAGTAGTAGCCTAGCTTACAAGAGTTGTCCACTGAAAGCCCACGCCACCACCAGCAGCAGCAGGGACTATAGTCACTCTTGTGTTCTCTGAACAGGATGAAAGGAGACAGGAGAAGTAGGGGATGGTTCTGCAGCTAGGTGACAACTCCCTCGTGCTATCCTCTGCTTCAGTATTGCACCAGAACTGCATAGAAAGCTTATTAGAGCTTCAATAGGTACAAACATAGCATAGCATAGGTACACGGAGCCTAAGTTGTCAACAAGCATGGTATGTGAAACGTGTAACTTTTTGCCACTTGTGGTGAAAGTCATAGCATAAAATTTTCCTATGTTGCCACAGCTACTACTAAAATGTAGTGGATGTTGGCTATTATTCTGTTGATAGTAAAATAAATATATCTTTTCCACAGGAAAATGTAGAAGGTGAAAATTGTAACCGCTGCAAACCAGGGTTCTACAATCTCCAAGAAAGAAATCCCCATGGTTGTACTGAATGTTTCTGTTTTGGGGTTTCTGATGTCTGTGAAAGCCTTCCATCGCCCATCAGTCAGGTATAATGTGCCTAATGTTCCATAACCAAACCCCTTACCAGTTTTCCTCAGGCTTTCCCATAAATGGGCTTTGTGTCTCCGTTTTCTTTTCTGATAGGCAGTGCACGTCAGTCTACTTTAAAATCAATGGGTCCATCCATGTTAGAAATACTTTCATCAGTTTTAGGTGGCTTTTGGGCTGCCCTGGGAAATAATACTTTTCCTTCACACAAGTGGTGAGTACTGCTTGCACAGTGCAATTGGCAGGGCTGGAGGCAATCACCACTGGATACTTCCCAATGAAATGAAAGAGAAGAAAAGAGGACAGTTCATTTCAAAACTAAGCAATGTGTCAAGATACCCTGTCTACATAGTTCCCTTCTGTCCCCCTAGGTTTAAATTCAGCTTTAAGGTCTTAAGTGAATATTCTTTTTTTCATCATTTTATCATTCACTTGAGGCCTGAAAATGAGTTGCATAGTTAGGGTGTAGAACATGGGTCCTCAAACTATGGCCCGGGGGCTGGATCTGTCCCGCCATGTCCATCTATCCAGCCCGCAATGCCCATTTGGACCCACCACACGCATACCTGCCGCTGCCCACCTCGCCCCGCGTGTGGGGAGGCAGCGGTTTGCTCACTCAGAGAAAACAGTCGCCAAGCGAGCAAGCCACTGCCTCATGCATCCACCTCATGGCACAGGCTAGCCCCGCCCGTGCCTCGCCTCAACTTGTCCCCCCTGTGCACCCCGCTCCTGCACTGACCGCGCGCACCGCTGGCACCGCCTTTCTGGCCTCTGCCCACTGCCAGCAAAACTGGCCCCTTGGTGGAAAAGTTTGAGGACCCTGGTGTAGAAGGTTACTTTATAGTCCAACTGATCCAACAAGGACTCTTGACTACATGGAACCAGTTTTTTCTGAGGGAAACCTATCATGGTGGTGACTTGTATATCAGGCTTTAGTGAATGCACAATGCATGCCCCGCTTGTCGCAGTCAAGAACCTCTATTGACTTTTGCTCAGCTGTCTTTGGAGGATAATCATGTTCTACGCTTCCACTCCACTTTAATATGCAACTAATATTCTTCTACAGAAGAAAATAAGGCATTTTCATATTTTTAACATGCAGTTGTATATGAATTAACTGTCTTGATGAGTTGAATGATATTTAATAGTGTTCTACTTCTTTTCCTTAAGGTATCTTCTATGGCTGGATGGCTGGTGACTGCTCCATATGTGTCAAGAACCGTACAACCTCAACTAGTCCAGTCTGATGGTCTCCATCAAATACGTATTAACAACAACGAAGCTGCAAAAATACTAAAGTCTCCTTATTACTGGTCTGCACCTGAGTCGTACCTTGGAAATAAAGTATGTATCCTAGCAAACATAGTTTGATTTTTACTGCAATCCTTTATATTGTGTGAATGTATTTACAGTATTTATGTATTTCTCCATTTCTAGACAGATACTAAAGTGGTGAATAGTAAACTACTGTACAATACTTTAAAAACAGAGGGTTGTAGTGTTACCTTTTTTTGGAATATAATGTATGATATATCAACATTTAATTCCTGCACAGTCCTCGTCAAGGATACATTTTTGTTGGATGATGAATGTTTTAGGTTTGCTTGTGAATCTTGTTGAATTGGTAGCAGTAACATAGCCTCTGGATGGCTTCTTTCTTGCCACCTCCCTCCCAACCAAAGAGCTGGTACATGATGGAAATTAGGTGGCAAAAGGTATGTAATACCCCAAATTTGCAATTGCATGTGGACAGTGTTCCTCCAAATTAAAACATACTGGATGGGATTTTTTAGAGTTATGTATGTTTTTTTCTACATCTTGCTCAGTAATGATCTGTAGAAAGAACGCGAAGAATTTGTTCCTGAACATTTGGGGATTTATCTGCAATGACAAGACTATTCAGGTTAAAATAAGTGAGTCTGGAAGTCAGTGTGCTATTTTTCAAGAAAACTGTAATCATTTTTACAATTTGAAAATCACATGATCAGACAAACATGTGGGTTTAACAGCAGATAAAGAAAATGCGTATATATTGTTTCTTCTGTGGTTTATTTTTCTTATGTTTAATCTGTCCTTTAGACATATGTTATACATACATTCTTAATAAGAAAAACTTGCTGGAGTTAGAAAGTTAGGATGTGAAAATGATTTAGGTTATCGCATATGAGTTTTACAGTTCAGCTTTATACAAAAAGGCAAGCAAATAAACTGTAAAATGTTTGAGTTTTTTTATGCTTCCAGCTCACTTCCTTTGGTGGTTATTTGAAGTATACTGTGTTCTATGACATTCCTATGGATAGTGCAGATAGTGGCTTGGTGTCCAACGTGGATGTTATCATTCAGGTAATTCCAGATTATGAGCATTAACATGATTGCTTTGGATCCAAATAGCAGTTCTGATCATGCACATGTCTTGTGGTGTGCTGAGGAGATTTGCTGATTTTTCTTTTCATGGAATGCTCTGCCAGAGCTTTCCAGGACCATTTGGAGATGGCTCTTTATGAGGTTGGAAAACATCTGTAGAAATGCAGCCCTTTGGCTCTTGACTTTTAGTTTTCGTTTTCCTTTTAAATTAAATGTTTGCAGTTACATATTTGTGTTTCTTACCTAATTTAGACAGAAAGAAAAGTCCTAGTCATTTAAGACTTCTTTCTGCCTGGCTGTGCATAGGATCGTACTCTTAAGCATGAATTGGAAGGTTGCTCTTCCAGGCACTTAACGGATTGCTTGAGGGAAGCCACATTCTGTTATTCTCAGTCCTTTTGCAGTACTGGTAATAATACTGATATTATGGATAGATGTGAAGATTTCAACAACGTGAAGCTCTTTCAACCCTCAAAACCACATTTAAATGAGTTTTGTGAGCCTCTCCCTCCTGCCCTTCCTGCCTCCCTCTCAAACTCATTACTGAATTTGGGCATTTAGTACATTCTGGTTTAGCATGGATATTTATTGTTGTATTCACTGCACTGTTTTCAGTTTATAGAATTAAAAATCACTTCTTCATATTTGCTTTTATGTTTTTACTATTTGGGCAAGACTACAAAAGCTTGTTTAAAATCCTGCAAATATAGCTCTCCCATTGAAATGGCTATGCACATATCAGTTGGGGGTGAACTGGTACTTTTGAGCTGCAATCTGATATCCCTTACACAGTGAACGCAGTTGGGCTTCTCAGAAGGCAGAATAAGACTGCACACTTTGTGTTCACTTGCCCAATTCAAAGTATTCTTGATTTGCTATGAAAATCATATGACAGAAGAACGCAGTCAAGGTTGCTAATATCCCAGTACTAAACACACTGTATGGAAACAGATTCCATTGATTTAACTAGGAGCTATTTCCATGTGATTTGCTCTAAACTGGGAACCAAGTGTTTCTGTACATGGAACAAGGTAAGTAAAAATATATTATCAAATGTACTTGAAAAGGTAGCATCTATGTATCTGTGCAATTTTGTGTGCTACCTTTTGGAAAACAAGGAAGGTGGTTTACCAGAATCAATCAATCAGCAGGTAAAGCAATAAAATAAAGAGGTAGTAAAACAGTAACAGCAACCTTAAAACCCATACTAAAAGAAGACAAGCTAAAAGAGAGATTGTAGATAATTACAGTACTTTTGTTTTAATAAAAGAGATATTCTTTGTGCGTGTTTCATAAATTGCACAAATTAAACTGATCATTTCAATTGAAGCTTGAAACAATCTATACTCACTATAACTATCATTCTAGGGCAATGGACAAATTCTGTCTACAAGATCAGAAGGGCTTTCCTTGCAACCGTATGAGGAGTATTCTAATTCTGTGCGGCTTGTTTCTGATAACTTTGTTGATTTTACTACAAAGAAGTCAATAGATCGAGATGTGCTTATGACCGTTTTAGCAAATGTTACCCATCTTCTGATCAGGGCCAGTTACAACATTGCAAAAAAGGCTGTATACAGGTAACAAAGTTCCGTTTTAGAAATAGGTTTTATAATATGCCAGTGAAATATTTTAAATAAAAATGTGTTGGCATGATTCCTAAAATGTCAAAGCCTGATGTTATGTTTTTTGTAATGTTCTGCTAGCAAAATATTAACACTAAGTATGTTTGAGTGTGGTCTGCCGTGCTTGTAGTGCTAAATCATGAGTTGCCAAGGTGTGCACAGTATCCGTAAGCCCAAGAGAACCCTCATGCTTGAGCATTTTGTTTCCTCTTCTCCTGCAGGGCAAAGCAGAGGAATAAGCAAAACTTAAGCTTTGCTTCCCCTGATTTCTGGCTTGTTGTTACATATGTAGCAGGAATTATGGTTTAAAATAAACTCTAGTCAATTAATAAACAAGCCACCTTTAAGACACATGTGAAGAACCTGGCTTGGCCATAGAGTTTGTGTCAGTTTCCTGGAGCACCTGCAGGGGCATGGGAGCAGCAATTTCACATAGGCTGAAGTGGGTTACAGATGGCCACTCTCTTTAATGGTTACATAAACTCACATAATTCATTGTGGCATAAAGTCCAGTCAGTGGCTACACCAATCCAGCTCATGTTGGAATGGCAGGAGTATTGCCTCCCCTGCATTGGCATAAACTGGGGTGAGAACCCTTGTTTAGTCCAAGCACCAGATGGTCACCTGATGAAGCTGGTTTTCCATGGTAGGTGTACTAACTTAAATGTTTCTACTTCTTTTGTGGTTACTTGAATTCTGCCAGGGGTTCTAACTTTGGGTGCTGTAAGGATAAGCTTGCTAGTAGAGGTGAACCTGTGGAATTCCTCAGGTCTGGAAAGAATATAACTTCTTTCTCATACATCACTTTCTATATGTCCAGGCATTCTTAGCTGAAATCACACAGGTCAGACCAATCTTACTTGGTTCTTGACAATTACTGGATATTTCAATTCCTGAAACTTCATTCTGGGCAATCTAAAGTCCACTTATGCGTTAAGTGGGCTTTATCCATACCTCTTGCCCATGGATTGACCTTTCTGTGTTAAAAATACTGCACCTCTGGCTGTGATGATTCAGGGGATTAAAGAAATTGACTTGGTCTAGCACATGGAGTGTTGGCAAAGCAACTCATTTACAAAAGACCACTTGCAGAGCAAGAAGAATGGGCCTTCCTTTCTACTCATCTGGTGTGGGGTCTTTAAATTAGAAAGCACATGCTTCTGAATTCTAATGAACTGGCATTTTGTTAATCTTTATTCTGCATTAGACTATATGGAACAATGAGACTCTGTCTGAACAAATCTCATATGCTTATGAGGCGTTGGTGCACCACTCTTTGTGGCTATCAGAGTATTCTAGATTTTTGTTGAAATGCCATACTAGTAAGATAGTGTTCAATAAAAACAGAAAACTGGAAATTATTATTCTGAGTTCTCTACCTGTTACTGAATCTTGTTTTCTAAGTATCTCAGTAAAAAATAGTCCCATTTCTGGGTATGATCAACATCTTAAAAGCACACTGTCTTTGACCAGCAAAGACTCGGGAACAATAGGAGTGGGCTATAGGGACATATATGTGCTATGTTCTAGTTCTTGAAGCTCTTCCCTGACCCTAGTGCATTTCCTTGTACTCATCCACCTTGTACTCATAGGAGGTCATGGTCTGAAAGGAAGAACTACCTGTATCAGTGGAGGTTTGCATACAATTAGGAATCCTTTAACTTACAAATACAGAGTTATGAAACCATTCCATGAAGTGAGTGGGGCTAGATCGCTCCTTCACTTCAGATGTTTAGTCAACCTAGCTTAATTTCAGAACAGGGATTATGTGTATGCTAAAACTGAGCAAGCACTTGGAAGGTCATTCATGTGCATAGTTTCAGTAAGTTGTAGTTTGGTTATCTATTTGTAGCTATAGCAGAACTCCACATATCTGGAGATATGAAATACTGGTCTAGACCCAGCAGAATAATTTGGAAAATGATATCCAAGGGTTATTAAAACATACCAAGAGACTAATCCCAAGTACTATCATAAATGTATGTGTAGTACTGATTATTCAGGTCCTCTGATGCCAAAGCTGTTTACTTTTAACAGTGCTATGGGAAGGACTCTGCTAGAACATAGGCTTGGTATATGGAAGGTCTTTGCTTCAGTCTCCAAATAAAAGTTCTGGTACCAGGTGATGCAAAATGCTTCTGAGAGCCACACCAGCCAGAGGCTGGGTTCAGACTACATGATAATCCACATTCAAGAACTGAGTATGGGTTGAGTGTGAGTTGTTTAAATTATGGCATCTTCCTTGACAAACTATGGCTTGTTATACATGATCAACCCATGAAGAAAATCCATAATTCATGGGTAGGTTGTGAACTCTGGTTTGTCGTATGGATTGGCTTCAGATGACATGATAATCCGTGTTTCAACCACAACCCACTAACAAGCCATATTCAACTCTTAATGTGGGTTAGTGCGCTGCTGGAAGCCTGTCGGAGTGTGTAGAACCCGGGTGGCTGGATCCATAGTCTGGCAAAAGCAGCTTGCTTTGGTTCTTATAGCATATTAGAACTCCTAACCCCTAACATTAAATACATCAGAGAGGAGCCACAGCTGTGGTGCTAGAACAGATACTTTGCATACTGAAGGTCCGAGGTACTTTGACACCCTCAGTTAAAGGCATCAGGTAGCAGGTTATGTAAAAGAGCAATGAGGGACTGTACATACACAGCTAGTCTGACCTGGTATTAGGCAGGCTCCTGCGGTGTTCTTTGCTCATGTTTTCTGGATTGTGGAGGACAAAGGATCTTGCATATTATTGGAAGAAGGTGTTCCAGTACAGTAAATAATGCCAACTTCGTATCAACTATAGTGGCACTCCATTTGCTGCCAGAGAATATAGATTACGTAATGGAGTGTAATTATAAGTGAATTTAAAAATTATTAACAAGGAATGGTCTGAAACTTTCCTTCTGTTTCACTTCTGAATATGCATCAGTGCTATTCAAACTTAGCTTCCTAGTGATTCATTATTTTCAATTCAGTTTCCCTTTTTTTCCTTTTTCCTTTCAAGTATTTCAAGAAGGAATGATGTGATGCTATTTTGTTACAGGTTAGATTCTGTTACTTTGGATACAGCAAATGCTGATCTCATAGACATGTCTTCAGCTGCAGATGTGGAATATTGTGAATGTCCTCAAGGCTACTCTGGGCTTTCTTGTGAGGTAATCTGTCATTATTTTAAGTATGGGATGCAAGCACTTGTCAGTACAGTTGCTACAGGAAAACAGTATTTTATCTTGCAGTTTTTTTCTTTTAAACTGGAGAGAACAAGGCTTTTAATTCTAAATAGTTATGCCAACTTTGCATCACTTCCGCATCCTGAAAAATAGTCTTTCCTGCATTTTACACTGTTTAGCTAAAGAAGTAGAGGTTCCTTATTCATTTTAAAGCTGAAATCATGCCACTGTTATTTTTTTTCTTTGGAAAAAAAGTGGAAGTTCTTTCTTTCCATGATATGCAAAAGAAAGAAAGAAATTTCTGGGATAAATTGAGTGCTCCAGACAGAGCTCTGTTTCTGCACTGGGGGTTTTATTTCCCTTCCTTTCTCCTGATGCCCCTGTACATCCTCCAAATCTGCTTGGCCGGGTCTCCCAAGGCTATGCTAAGAAACAGGTTGTTGAAGTGCTGCAAGAACAAGCTTTTAAGATATGCTCCCTGCTGTAATTGCTTTTCTTTTTCTTGTTACATATTTTAGTCCTGTCTTTCTGGATACTATCGAGTAGGTGGAATACTCTTTGGAGGGATTTGCCTGCCTTGTGATTGCAGCGGCCATGCAACAGAATGTGATATCCATGGTGTTTGTTTTGTAAGTTACCTTGCACCCTGCCCACATTCTCATTTCTGAAAAGCAAAAAAGTACACGTAAATAAAATTTTGAGAGCAGACACTTTTTCTAATGTTACCCCTCAAAGCAGAGAAGCAAACTTTTTCACTCTGTTTCTGTAATTTTTAAAGGCTGCTTTTGTGCATGTTCAAGGAATTGGATGCCTGCCTCCTAAATAAGGCTAGAACTAATATAAAACACAGTTTTGTATGAAAATTCAGGAAGGTCGTAGCTTTTTCCATTCAAGTCAATGTCAAAATGCCTGTGGGTTCCAGTAGAAAAATGTTGGCATATTAATCCTTGATTGCTATATAAGTTCCATTAAAATCTGTACTAGAAACGTAGTCTTGCCTTATCCCCTTTTGCAAATGACAACATCAAAGTGTTCTGAAATAATTCTGCTAATTGATCATGGATAATACTATCAGAACGAATTTTGTCCATGCTGCAAGTAACGCAGCTAGTTCATGAAACCAGATGTACACATCAGAACTGGTAAAAGGCATAGCCATTAATTGTTCCTGCTGACTTAGAAGCAGATATTTCTAGGTGGGGGTATTGGGTATGTGTGGGTGTCTGTTCTTTGAATCCTAATATCGCATGCTGTTTCATGCAGAAATCCCTTGGGGAATAAAATTCTACCCTGGGTAAGTACCAAAATGTGTTTTGCATGTTTCACAGGCCTGTGAACACAACACTACTGGCCGCTCTTGTGATCAGTGTCTGCCTGGGTTCTATGGAACGCCATCCAGGGGAACTCCAGAGGACTGCCAGCCATGTGCCTGCCCTCTGCAAACTGCTACAAACAAGTAATCTGCTAGCTGGAAATCTTGCCTTACATTCTTGGCAATATCAGACAAATAGCTCCAGAAAGAAAGAGAAAGAAAGGGAGTGCAGTGGGGTGCAGGGAATCAATCCAAAGGGAAGGTGTAAAAACATGACCAAAATTCCACTGCGCTCCTCAGGAATGATAGCCCTTGTTTTGCGAAGACAGGGAGCTGGACTTTTTCCAATATTTTTCTGAACACAAATCTAGCCCTTGGGGCTTTCCTTGAAAAGGTAGTCTTGTAAAGTGCTAATGCTAGAAAATCTCCTAGTGCTTTGCTGTTCATGTGAATCAAATAAATTCAGGCTACGTCTTGTCCAGCTGCTAGACATGGGGAGCCATCCAGCAAACTGCTTGCATGCCAGAGGCTTCTGTGTACCCATTTGGTTTCCCTTCAGAGCATCTCTATTCTTAGCACTGCATCTTTTCGAGGTTTGAAGGGGGTGTTCATGATGCAGAACACAGGAGCTCTTTTTGAGAATCTAATCCGTATCTTTATCTGGGTAAACCATACTAGCTGTGGTTTTTTTTCTAATGATTCATTTGTAATCCATCTTATTCATAAAGACATTTATTACTTCAGTGAATGCATGGTACATGTTTGTAAGGAATGATTATAGATTTTAAGCTATATTGATCACAATTCCCAACGTATCCCTGAAGGAGTATCTCCTCCCATATCTGGCTACCCAGATCCTAATGTAATCTTCCAAATGAGCCATCCAAGGTGCACGGCTATGAGAGAGAGGGCCCTTTGATTTGGGCAATGCCTGCCCCAGTGTTGCTTATCTAAGTGTGGTAGTTCAAGACCATTTTATTCTAAAGGCAATTTAAGAACTATTTTTAATGCTTTTAGATCATAGCACTTTTATTTTGCTATTATTTCAATATTGGTTTGGGTAGTATTGGTAGTGTTTTTGCTCTTTGCAACTGGTTTTACCTTGGACTTGATTACGTACTGTTTTTATTCATGTGTTTCCTTATTTGTATTTTATGCTTTGAAAGTGCTGTATGCTACCAGATAATCTGGGTATTGGGTGGTCTAAAAGTGCAATCAATCAGTCAGTCATTAATGATTGTTTTTAGTTTCAGTCCTACGTGCCACTTGAATAATGGAGGTGAAGTTATCTGTGATAAATGTCTTCCAGAGTATGTTGGAGACAAATGTGAAAGGTATGAAACTAGAACACTGGAAATAAATACAAAAATGTTATGCTTAGATAAATAGGATTGGAAGTACAGACTAGCTTCCAAGTTTTTAGAAGATTCATTACTAAAGTACATATAACTCCCATGTCAGAAGTGGTCACATAAGAAGGACCAAACTAAAAGTTTCTTTTGGCAGATGTGAAAAATACCCCACTGTGGAAGGGAAACTCTGGATGTGAAAGGGTCATCCCATTAAGAATAAGGGCAGCTTGAATTCCAGACAGGTTGCCCTCACTTTTAATTTAAAAAATGTATTGAAGCAACTGCCAATCAATTAAAAAAAAGACAGTGAGCTAAAGGAAGCAGTGATGTCTTGCAGTGGTTATTCTCTGCCATTTCACCACCTTAATAGTTTGAGAAACCACATTTGTCCCCACATCTGGCACTTGAACATCTGTGCCCTATGTGCATAATTAGGTTTGATATGGAGAAAAACTAATGTAAAGAAGCCTATATCCTTTGCAATTATAATTTTTTCCTGAGGTGCATTTAGTGCAGACTTACTGACTTTCATATTATTGGCAATATTCCCCCAACTAACAGTATTATGTCTTCCCTAAAAATTTACATTTTCCCCTGAAATCAAAACAGATGCATACTTTGCACAATCAAATATTCCCCTAAAATTGAAAGCACACAAAACTCTTTGCATTACTGCCTCCGTGCCCCTTGTTAGTTTCTTTACTTTCTAATTAATTGACAAGATTTGTTATAATTTTCTTTTTATCACCTTGATAATACATTTTAATTTAATTTAAATTTAAAGTTCATTTGATATTTATTTATTTATTTATTTATTAAAACATTTCTATGCCGCCCCATTCGCCGAAGCCTCGGGGCAGCTCACAACATAAAATACAACAAATAACAATATAAAATAAGTTGCCCTGGCCAGATAAAATAAGCAAATAATATTAACAATTAAAATGACGTTTAAATAAAAAGGTCTTCGCCTGGCGCTGAAAAACAAATAACGGCGCCAGGCGGAACTCTCTGGGGAGCGCATTCCATAGATTGGGCACCACCGTAGAGAAAGCCCTCCTCCGAGTACCTACCCTCCTAATTTCTTTCACGGAGGGTTCCCGGAACCCTCCGTGATCTTGGCCTGTAGTATCAACGTATTACATTAATTTTCTATATGGAGCTATTATCTATTGATAAGGCATAGATATTGTTTGTTGTACATATTTAACATTTCTTTAAGAACCAATGTTAAACAAAAAACTGTGAAAATAAGATAACAAGAGTGCTTTATTTGCTTTCAGAGATGTCAATTTTGCCTCTGAAATCCAAATGGATGAAAATATGGAATAGCTGAATATTTATTAATTTCCACAGCCACTGAAGGAAAGTTTAAACTAAAAGCGCTCCTGTAGCTTTGCTGCACAGTGAAAAAATTGACATAGAGAATTGCCAGTGCTAGATATTCATTACATACCAACATAGTTTGGCAAGGCCATCTGTCCTGGCTAGTTGTGTGGTCATAGGTGAAGACTGTTTCCGTGGGTAGATCTCAGTGTTGCCTCTGGTCGGAACAACAACCCATAGATTCCTTTTCTGGATTGTTTGTGGTTGCCTGTTAGCGTGGCTGGGTTTACACGAGGCAAACGAGGGTTTGCAATTTTGTATCTTTATGCAAATAGACTTAGCCCTTCCTATAGTTTTAACGTGGAGCTACAGCTCCGTTTAACCTGATGCCATTTCCAATGTCTTGTACAGATGCGCAAATGGGTACTATGGCGATCCCCTCGTGCCGGGGCAATCATGTCTTCCTTGTGATTGCAATGGCAATATAGATTCAATGGAGGGTGACTACTGCAGTCCGCTCACAGGAGAGTGTCTGAAGTGCATTGGGAATACCGGGGGGCCTCACTGTGAAAGGTGTGCTGATGGGTACTTTGGGGATGCCGTGACCAACAAAGACTGCCATGGTACGTCGTTATTGTTAAATTACTCTAGCAAGGATTTGTTTACCACTTAATGCAAATTATTTGTTCAATATAATTTCAGAGAAATGACACAAATTTAGGGTAGAGAACAGGACAGAGAACAACATTGAGAACATAAACAATATGAATAGATAGGGGTCTTGACACCAAAAAGTTGTGTCTGCTGCAGTGTGGGTTCAGCATCATGTTTTGCATGACCTGTTCACACAGTTCAAAATATCCTTCCTAGGATGTCCCCTCAGGCATCACAGACTTGCAGCTTTAGCACATGAGCAAATCTTGCCTTCCAAGGTACAGTTCACAGGCTATGTGAGAGCTGGAGTAGCCTGGTGGTTAGAGTGTTAGGCTGAGGACCTGGAAGATCAGGGTTCTTGGCCCTGGACCTCACTGGGTGCCTTGGGCTGGTCATAGTCTCAGCCCAACTTGAAGCTGCTAATGAAGGTCAGGAAGCCTCTAAATTGGATATGGTGCAGTACCAAAGGCTGTGCTTCCAAAGAAAAATAAGCAAGGCCTACTTTCCTCAGTGGTTGCACTTTGTGCTTGTGCAGGAAGCTGGACCTAATTTGTGGCTATGAAGATCAAAGGTATATGTTTAAAGTATCAATAGCAAAAATATAGAACTGTGGGAAATAGAATCCTAGATCTTCTGTAGAGAGAAAATCATTACAATAACTGCTTAGTATTATCTGCATTTTCTCACTGACAGTAATGTTTAATTTTCTGTTTGTACTTTTTACGCATCAGCTTGTGAGTGCCATGAGAATGGCTCTGTTTCCAGTATCTGCCATCATGAGACCGGACATTGCCAATGCAAATCAAATGTGGTGGGACAAAGATGTCATAAGTGCTTGGTAAGAAGTAAGAAACCTGATAGTGCTCCTTTCTACACGAGGCATTTATTTTGTACGTGATTCCTCATGGTGGTTTGTGGGTGCTCTACACAAATAAATAATCCTCTAACTTCTGCCATTCTCTGCAAGCATTATAGTGCTTTGGGTCCCCTGCCCCTCAAGAATAAAGTCTGATATTTTCTATTTTCTGATATAGCAGAATGCTAGCATGAAACAGGTGTATTTGCACAATTCCAGCACCATCTAGTGCAAGGCAAAGAAAGAAAACACAGGAAAAAAATGTGTTAAATTGCTGGTCTAAATCTGAAAGAATCCAGAAGCAGAAACCTCAGTAAAGTGGGAGTTTAAGAAAGCACATTAACATACATAATTTTATTGTTGTGCTTTAGTTTATTTTGTTGATATGATGTTTTTCAGCAGGGGGCCGTGCTCAAAGCAGCTCCCAAGAAATATCAACATAATATCATAATACTGCATCACATCTGGGAAATGGATTTCAAATAAGGCAAAGCCAACTGTAACACAAAAACACAGCAAATACAGTCATACCTTGTTTTATTACACTTTGCTTTACTACACTTGGCAGATAATTGCTGGTAATTTTTACAAACTGAAGCTTTATGGCAACCCTGCATTCAAGCAAGTCTGTTGGCACCATTTCCCAACATTTGCTCACTTCTTTCATGAAAAGAAGAGTCGATCGATGCTGCAAACTTTACTGTTGTCTTATTTGAAGAAATTGCTGCAGCCTCCCAACTTTCACCCTAATCAGTCAGCAGACATCGAGTTGAGGCAAGACTCTTCACCAGCAAAAAGATAATGACTTGCTAAAGGCTCAGTTGCTAGCATTTTTAGCAATCAAATATTTTTAGTTAAGGTGTGTACATTGTTTTAGACATAATGCTATCACACACTTAACAGACTGCAGTGTATTGCAAACATAACTTTTATATGCACTGGGAAACCAAAAAATTAGTCCAACTTGTTTTATTGGGATGTTCACTTTATTGTGGTGGCCTGGAACTGAATCTGCAACATCTCTGAGGAATGCCTTCAGGCATAGAGTAGCTCAAGGTAAAAATAAAAATGAACAAAGGAAAAATCAAAGCCAACCATTTCTGCAAGTCTTGTTCAATTCAAGGGTGCCTCAGCAGCTTAAACTCAGTTCACAGAACTTGCCAGTTGGGTCTTCTCAGCAAGCTTGGTGGTTCTCATTTCTCTAGGAGATACTGGTAGCCAGAAGAAGGAAATGTTGGGAAGCCATGGTGCATTGTCTTATTTCCCAGCTTCCCACATTTATTTATTTATTTATTTATTTATTTTATTAAAACATTTCTATGCCGCCCCTTGCCAAGGCCTCGGGGCGGCTTACAACATCGAATACCAAATACATTAAAACAATGATAATTAAAATATATACAGTAAAATAAAATAAGCCGCCCTGGCCGAATAAAATTCAATAATATTAACATTTAAAATGCTGCATAAATAAAAAGGTCTTCGCCTGGCGCCGAAAAACAAATAACGACATGTTCTGGTTGCTATTCTCACTATAACACTTGGGTATCATTATGATTGCCACTAGGACTTTTTATGATTAACAAGGGCAGAACACAAAATGGAGGAGAAAAAATCCAAATAAAGTTAGAACAACTGGAAATTTTGAGCAACTGTCTTGTTGAATGGGCAAGAAAAGCTGGGTAAGAAAAAAAAGCTTGAAATAATTAAAGCATTCCTTTATCCTTATAGTTTTTTCCCTTCAGTGAAACAAATAGGAACAAGAGAAAAGAGAACATGCTCTAGAAAAACAAGTGTATTTACAGGCTGAGATGCACAAGAGTGCTCCAGTAATAATAATGTCTAATCCTATGCTGCTCTTTTATTATTTCAGCAATTTTTAAAATTGGACTAGTAGATATTTATTTCATTTCTGTATCTGTACTTTCCCACATGGATCACTGCCTTCATGGATCACTGCCTTGTCGTGGCGAAGGGGCTTGCGTAGCTCAATGAAGCTTTGAGCTATGCCATGCAGGGCCACCGAAGATGGACAGGTCATAGCTGAGAGCTCTGACAAAAGCTGATCCACTGGAGAAGGAAATGGCAACCCACTCCAGTATCTTTGCCATGAAAACCCCACGTACTGTACCAAAAGGAAAAAGATATGATGCCAGAAGATGAGCCCCTCGGGTCAGGAGGTGTCCAGTATGCTACTGGGGAAGAGCAGAGGGCTAGTACTAGTAGTGCCAGAAAGAATCAAGCCACTGGGTCAAAGCCGAAATGACACTCAGTTGCTGATGTATCTGGTGGTGAAAGGAGAGTCCGATGCTGCAAAGATCTATACTCCATAGGAACCTGGAATGTAAGATCCATGAATCAAGGCAAGCTGGATGTGGTCAAACAAGAGATGACAGACTGAACATCGACATCTTAGGAATCAGCAAACTAAAATGGACAGGAATGGGTGAATTTAATTCAGATGACCATCAGGTATACTACTGTGGGCAAGAATCCCTCAGAAGAAATGGAGTAGCTTTCATAGTCAATAAAAGTAGGAAAAGCAGTACTGGGATACAATCTCCAAAATGACAGAATGATCTCAGTTCGAATCCAAGGCAAACCATTTAACATCACAGTAGTCCAAGTCTATGCGTCAACCACTGGTGCTGGAGAGGCTGAAGTTGACCAGTTCTATGAAGGCCTACAACACCTTCTAGAATTAACACCAAAAATGATGTCCTTATCATCATGGGGGATTGGAATGCTAAAGTAGGAAGCCGAAAGATCACCGGAATAACAGGCAAGTTTGGCCTTGTAGTACAAAATGAAGCAGGGCACAGGCTGGTAGAATTTTGTCAAGAGAATACGATGGTCATAGCAAACACCCTTTTCCAACAACCCAAGAGACGACTCTACACATGGACATCACCAGACGGTCAACACAGAAATCAGATTGACTATGTGCTCTGCAGCCAAAGATGGGGAAGCTCTATACAGTCAGTAAAAACTAGACCAGGAGCTGACTGTGGCTCAGATCATGAGCTTCTTGTTCCAAAATTTAGACTTAAATTGAAGAAAGTAGGGAAAAGCACTAGGCCACTCAGGTATGACCTACATCATATCCCTGATGAATATACAGTAGAGGTGACAAATAGATTTAAGGAATTAGATCTGATAGACAGAGTGCCTGAAGAGAACTATGGACAGAGGTTTGCAACATTGTACAAGAGGCAGCAACTGAAACCATCCCAAAGAAAAAGAAATGCAAGAAAGCAAAATGGCTGTCTGAGAAAGCATTACAAAGAGCTGAGGAAAGAAGGGAAGCGAAAGGCAAGGAAAAAGAGAAAGATAAACCCAATTGAATGCAGAATTCCAGAGAATAGCTAGAAGAAATAAGAACAGTGCAAAGAAATAGAAGAAATCAATAGAATATGGAGGACCAGAGATCTCTTCAAGAAAATTGGAGATATGAAGGGAACGTTTCATGCAAATGGGCATGATAAAGAACTAAAATGGCAGGGACCTAACAGAGGCAGAAGAGATTAAGAAAAGATGGCAAGATTACACAGAAGAACTATACAAGAAAGAGCTTAATGTCCTTGATAACCATGATGGGGTGGTCACTGTCCTCGAGCCAGACATCCTGGAATGTGAAGTCAAATGAGCCTTAGGAAGTTTGAGCAACAACAAAGCTAGTGGAGGTGACAGTATTCCAGCTGAGCTATTCAAAATCTTAAAAGACAATGCAGTAAAAGTGCTACACTCAATATGCCAGCAAATTTGGAAAATTCACAGTGACCACAGGATTGGAAAAAGGTCAGTTTACATTCCAATCCCAAAGAAGGGCAATGCCAAAGAATGTTCAAACTACCGCACTATTGCTCTCATTTCACATGCTAGCAAAGTTATGCTCAAAATCCTACAAGCTAGGCTCCAGCAGTATGTGGACTGAGAACTACCAGAAGCACAGGCAGGGTTTCGAAGAGGGAGAGGAACTAGAGATCAAATTGCCAACATACGCTGGATCATGGAGAAAGCTAGGGAGTTCCAGAAAACATCTGCTTCATTGTCTATGCTAAAACCTTTGATTGTGTGGATCACAACAGTACCACAACAGTATTTGTCTCTTGAGAAACCTACAGTATATGTGGGTCAAGAAGCAACAGTGAGAACTGGACACGGAACCACTGATTGATTCAAAATTGAGAAAGGAGTTTGGCAAGGCTGTAAACTGTTGCCCTGCCTATTTAGCTTATATGCAGAGCACATCATGAGAAAGGCAGGGCTAGATGAATCACAAGTTGGAATTAAGATTGCTGGGAGAAGTAGCAACAACCTCAGATATGCAGATGATACCACTCTAATGGCAGAAAGTGAACAGGAACTAAAGAGCCTCTTGATGCGGGTGAAAGAGGAGAGTGCAAAAGTTGGCTTGAAACTCAACATTAAGAAAACTAAGATCATGGCATCCGGTCCTCTCACTTCCTGGCAAATAGATGGGGTAGAAATGGAGGTAGTAACACATTTTAGTCACCTGGGCTCCAAGATCACCACAGACAGGGGCTGCAGCCAAGAAATTAAAAGACGCTTGCTCCTGGGGAGGAAAGCTGTAGCAAATCTAGACAGCATACTAAAAAGCAGAGACATCATGCTGCCAACAAAAGTGCGTATAGTCAAGGCTATGGTTTTCCCAGTTACAATGTATGGCTGTGAAAGCTGCACCATAAGGAAGGCTGAGTGCTGAAGGATTGAGGCCTTTGAATTGTGGTGCTGGAGGAGACTCCTGAGAGTCCCTTGGATCGCAAGGCAAGCAAACTGGTCAGTCCTAGAGGAGATCAATCCTGACTGCTCCTTAGAAGGCCAGATACTGAAGATGAAACTAAATACTTTGGCCACCTAATGAGAAGGAAGGACTCCCTGGAGAAGAGCCTAATGCTGGGAACAATAGATGGCAAAAGAAGAAGGGGATGTCAAAAGAAGAAGGGGATGGCAGAGGATGAGGTGGCTGGATGGAGTCACTGAAGCAGTCGGCATGAGCTTAAGTGGACTCGGGGACGGTGGAGGACAGGAAGGCCTGGAGGAATGTTGTCCATGGGGTCGCGATGGGTCGGACACGACTTCTCGACTAACAACAACAACATTTCCCCACAGCTGAAGCTCTCCAGACAGTTTACAAGAATCACACACATGCATGCACGCACTCTCACAATAATTACACACACACTCTCACAATATATGAGAACAAAATCTTTTTAACATTTATTTTGACTATTTTTAATAAATGGTCAGTATTGCAATATTTTCATATGCTAGTAAACGTTGCATAAACAAGATTTTCAGAAATCCAACCTACATTCCCCCTGCCTCAGTTATACGTTTGTGAACTCTGACATTTAAACAGACTGAATATTGCAATTTTTCCAGCCTTTGATGGGTATTGGGACTTTTGGCTTCCAAAGTGGCCATTTAATTTTATTTCATGAATATTTACTGTTGATTTCTGATGGCCACTGTACCATTCAACAGTTCTGTGTGCTGGGAAGATTGTGAAGGGAGGACTCTTTCCTGGCTGCACCATGTTTATGCAGGCCAAGCAGCAGGAGCTGATAGCATACTGTGATGAAAAAGAAAACAAGAAAAGACTTATTTTTGTTTCAGTGAACTATGAAATGCAGCAGGAACACTTTTCTTTTCTGTCCAACAGCTTGGATATTATGGCCTAAGCACTGGATTTGGCTGCCTTCCCTGCAACTGCAGCAAAGCTGGCTCAGTTGCTGAAGACTGTAATGAGGAAGGACAGTGTCGCTGTGTGACCGGAGTGGCCGGGCAGAAGTGCACTCATTGTGCTCCTGGGTTCTACGCATTCAAGGATGGCGGCTGCACATGTAAGCAACAGCCCTTAATCCGGCCGCAACAGATGCTTAAACTGTGTGAATTCTCTTGGAACTGCAGGAGAGGTCTGTTGTGGGCCTGTTGAACACGCATTTGCCAAACCTGGTCAGACACATTGTATCAGACACTTCTGATCTGAATTTTGTCTGGAATGGGAATCCAATTAATTCCACTGTTTGAATAACAGCTTGGGCTGAAAAGAAGGGTGCCTGGGCCAGTTTGCCCTTTTGCCATGTGGGATAGGCACTAGAGGGAACGCGTCGGTAATGGACTTGCCTTTACTATTGGCACAGCAGTCAAGGCTTACATGTCTGGCTTTTTAAAAAAAACTCATGCTGCCGATCAGTATAAAGCTGGCCTGTGATTGTCTTCCCATAGAAGAAGCAGAAGAGGAACAAACTGAGATGACAAATCAGCAAAAAAGGAACAACGAAATAATGTGTTGGGTTGGTGCATTTTACTTGCAAGAACGTTTGCTTGTGGCCAGGCCACAGCATTGTACCTTGAAGGTCGGACTATGATTTCTCAGTGTGGCTGTTCAGACATGAGAAGGGACTTTGGAAATATGTGTGGGGCACTAATTTCAGTGTGAAGACTTTCCGGGATAAAGGTCAGACTTTCCCTTGGTTGATTGGCAGTGGCAAAACAGGTTACTTGTTTCCTGTGTTTCCCTCTTACAGCTTGTAACTGTGCCCATACGCATGATGCTTGTGACAGAGACACTGGACAATGCATTTGCCCCCCTCATGCCAAAGGAGAAAAATGTGAACTGTGTGAGGAACACTTCTGGGGTCTTGATCCAAAGAGTGGATGCAAGGTAAAGTGCTTGCTAGGGATTTCTTGTTTCAAAAGACAGTTGGAGATTTTGCAAAAAATACATGGATTTTTTGGTGAGTCCTTTCACTCTAACATGCTGCGTATTAGATCTGTTTTCACCCTGTGTTGGTTCCCTTGGGGCTGCTGTCTTCAGTTTTGGTGCATCTGGACCAATTTGTCATAGTAAATAACACTTGATCACTGATAACTGAATTTGAGGGGTATAGACAGCAGTTTCTTGCACTTTATTGGTCATTAATGAGACCTATATGGGAACAATGCTCCCAAGTGAATAATCACCTGTGTTTGAAAGAACATGGAATTCACCTGGTATGGGATGTCTTTGCAGTGAAGCAGCTAGCACTTTAGAATCAAGTGACACAATTCAGCCTTCTTTTAATTAACATTAACAGCTATTAGCATACTTTTAATTAACATTACAATTTGGCCAGTACAGTCCAGTATTTGTAACTGCATTCTCAAAAAGCCAGAACACTAAACCACCTATTTTCTAAGTATTCAGAGTTTGAAATTCCTGAGGATTACACTGAGATGGGGTCTAGGTGAGTTTGCAGAGCAAAGAAATTTTTCTTTATAACTACCATCTCCTAAAAAATGAAGTTTTTCCATGTTCAAGCAAATCATTCTCTCCCATTAGCTACACTTGGGTACGAAACATTGAGACGTTCATTTTCTCTCTTCCTAAGACTGCTGTTGCCTATCTTGGGAAAAGAAACCAAAGGATAAGGCTCTGTGATCAGATCTTTTCCTCCAAGGGCTTAGCTGTTTAACGAGCCATGGAGGGAGATCACACCAACCACTACATGGAGGGAGATCACACCAACCACTAACCAGATTTGAAACGTTTTGTAATGAGCAAGGTAATGTCTCTTGCTCAATTTGCTCCAGCTGCTTAGCAGTCATCTGGCTCATTTAGCAAATACATAGTTCAGAGCTCAGATTACACATGTTGTGCAAAGGTGTTTGTGAATAGAACGATCACTTTCGAAACATGACATGCTGGCAAATTTTTCCAGTCTGCCAAAATTAAGTTTCTAAACTGTAGGAACTTGTGAAATCGCGGATTTCTGGGATTTTTTTTTTGCCAGGCCTGCAACTGTAGCAAGATGGGTTCGGTCCGTCTGCAGTGTGATCGAGTGACTGGCCAGTGCCAGTGCAAGCAAGGATTTGGAGGACAGGACTGTGCTGTGTGTGCGCTGGGATATAGAGACTATCCAGACTGCATTCCTTGTGACTGTGATGTACGTGGGAGCAAAGCAGGCACATGTGACCGACAGCAAGGAATCTGCAGCTGTGAAGAGGAAACTGGCACGTGCGTGTGCAAGGTAGAACAGAGCAGAATTAACATGATATGTAATTCTCGATTTTTAATTTTTCTTGGCACACTTGTCTTTCCCTCACATGTAATGATTTTCCTCTGTACATGATCAGATATTATTGCACAGAGCATCCGTAAAAGAAAAGGAGGATTAATATGTACAAATTCAACTTGTGTTACTGAAATGTAACATCAGTGTATTGAAAACAGAAAATAAGCATGGAAATGACTGTCCTATGATCTCAGGATGTGAGTGGTGGCAATAAAGTCAGGTTTAAGTAATATAGGAGCAGAACAAGTGTGGGATGCACAGAAAGGAAAAAAGACTAGAGCACATTTGCAAAAATCATTTCCCCCATAATTTCAGCATTGTGGTATATCACTTTTGTATTTCCTGTATATAGTAGACTCCAGGGGATGGTGGAGGACAGGAAGGCCTGGAGGAATGTTGTCCATGGGGTCCCGATGGGTCGGACACGACTCCGTGACTAACAACAGCAATTACCTGTATTGCTGCTTCAGTGGAAAGCAAACTTTGCTTTTCACTGTGGGTATAAAATCTCTTAGTCTGAGTGTGCAGGATATTTAAGCTGTAGGAAAACTCTTATTAAATTAAGGTTTTGGAAAGTTGAATTAGGTAGGCCAGAAATAGAGCCAGGAGTAGAAGAGGCTGACATGATTTAGAGGCATAGGTAAGACAATAGATATTTAGGTACAGGTGCAGAGAGATGCTATATCAAGAACAGATTTAGGGACAGGATGAGCCCAAGCATAACCATGAATGGTGTATGTTCAAGTGTTCAGTGGAAGCAAGCAGTAATGGGGCAATTGTGCACAGCACTCAGATCTTAGAAACATAGAAACAGAATGAGTTAGGAGGGGTCTTCTGCGCCATCTAGCCTGACCCCTGGCTCCAGCCGGCTCCACTCATGACATGCCTACCATTTGAACACCCTCACTGATGGGGCTTCAACCACCTCCTGTGGAAGCCTGAGCTTTGCTCCATCGGAATGCATCCTGCCCTCCTCCGCAGGACAAAAAGAGTCACAACCCACAATCTTGTATAACTACAGGGCATTCTGGACTCAGTTTGACTTTCTCTAGTTCACCATGCTGTGTACATACATCTTTGACTGTTTAACTTTTCTGATCATGGCCATGAGCTGGACCTGTACATGCTAAGATGCACACTCAACTGCTGTTGACAAACAATTTCTTCACCAGGAAAATGTGCTTGGAATACACTGCAGTGAATGCAAAACTGGGACCTTTGCTCTTCATGCCAGTAACCCTTTGGGATGCACTCCATGCTTCTGTTCCGGGATGTCACAGTTCTGTTCAGAAGCAGAGAACCATGTGAGAATTCCGGTTAGTAAAGCAATTTCTCTTATTTTCCAAGTTTCTGTTATATTTTCACCCAGTTTTGTCACACAAAGATATGCAAATAGCTTCACTACCCTCTGTTTCTTTTCTGCAAGTTCTCACCCAACCCATTTCCTAGTTAGCTTTAACTTGGCCTGTGAAGCATATATGGGAATGGTGGAGGAAAACCTAACAATGGAAAGATAATGATGCATAAATAGGTTGTCATCCATCTTCAGGAAGCTAATTTATACTAATGTGGATCCATGTCACATTTTAATAACATTGCTTCCAAAGTTCAAAGTGGCAATATGTATGAAGTAATATCTAGGATGTTTTAGAAGGTGAAATGACCTATTCGTCTTACATTGCAGGTGACCCTGGCTCCACAGCAGGCTGGCTTGTATGTGGTTTCTCACAGTAACCTCACTGGAACCAGTGCAGGCATATTCTTCCAGTTTCCTGATACCTTAATGGATGCCACAAAAGTCAGACAACACTTGAAGGCAGAGCCATATTACTGGAAGTTACCAGATCAGTTTCAGGGAAACAAGGTAAACATTGTGAGAATTTTTGATCATTGCTGCGTTTTCTGGGAATCAGTCCACCACTCATCTGAGAATTCAAAAGGAAATGAAAACAAGTCTAGAAAAAGTGTGGGAAAATTGTGTTGATAATTTTAATATTTGTATTCTTTACCTCAAAGAACAGGGTATTTTCAAAGCAAAGCTCTTACATTTATAATAGTGTGCTTAATATTAATCATAGCTATTCTCAAATGACCCAAGTTTAATGGTTGGAGGTTGTAGGATTCTGTCCAAACATTCCTAGGATTACTCCCTAAAAACTGCAGTGGAAACTTCTGAATTCTTCTGTCATCCATGCAGGAGAAGTAGAAAGGGAAGCAGCATCTCCCTGCTGTTCTTTCCTGCTGGATGCTAAACCAGAGTTTAGTGTGACGTGCAAACACAGACATTGTGACTATAATCAAAACAAAGATGAAGTCTGGAAATTGCATTTCAGAGTAAATGCAAAGTAAAGAAGGGATTCTAGATTTTAGTGGAGAGTCTCTGGGGAACATCTGTGAAACCTACATTTAATAATTAATCACTCCTGCAGCTCATGGCCTATGGTGGAAAATTGAAATATTCAGCAGCCTTTTATGCTTTGGATGGCATTGGAAGCTCAAATTTGGAACCCCAAGTCCTGATGAAAGGGGGTCGTAACAGTAAACAAGTAATCTGTGTGGACATCCCTGCACCAGAAAATAGAGTAAGACAAGACATAGAAGTAGTAATGATGGAGGTGAGAATAAAATGTTTCTGTTAGGTGAGTAAAGGCTATTCTAGCAAGAAGCTCTTTGTGTAAAAGCTGCTTCTTTACCTGTTTGTTTGGAACTCATTGAATGTTTGTTTTAGGACTGTTTGGGAGTTTATGCAGTATGGTTCCATTTTGTATCAGACCATGCATGTGTAATCTGGGAAGCAGTCCTAGGATGCATATTGAAACTGTGCATGAATGGTGGAGGAATACTTGGCTTGGAAATGTTTAGGTAGTGAGGATGAAAGCTCCAAAGAGCCATCAAGAGAAATAGCCACAAGCTCTAGCACAATTACTAGTGAAAGACTTGTTGCAGTGCCGTGTCATAGCATCATGGATGTGTTGCAGTATATGTTAAAGAGAGAAGGCATGGGCATATAAATTCCACCGGGACATAAAAAGGGCTTGCAAAAGAATATAGGTTCTGGATATGGGTTACTTTTCTCAAGCAGTGCTCTTCCTCTAGATTGGAAAGAGCGCCTGTGTGAGCAGATGAGGGATCCTGCTAGTAGATCCAAGAACCTTGGAACCTTTGGATTCAAGTCATGGCATGGGCCAATCTGAAAATGCCTTCTTTTCAGTGCCTTTCAAGTCTAGGCACAGGAGCAGGTTAGAGCAGCAACAGCCTACAGATCAGTTCGTGTGTCCACTGACAGGTTCAGAGTGCCAGTGGAGACAAGAGTGCCATGAAAACTGCTTAGTTCCCTCTTACAAGTATAAAAGAGGCTTGTTGTCACCCTCTGTCATCCTTCCATAGTTTTGTGCTCATAAAATGCATTCCTTGGCAATAATCCAAAATAAAACTGCATCAAACAGGTGTACATACTTTATTTAAATGTATTTTTCTTACTTCATAGAGTGCCTGGAAATATTTCAATTCCGTTTCTGATGAATCTGTTTCACATTCTGACTTTATGTCAGTGCTGAGTAATGTAGAGTACATTCTTATAAAGGCATCATATGGTCAAGGATTACAGCAAAGCAGGTAAAACTTCCTTGTAAAGTATGGGCAACTTTTCATAAACCATGGGTAGTAAAAACATGACTGTATTATGGGTGGTTCTCAAGGGCTATTCCCCTGAGCTGCCTTCAGAGCACCATGATTCACACTGCTCTGAAGTTGGAAGCGGAAACTGAGAAGGCCTCACCATAGTGGGGCAATGCTTGCAGGATGTCCGAGTTTTATACTATTTCCTGGGAAAATAAGGGCTAAATTGGTCAATAGTGGTCTTTATGAGTGGATGTTATAACTCTTAGTCTATAGAATTGAAATAAGGGAAAGCAAAACATGAAGGGTTATACAAGTAATTTTGGAGCCGGCTCTAGATCCGAGGTGGTGAACCTGTGGCCCTTCAGATTTAAGGCTGCAACTCTTATCAGCCCCAGTCAGCATAATCAGTGGGAAAAAGAAATGATGGGAATTGGAATCCAGCAACATCCAGAGTGCTGTACATCCTGCTCTGCAGTAGTTTTCCCAGTCAATTGCCTTGAAGTGTTTTGGTTTCCAACTCCTACCAGCAGCCCTGGCATGATCACCAGGTTGGGAAGGCTGTTTTAGACCTTCATGATAATGAATTTCCTGCTGCTACTCTAGAAGCACAAAAGTTTAATTTAGCTCTGCATCTTTGATTGATTGATTGAATGATTGCATTTGTATGCTACCCCAAAGCCAAGGACTCTCTGAGTGGCTCAGAGCGTAATAGAAAAATCCAAATAAAAAACATTTGTACCAACATCGTGTAGGCCAAAATATTTACATAATAAGCTATCCCAATGAATGAAAGGTTGTAAACAGTCAACTTTGCAGCCTGAGTTTGGTAAAAGTACATCATTCTATTACCAGTTTTATTTATTTTTATTTACATGTATTTCTAGGCTGCCTGTGATTGCTGAGGCCTTCCTAGACAGCTTACAATGCATAAAACATACTGAGTAAAAACACATTAAAAACCAATTGAAACATAATGAATTAAGCATCTTTAAAAATATTAAAAAGAGCCACAGCATACAGGCTAAATATTTTAAAAAATCCTAAAAAAATAGTTTTTTGTGAATGTCTTGTAGAATTTCAAATGTCTCCATGGAGATTGCAATGAAAGCTGAAGATGTACTCTTTGGTGGAGAAAAGGCACATCACATTGAGGAATGCCTGTGCCCTACAGGCTATGCAGGACTTTCATGTCAGGTATGTTATGGCTTCGTGAGGGATTTAATTATGGGAAAGCATGTTTCTTGGCTAAGATTGCCTTCTCAGCAAGCCATTCCAGTTCTGTTTTTAATTCATGTACCACACTTTCCCTTTGTGTAGGATTGTGCACCAGGGTACTATAGAGAGAAACACAGAGACAAAAACTCACACAAAATTCCTTCACTATTCCCTCTTTGTTTGCCGTGCCAGTGCAACAACCACAGTGACTCTTGTGATCCGGATACAGGAACGTGTTTGGTAGGTGAAGCCCTGTTGCTAGTTTTGTTTTGTCAGTTTCAGTGCATGAGAACTTGAACTACTTAAAAAAGAGGGGAGAAAACCCTAGGAATGAGAACATATGAAGCCATTCAATTCCAAAATTAAAAATGAAAATGTGCGAACATCTTTCTGATACTGCACAGATAGTAAATGTCACTGCAAGCGTTGCCAGATTAATTGGTGGCGGGCATTGCATTTGGAAGCATGATTGCTTTTTAAAGCATGTTTACGCTACTCTTCACCTGAACAAGCTCCCAGAGTGGCTTACAGATGATCAATAAAAACAGCATCAAGTAAGACAGCTTCTGTTTGCTGGTTTTCAAATTAAAATATACAATACGCAAGGAAAAGGGGATTTGGAACTGGAGTGGGTAAGAGGGAAAAAGTAAACTTAGGCACAAGGAAATACTTAATTTGGCAGAGAAAGCAAATCCTTCTGAATCCAGTGGGACTTTTTTTCTAAGCATGTCTTGTATGGCTCTCCTTATCAACTAAAATTTTAGCTCTGGATTTAAAAATTAACATTGCTTGATCATTTGTCAGGAAACCTTGAGTCTAGAGCAGTGGTGGTGAACCTATAGCACGTGTGCCACAGCAGGCACACAGAGCCCTCTCTGTTGGCACATGGGCCAAGTCACCCCAGCATTGCCCCAGCAGCCGAGTATCGGAAAATAGCGCACGTATGGGCCAGGTGCATTCACGGAAAGGAGTAGCGGAGCCAGGCAATGATGTCACAAGCTGCAACTCATTAGCCACGACTCATCCAAGCTTTCGCATGGCCGGTCAGTGCGCTGCCAAGGTTATATGTACTTGCTTGGACTGGCTGTGAGTTGTTTTTTCTAAACTAAAACCTCAGTTTTGAGGTTTTATTGTAGTGTTGGAACTTTGTGATAAGTGAGTGGGTTTGGGGTTGCAGTTTGGGCACTTGCTCTCTAAAAGGTTGACCATCACTGGGTTAGGGTGAGAAAAACGTGATTGTGATGGTTGGAATGTGTTTAGAATAGGCTGAAATGTTGAGCTGTGTAGAAAAAGCTACTTAAGGAACGGTTTTTTTGTTTTTGTTTTTGAAATCACTCTCTTTTCTATGGAATTTTAGCCCTGTATTAGGGTTACGGGTGTGCACCAGGGTAGGGTTGCGATTAGACAAACGAGGTGTCCTGGCAAGGTTTTGATAGTTGGAATGTGTTTAGAATGGCAGCAATGTTGAGCTGTGCAGAAAAAGCTGCTCAAGGAAGGCTTTTTCTAAATCTCCCTCATTTCTATGGAACTTTAGCCCTGTATTAGGGTTAGTGGTCTACATCAGGGAAAGGTTAGGAAAATGAGGTGTTCTGTCATGGTTTGATGGTTGGGATGTGTTTAGAACGGGCAGCAATGATTCCCTGGGTAGAAAAAGCTACTCAAGGAAGGCTTTTTAAAAATCGTCCTCTTTTCCATGGACCTTTAGCCTATAATAGGGTCAGTGAAGTGCACCAGGGTAGGGTTAGGCCAATGGTGGCGAACCTATGGCATGCCTGACACCGTGGGTATGCGGAGCCCTGTCTGTCAGCATGTGATTCAAATTGCCCCAGCATTTCCCCAGCAGCCGAGGATCTGATAACAGCGTGCATAGGGACCATGCGCAAGCTCAGAAAGAAGTAGTGGCGCCAGGTGATGATGTCACAAGCCGCAACTCTGAGATTTTGCATGGCCAGTCAGTGTGCTGCCAAGGATATATATGCCAAGGATATACATATATCTATTTGCTTGGACTGGCTGTGAGGTGTTTTTTCTAAACTAAAACCTCAGGTTTTTGGGTGTATTGTTTTGTTGGCACTTTGAGATAAATAAGTGGGTTTTGGGTTGCCGTTTGGGCACTTGGTCTCTAAAAGGTTCTCCATCACTGGTTTAGAGTATTGCAACTGCACTGTTGAATATCCTTGACAAGATGGGCTTACTTGCTCTTACCTTTTATTTTATGGTTACTATGTGTGTATGTGTGTTTGTGTGTAAAGGGAGGGAGGGAGAGAGCCAAATGCTGCTCTATTTCAGCTTCTTTTCTTTCCTCATATATGTCAAATGAATAAAGATGCTCCATTTTGTCAGCTGCACAACATCTCTTGGCTGAATCCATGGTTAACAATGCACTGAATATTTACTTGGTAGTATCCAACACTGCTGTTCTCCTTATGCTGTTGATGTACTATCAGTGTAAGTGACCTCTTGAGATAAATATTTCCAGAAAACTCATTCTTCCACTGTATGCTATTGGTTCAGTGCTAGAGTTTGCTTCTACCAGCATTTAATCAATATGCCATGAGCAGAGTGGCACTGCTGGATACTGCTTATCAGCTGGGTAGATTTTTAAAAATTGCTTTAAAAAATATATTTTTTTGCCACGGCACTTGCTTCCATGTTAAAATTCTCATGCTGTTTCCTACTAGGAATGCAGAGACAATACAGCTGGGGAACACTGCAGTGTTTGTGCTCCAGGCTATTATGGCAAAGTGACTGGATCTGTCAATGATTGTTCTCTGTGTGCATGTCCAAGAACGAGCCCTGGGAGGTAACTAAATATTAACTTGGATGTCTTTAATAATTACTATTGTTGAAACTACTGTTGCTCAGCTGTACTGCAGCAATGATGAAAGCCATTGTTAGCTGTATTTCTAAGGGTGTTCAGTACACCTATTTTTTAATCCCTTGTCCAAAAAAATTATTCTAGTACTATGTTTGGTTTTAGTTAACTGTATGGTGAAATGGCTAATCTTGTGGCCAGACCAAGGTCATACTGATAAATGTACATTGTGGATTATGTATTTATCCCTCTAAAAGCTAGTCTGTACAGTTGGTAGAATCAAATGACAAATCTTTTCTTAGACAATATCTCTTGAAGCCACCAGTATTGTATCAAATCCTTCACACAGAAAACATGTCAAAGAGAACATTATATCCCAGTCATCTCTGTGAAGAAAACTTTCAGTGCAATACATGTGTTCTCTTTAAAATTTCTTAATCTTTTTCTTTTTTCAAGCTTTAGTGCCACATGCATTATGAAAGGTGTTAATGACTTTCTCTGTGATGCTTGCATCGCTGGATATGAGGGACAATACTGTGAAAGGTGAGGTACATGGACCCAATAAGAGGTTTGCAGCAAATGTCTTCTGTCCCTGGGATCCGAATGGTGTATGTATTATCTGAATCTAAATGTATGGCATCAGTTTAATAGATGCGGTAGGGAGCAAGGTTGTGACCTTGTAGAATGTTGTCTGTTTTGTTGAGTGTTCCACAGAATAACACATGGCCGCTTAAGAATTGAGAAACCGAATCGGATTGTTAAAGAGGCATTGACTGGGTTTTTTCATTCCAATCAGAGATGACATCATCTGTCCCAATGCTGCACTCCCATCTCCTTGTTGCCTAGTGTATCATGGTTAAAAGTCCACTTGAGTTATGAAACTCTTTAAAGAGGACTCTGCCTGTGGCTTCTCTGAATATTTTTCTAGTTTTTCCAGAGAACCTTCCTTCAGGTGCATATAGACTTGAAGAAAAGGTGAGCACTTTTGGTGGTGCTCTATTCAGGTTAGGTCAGCTAAGAGCCACCCCTATTTTAGGGAAGGGAAATGTCCTGCTTCAGGCAACCTTGGACTTCCTGTGTGGGCCCTGTATCCTCCCTGGCTTGGAGACTACCAAGGATTTGGGAGAAGATGAAGAGAGGACTTCCCTTTCTCATTGCTGATCTGTGCTCAGAGATAACAATGGGATTTCCCTTACTTTCTGCACGACTCCCCCTCCCAAGTGCTGTACCAGCAGAAAATGCATTACTTGTCCTTTGCATTTCCACTTGATCCAGAAACTGGTGATCAGGGGTGGGCCCCCATCCTGATGGCACACTCGGGGCCCTGCCCTGGCATCATTTGCCTAACAGGGCATTTGAGGGAGTGGCAGTAGGGCTCCTAAGGCCTCTGTTGTTCCCTACCCCTGGCAGATCCTAAAAGTTTCAATTCCTGGACAGTAAAGAAAGCTAATTTTCTTTTCTTTCTCCCTAGATGTTCCCCAAGTTATTATGGAGATCCTAAAGCACCCGGTGGCACCTGTCAGCGGTGTCAGTGCAACCCAAGTGGCTCTGTCCACAGCAACTGCCATCATCTCTCTGGGCAATGTACCTGCAAGCAAGGTGTGACAGGGCAGCTGTGTGATCAGTGCGAGTCAAGACACATTCATGTGGGAAACGAATGCCTATGTGAGTGCCATTTGCACAATATTTTTTAAAAGCGTAGTAGAGGACATGCATGGACAGGTGTGCTATGATAATACTTGGATATGGTTGTTGTTAATTTAACTTACATATCACCTTTCCACACAAAACAGTGTTCAAAGCAGCTAAAGTAATAAAATACCATTTAAAAACAAAAAAATAAAGAGAGTATAAAAACCGATGCGCTACAAACCAATTTAAAATGTGACAGTAAAAGAAATAGACAACACGTGGCCAATCAAACAGATCAGATTACATGTTAAATGCTTGACTGAATAACAACTTATTTGTCGGCCAGCAGAAAGACAACAGAGAGGGAGCTACCGTATTTTACCATCTATAAGACGCCCTCATGTATAGGATGCCCCCCACTTTTCTTACCGATCTCCGAGTGAGCAAGCTGCTGTGTGCACGCGCCTGCCACCTTGCAACCCCCCGAGCACGCTTGCGATCATGTCAGTCTCCCCATCCCCACGAGCATACCTGCAGTTCTCCTCTCGGTCCCCCGTATATAAGACGCCCCTCCATTTTTAGGTAAATATTTTAAAGAAAAAATATTGTCTTATACATGGAAAAATACGGTAATTTAGCCTCACTCAGTAGGGAGTTTGAGTGCCTTGGGAAGTCACTGAGAAGTCCATTGCCTGAACATGCCTCTGATAGTGGTAGAACAGAGGAAACTATCTGGATTGATCAGCTTCATAAGGCAGGATTTGTCAGCCTCATGGGGAATCTTAATTAGCCCCCTTCCCCTGGAGACCTTTCGAGTCCCACTCAGTCAGGCAGTGACCACTTTGTGACAAGGAACAATAGAAGGTTCCTCCACTTCCAAGTTATCATCATTCTGCCCAACCGAGGAAAATCAGATCCAGGGTATGCACTGTTGAATATGTAGGCCCATACATGAGTTTAGGCAAACCCATGGTCATCCAGCACAATAAACTGGAAAGACTCCAGCACCACCCCTGTTGCAATCCTGAACATGCTTTCTAAGAAGCAAGTTCTACTGGGGTTAACAACATTGACTTTTCCAGTAAATATGTTTAATGTATGATTTGACAACTCTACTTCAATGTCTTTCTGAGAATGGCTATTTTTGTGGCAGATATGAGAGCATGCCAAAATTGTGGATTTTCTTTGGCAACTTTTAAATGCTCCCTTGCATATGTTCTTTTATGATCTCTTGGCTCTTTCCATGGAGGAGTGTTATCTAGATAAGGACATAGCTGTGCAATTCTTTGGCTGCTAGGCAGCTTCTAGACAACCATAGGATTTTTCAGATTGCTGGTGGGAAGACACTGGCCTTCTAGCTGAACACCTGAGCTTGGAATCCCTCTCTACACTGCAGCTGGTGAGAAAAGAACTGTACTGGCTGCTCCTCCAAGGTCAGATTAACTGGGAAGAAGGGCTTTTGGGGGCATTCTCAGGGTGGGCATGATGCAACATATCCTTGTGGTGTCCCTGCTTCCTTCTCTCCACTTCCAAAACACTCAGACTGCTGAAATTGGAAGCCCATGGCCACTGCTTTGCAAGATGGGAGGAGCACAGATACAGCTTGCATCTGGTTAGGATGCCCCTAATCCTCTTGCACCCTGCAGAAGATGCCCGCAATCTACCCTAGGCCACTTATAAATATTTTTTCTTATTGATCAGTCATTAGTATCATCAATAAATAATTTAGGTACCAGTTTAAGAGTAATCCCTTTTCTGGGTTTTTTTTAAATAAACTTCTATGTACTTCTTTCCTTCCTTTTTTAGCATTAGCAGTATTTGCAGGTCAATGCATATATCTGTACAAATATGGTTATTTAACTGAGACTGGTATTTTTGAAATGGTTTCCTTAGCTTGTGATGATGACTGCACAGGACTATTGTTAAATGATCTGGATAAACTTGATGAAGCCATGCTTTTAGTAAACCTCACTGGTGGTACCCTAGCACCATATGGGATCCTTTTAGACTTGGAAAATGTTACAAAACAGTTAAAGGTACGTTCGCTACTGATTAATTTTGGTTCTGCCTTTTATGAATAGGTTCTTTGTTTTGCTTTATCATTGTGTTCATAGTGTGTCTGTAAATTAGGTCAAAGAGGCATGATATACAAATAAAATAATGAGAATAATGGAAATATGTAATGGGTTAGATCCAGTCTTAAATTAGCCCAATTCAAATCAATGGAACTCGTAACTAACTTGATTTCAAAGGGCTTATTCAAAGACTGACAAAATGAAATTCCATTGATCATGACATTGATTAAGCGTGACCAAGCTTAGATTGGAGTATGTCCCCTGTGTCAGGAGTTTCATTCAAACCATGAATAGTTCTGCTGAACAAGCTTTAGTAAGACCCATTTAATATGAGTAGTTTCTATAATCAGTATGGACTGATAATGTTTGCCTGCAGCCTTTGCTTGATCAGTGTATTAGCATATTTAAAGCAGAAAAGTCACTGTGATGAAGATCCTATTCCAAGATTCCTGGAAATAGCAAATTAGAGAGTGCAGATTGAAGTGCAGTTACTTCCCTATGGATGGTATGCATGTCTCTTGCCTTGTAGAAGACCCTCTGGCTTCTTATAATTATAAGTGAGCCAGACAACATTTTGCATTATCTATTTAATGTTCAGTCTGTACACATTCTTAGTTAAAGAAACATTCAATCTCGCTGGCATTATTAGATCTTTGGCTATTGGATAGTACATAAATGTAAAAAATAAAATAAATTCTTATGTCTTAAGTGTAGGAGTAACTTTTTTGTAAGATATTGTCAAAGCATTTTAAAATAAGTTCATCTCTTGAAGATGAGGTGATGTATACATAGCTAGATGTTTAAACTCAAACTTAGTTTTATGTATAAAGAAACTTATTACAAACTTAGTTTTATGTATAAAGAAAATCCAAATTTGAACCCAGAAACTGTCTGTTAATTAAAATTATTTATGTTTATGTTATCGCATAAACATCTTAATTGAATTAAAAGCATGCACTTGGCTAGAGATCAGTTTACTTTTCATTTTGATAATATTTCATTTGTCTTGCATGCCATATCTTTAATGATACAGTGCTGGATTTGATCAATAATATGCTTTAATATACTTCATTGAAATATGCTAGTATATTTAAATAGCTGTTGGTTGTGCTTGCATTTTCCTCCCATGTAGGGATTGTGGCGTGCACTTGGGGCAGCATTACAGGAAACGGATTTCTAAAATAGTTACCTGCATTCAGATTCATGGTGAGAGGTGTTCAAAGGAGGGGCCATAGCTCAGTGGTGCAGCATGCGCTTTGTGCACTGAAGGTCCCCTCCTCAATCCCTCACATTTTCCTACAGGGCTCTCTGACACCTGGCAAGCCACAGCCAGTGAGGGAAGGCAGTAGCTGAACTAGCTGGACCAACGCTCTGCGTCAGTGTATGGCAGCTTCTTACCCGATTTATTTATTTGTATTACATTTATGTTCTGACTTTCCTGTCTGTTCTTCATTTAATCCTTTGGGATAGCTTAGGCTGGGATTCAGTGACTGAACCAAAGTCAGCTAATGAGCTTCTTGGCCAAATCTTGCAAGTTTCAGTCCAGCACTCTAACTACTATACTACATTAATTCCAAGCCATGAAGCCTAAGCTAAAATTATTTAAATACATATTTGTTTTCTTCCAGGGTTCCTTTTGGGCTAAAGAAGAACCAACAAACTCACTGGAAAACATGAATGACCATCTTGTAACATTATCACATGGTACAGACAAGTTCCACAAAGAGGTAGATGTTTTTTCTTTTAATATCCAGTTTAAATTTGCCTATCTCAGAAGCCATATTAGGAAAATGGCTATAGAGGTTTGCTTATAGGCTTTACTGAGGTTAGATGATCAGTCACAGCCAATACATTAAACTTTTTTTCTTGACTATGGAAATGATAATGGTAGTATTTAGTATAGTAGTTACTGAAAAGATTTACGTAAAACTCTTCTGCCATTACTACTTTCCATCATAGTTTGTTTATGTATTTATTTAAGCACATATTTTTATGCTGCCTATAACTGCCAAAAGACCTTCCTAGGCAGCTAACAACCACATATTAAACACACACAAACACACATATAACATGTTAAAATGTATTAAAACAATTAAAAAATTAAAACGTCAATATAACAATAATATTAAAAGGCCAACAGCATTCACAGTGCTAAGTATTAATTTAAAAAAATTCTCCTGGTGCTGAAAAGAAAATAAAGATGGTACCAGGTGAACTTAGCATGTTGTCAGCTGAATGGTCTTTAAACAATATTGCTGTTAAGCCTTTGAAAAATTATATAGATTTTGAAACTTTAGGGAGTTATACTGTTGGAACATTCTTATGGAAATGTGAAATTGGTATATACAGATTATTTGACTGTTCCTGAAGGGTCTGGTTGATACTAAGAAAAACTGATAAGAATAGAATAGTAGTAGAATTGGAAAGGGCCTATAAAAGGCCATCCAACCCCCTGTTCTGCATCCACATATGATCACCCATCTGGCTGCATGTCCACATCTTTCCAGCTTATCAGATGTGTCTATTTCCAGAAAGCAGGATTAGTGCTCAGTCCTATAGACTCCTAACATTTTCTGGAAGACTAGGACGTCAGAGTCCCAGCTTCAACTTCAGAAAGGTCTTCCAAGTCTTCGTTTGGGATTCCAACCTTGGGTGGCCCACGCTTGCAGTCAGTACAGTTCTTTCTGTGCAAGCTGGTCGTCCTCCTTTGCTGGATTGGTGGAAGGTGCATTCTGGAGGAGAGGACAAGAGGAACTAGTCACTGCCATCCTCTGAGGAATCGTGATGGTGCCACAGCCTCTTCTTCTCATGACAGAACAGAAAAGAACAACCCCCAACCCCCATTTAGATGGCTGTAATTGACCATTTAACTGTTTTGGAGAACAAGGCAAATAGGCTATCCTGGCCACTGTGTTCCTCCCACCTTTCATTGGAGTCCTGTCATTCTTTGAGTATAGATAGAACTATGGATGGTGATATTGGAAGGTGCTCTTAGTTCCCTTGATTATTCAGCATAAATTAGAGACATGCCCTTAATTATTTGGCACAGCATTAACAGAAGCATCTCTATTTGTTTTATGCAAGTTAACTAGAATAGTAGGAAGAGGAGAGCATCTCAACAATGCCACAGAAAGAACTTTGGGCAAGAGCCAAGCATTGTCTATATTTATTGACGCATTACAGGAAAGTATAAAAGGTAACATGCTTGCTGGTAAGCAATGGACTATTATATGTTTGGAATGAGAATATTTATTTATCTCTAAAAATGGTTATAACAGTTGAAAAAGTTTTTGCTGCATTTGTGCCAAGTAGTCAAAAGGCCCCTAACTGAGTTTCTCATTTTTGGTTTAGTACTGGTGGAACTGGCAGCATCTCTTAATGAAACATTAGGCACTGATTTCCCACTGTCGAACAGAACATTTCAGGAACTACAAGAGGAGATTCCAGTCATGTTGAACATCATGAATGGAAGACATTTCAAGCAGCTGCACCAAAATAGCACTATTGAACTAAAGTAAGTTCATTAGTTTCTGGGCATGCTCATAGTGATACATGCAAGGAATGTGTATGCAAAACAGCCTTCCTCATCTAGATGCCATACAGCTGTTTTGGACTGCAAATTCAATCAGCCTCAGTCAGCATGGTAATGGTTAGGAATGCTGAGAGCTGCAGTTTAGGCGCTGTAGGGCACGAGGATGGAAAAGGCTGTTGTGAATTATGCAGGTAGTATCCAGTGCTGGTCTTGTAGACGAGGAAAACTGAATTGAATGGAATTAACATTGTAACCAATTTAAGGTTTATTCATTTTGGTAAGTCTACCTTATATAAGGCTGGAAAGGATACTTCCTATTAATAGCAAGTTATACTAACTTGTACTTAAATTCTGAATGCTCTTCACTTTCTTTCATATGAACTTAGCTATGATACAAACATGTTTTTCAGAAACTGGAAAGAGTACATTTGATCGTGAGCAAGTGATTCCTATAATACTATGGAGTCATGCATGACTTTAAAAAAAGAAACAAAACTCAAAGAAAAATAATGCAAAATGCAAAAAAGAATGATCCTGGGACATTGTAACTTTCGACCTCTTCTGTTTTGTAGCTTTGTTGACTGAGTGTGGTTTTGTGTTCATTAGAACTGCAGAAAGATTATCTATGCGAATCAAGAAAGAGTACTGGCAACCACAGCAAGAATTTAAAGACTTACAAAAAAATGTACAAGAAGCCTTATCATACCACAGCACCAGACTTCAAGAAGCCAAGGATGTTGTAAATGAAGCTACTGCCAAAGCTAATAAGACCAAACGCCTGCTTTTTCTTATTAATAAGAACTTAAAGGAGTTCAATGTAAGAAGACTGGTAGTGATTTTACATTATATTTAAGCGTATAATATAACCTTGAAGGAAATGTTTGTTTTAGAAAATGGATTGATAGCATTAGTACCATATAGCACACTTAAACTATGCGATCATTTAAATATAAAATGCTAATTTTAGGAATTTTCTAGTGGCATATAAGTACATCTATAATTGTATTTCTGTCACAGCATAACAAGTGGACTATTCAAGAAGACAAGGAGCTGGCTGTTAGGCTGACCAAAGAAGGAAAAGTTCAGGTGGACGCTGCCACCGCCCTTGCTAAAGATGTCATCAACTCCACATCTGTAAGTTACTGAACACTTGGTTCGTGAGTTATATATGATTTGATACAGTGAACTGTCCTTGATTCAGTACGAGCTAATTCTGAATTTGTAGAGTCTAGAAGTCTTCCGGGATGGACTGATCCTATGGAATGGCAAATTAAGGCACCATGTGAATGACCTGGTCATGCAGCTCTCCGCTCGAAGAGCACTTGAGCTTGTTTACAGGACAGAAGAGCATGCGGCTGAGTTACAGAGAATTGGTGATGTACTGGACAGGTGAGGTCCATCATGAGCTTAAGCATGGCCTGCTCCAAATGAATGCCTCATTCAAACAGAAGACTGTCTATGGAGAGCTTGACAGATGTTCGCCCTGGTATTATACCTAATGCTTATATACCCGTATTATGCAAACTATATCCTACATGCAGTCTAGAAATTCACTGTGTAATTTTGGTCTGCATGCGTAGGAATTTATACATCCTAAGATAGGCATGTATTATAAATATAATATGCATATTATACAAATGTGCATGCATTTTATATTTTATACAATATGTAAAATATGACTTGTGTAATATCGCTCAAACCTGGGGTACTGGCAGGCACATAGAATGGGGCACAATCCCATTCTCTAGCCACATGGCATTGTTAATTTTAACTGATAATTCTTTTAATTGACACAGGATGTGGGGAAGGAAGGCAATGATACATGAACTGGAATTTAAACTGCCACGGTCTTCATGGAAGCAAAGAAACAAAATAACTATGCCAAATAAAGGTTAAGAGGAAAGGGAAATTCAATTAGTGACTGCCTTGGGGATAATGGGAAATGTGCTGTTCAGTATTCAAGTATTACTATTTTTTTTCATTTCATGAGAAAGCTGCCTCTGTTTAAAGTGCAAGAGCTGAGCAAATCTAAGGATTTAAAATATTCCCATTGTACATTATTGTACCACCATATCTGGCAGTATTATTTCTTATTTAATTTTATGTTAAAAGCTTACGATTTTTTCTCCCTGCTGCAGTGGTCTCTTGAATGTACGAAATATGTCCCTGAATTCAAGGAATGCTGTCCATGTGTACTCTGCCATTAAAAGTATGACGGAAAGTGCAGATGGCCTGGCAAAGGATGCTTATAGGATTATGGCTGAAGCACTGCATGGGGTAAGAGCTGCTTTGAAAATTGAAGCACAGCATTGTTGTAAAAATATCCTTTATCTTGCATTACTTTAACCTCTAGAACAGAGGCACTGAACTTCTGGACCACCTGGGATCCCAATAGGTGGCCCACCCCACCTTCCTCTGATTTTATTCCTTGTTTCCCCAACCAGCAATCATTGCGTGATTTCCTGGATTCTGTTTCCCATGTTAAAAGGCTGAAACAGTTTTCTTGAGACTAAGTTACTGGCAGTAAGAACTTAAAACTATAATATACTTTTTCAAAATTGTTGGTCCTATCCCTTCTGCTTTTAGCCCTGCCTTCCACTAGAGAGGTTCACCATTGTTGCTCTAGAATCTGGTGTTCAGCATCTTGCCATGGCATCTATCTTGCTCTCAGAGAGAAAGGATGCTCTCCTTGGTTTGTTTAAGGTGGAACTAGTATCCTTTACTTTGATTTGCAAGTTTGTGATCACAGCCCATCAGTCCATTATTTGCTGGTGCATAATGGCTCTCCCTTGTCTTCCTCAAGAAGGAATAGGTGTGAAAATGCAGTGGAAAATTCCCAGGCACGCATGAATCATGTCTGGTCCCAGTCATTAATTTAGACACTTGATCAATTGGACTCTGTCCTATGGGTTCCATCCTTTGAGCTTTTAGGCTTCCAACCTTTCAACCTAGGAAATTTATGAGCATCCTGGCAGGTTGGGAGAAGGGCTGGAAGTGATCCTATCCTGATCCTTCCTTCCTTCCTCCCTATCCGGATCCCCTGTATCTTTGTTAGATGGCCTTTCTGCCTGACTAGTAATTAAAAGAAGGAGGGAAAGAATCTGGAAATTCAGGATAGCTCCTACTTTGGCTTCTCTGGTCTCCTCCTGTTTCCTTCTACCTTGTCACTCTCTTCAACATTCCTTTTCTGTCATGCTTTCTACACCTGCTGCAAAAAGAAGGGATTGTACCTCTGGTTCCCAGCTTTGAGGGAGGAGAACTGTCTGCAGTCTTGGAGCTGGGAATCCAAAACATCTCTCAGATGGTATCTAAGGGATATAGGATTGCTCTCCAAATTTTGAAAATTCTGGAAGTTACTGCAGTCCTTTGCATACTTACCTGTGAGTAAACCATGTTGAGTAAGTATGCATAAGAGGCACTATTAGCTATACATTTGACAAGCTGAAATTTCTTTGAATTCAGCATAGAAGAATATAACCTACATCCTTACAAGGCCAGAGCATCATAAAAGTATAAACAAAAGCATTTAAATCATGTTTAGAATTTCATGTTTCTATCCTATTTATAGGCTGCAACCTTAGGGTAATTTTTAATGCAGATGTTATATCACATTCTAAAAAATAAAAAGAAATAAAAATCTACAACTATCCTTAAGATAGAACTGTTAAACCTAAACCAAATGATATGTAACCATAAGGATTCACTTAAATTCTGGCCTAACACTGACAAATGATGGGTTGTTTTTTCCTCAAAATTGGTGGTTGTGCCAAAAAAGTTATTAAATATTTTTCCAAATATAATATTTCCTTGTTTTATTATTGTTTAAAGCCAAAAGAGACCTTTAATTCTACTGGGAAAAATGTTCTGCATTTTGGTTCCAAATATTTAACTGACGCAAACAGTTTGCACAAGAAATATGAAGGTAAGCATCATGAAATGCAGATTGTTTATTAAATTCTGGCTGCTGGGTATCAAATCAACAAATCAATTGCGTATCAAATTGCATATTAAATACTGGCTGCTGGATATCAATTGCAACAAACTTCCCCCTTAGAGGGAAGCTTTAAAAAAATGCTCCAGTCACATTTATGCAAGTTCCAAACTGCCTTTCAGCCTTTCTGCCCTGCCTCACTTTGGATGATGTGTATGTACAGATACATCCTAACTGAAGGGATTTTTCTGGTTTTTTTCATAAGAAGTTTTATTCGAAATTATAATCCTAAAAACAAAGAAAAATTAAAAACAACATCAATCATCTAAAACATCAGGCCTGCTGGGTCAGCCCCCACATTTTTTTCCATTTATGATAACTTAAAAACATATTTAAATCTATACGAAGTCCCATTTCTCTAGCCAATAGTAAAAAGAGTCCCAACTTTGATAGAAGTCAGTATCTTCTTTCTCCTTCAATGATAAAGTCAATCCATCCATTTCTGCAGAGTCCAAGATCTTTTTTAGAATCAGTTCGTTGGTGGGTGGTTCTTCACTTTTCCAGTGTTGAGCAAATGCAATCCTCGCCACAGTAATTACATGTAAAATCAAATACATTTCTTGTTTACTAATATCAACAGATAAAATGCCTAATAAGAAAATTTCAGGTTTAAGAGCTAAATTTTTGTAACATTTCTTCAAGCCATTTATGTATTTTAATCCAATACTTTTTCGCGTTATCGCAAGTCCACCACATATGATAGAAAGTAGCCAATTTATGTTTACATTTTCAACATCTATTTGACATATTTGGAAACGTCTTAGCTAATCTATTTGGTGGTTTGCTTTCTTGAAACATGCACTGGATCCAAGGAGCATGGCTGTCTTGCCCACTGCACAAAATTAACAATGAGTATAGGTTGGATTTAAAAGTAATGTCACCTCAGCCTTCGCCAGCCTGGCTGACTTTTAATTCCATTAATTGCAGCCAGCATTTTTTATACCGACCCTGGTTCTAATCTCCATTCAGCCGGGGGAAGACCGTGTGAGTCAGTACTATTACTACATCTCCCCCTACCTCAGAGGGACATTGTGCTGATCAAATTAAGGGAAATAACTGAATTCCATGCTGAGCTGTTTGCAAGAAGAATGGGATAAAAATGTAGTATACAGGCATTTTCCAGGCTGAATTTTGCTGTATTTATGTCGGATATAAGCATGTAAATGGGAATGCAGGTGGCACAGTGGTTTAAACCGCTGTGCTGCTGGGCTGGTTGATCGAAAGGTCACCAGTTCGAATCGGCACAACGGGGTGAGTTCCCTTGCTCCGTCCCAGCTCCTGCCAACCTTGCAGTTCGAAAGCATGAAAATGCAAGTAGATAGAAAGGTATCACTTTGGTGGGCAGGTAACAGCGTTCCGTGCACCTCGGTGTTTAGTCATGCCGGCCACATGACCATGGAGACTGTCTGGGACAAATGCTGGCTCCCTTGGCTAGGAAACGGAGATGAGCACTGCCCCCTAGAGTCAGGCATGACTGGACTTAATGTCGAGGGGAAACTTTTACCTTTACCTTTTAAAGCATGTAAATAAATGTCATAAAACTGAACTGCTTCCAGTGTGTCTCTGAAGGCAATTGGACTGCAACATACTTATGATCAGAGAACAATTTTTCTGTCTCTCTGATTTCTTTTAGGATACTGCATCTGTGCACATGTTCCCCTACAGAATATGGCTTGGCTAACTGGCTTGAGTTGCATGCAACTATTTGCTCAGCCGCTATTCCTTTAAGTACATATCTCTAATTTCAGCATGCTGTAGCTGAGATTATATACGCTGATCTGGAATGAGGGGTGGAAAGAAGGAATGATGGGTTGGTTAGACAAACCTACAAGGTCTTTGGGAACCTTCTAAGTGTGGTTTCAGGCTACTATATAATGATAATATGTATTTTTCCTTGCAGGACTTGTGCCTAGATTAAATGCAATGAAGGTAAAAGTGGAAAATATTAGAGAAAAGGCTAGTGGAATTGCTAGACAGTTTCATGGGTCACTGTCACAGCTGGCTACATTGCCAAATAGTAAGTAAGGCTATCTCAGTTTATACTTCTTCATTACATAAGGCAACTACATTTAACTTGAGTTTTGTTAGTCTTTTCTAATAGTAACTTCCAGGCATTTCTTTTATGTCTTGAGAATGCAAAAAATATGTTAAACTGCAGTGGTATGTACGGATAAAAGGCATAAATCATGTATTACTTTTGAAGAAATGGAAGACCCACACACACACATGACTCCCCCCCCGACACACACACACACACACACACACACACACACTATTTCTCTGTATTTATTTGTATTTCTGCCAGCCAAAATTCCAGTGCTGATTTTCTGCCTGGTAAAGCTCTGAATTTAAAATAAAAACAAAGACATTTATCAGTCCTTAAGCTGAAGTGGAGGCTTGAATTAAATTTGTTGGCTGTTTTTGCCTGGGTTTAGTAAGCTTCAGGCTCACACGTTCCCCACTTCCCTCTTTGCCTCCTGCATAGCTTCCATTTCTTTTCGTTAACAAACAATGGTTATCATAAACTATGTTTAGTTTCAAGCAAGCCAACTTAAAACCATTATCTGTGAAGCTATCTTGTTTTTGCCAACTGTTGGTACAATTAACCATAGTCGTGGGTCTGGACACTACAGACAAATAATGATTAAACAAAAATTGAAGTTAAACTTCTGAACTCCTTCCTCCTGCTGCGTCAGTTAAGTGGGGAGTCATCCCAGAATGGGAAGCACTTGAAGTTGAGGACCTGGCACGGTTCATTCTTCCTCGGCCATATCAAGGAGAACCGTGATACAGTGTGATGTGCAATGCAGCTGTTGTTACCATGCTGGCATGTAACAATGGAAACAAAGAGTCTGGCCTTACAGATCAAGCTTAGTAGAATCAGATGTGTTATATTGTTCTAAAGGATGAAAATTTAATAATATAAAGAGTCTGATCAGATATTCTTAGTGATCTTCTTTTGCATGGCATTTTTAAAAGCAAGGGGCTCTACCGCATTTTAAACCAAGAATAGCCTAGAATCTTAAGTGATGGGGGAAAAAAGTAAAACTTCATACATACAGCTGGTTTAGTTTCTTCAGTGGTAATCTCAGCCTGAAAAGTGTTACAGTATAACATGTGAGTCTGCTTTTTATGACCCAGTTGTTGAATGAAAAAAACTCTTAAATCACCCAGTGCATTGCACTATGCAATTTAATAGTGCAACAACCTCCCTCCCAAACAAACAAACAAACAAACAAACAAAAAAGATTCTGGAGTGTTTTCAAGCCAAATGTGACCAAATGTGGCAGAAAACCACACATTTTTCAGTGAATTTCAGTGGCAGTCCAGCAATTCTTTTGCCCCTGTGGGCAGTGTAGTGGCAGGAGTGCAGCTCCCAACGGAAACTGGAATCTGAAATTCAGCCCCTGGATGGCCTGAAGTTGCCTGCCTGTTTTATGCCCGTTTTCTGCTGTGGTTGCATGTGTATTAGCACCCAAAAGGTAGCAGTAACTTTGCAGACAGTGGGAAAGACCATTTAGGTTGCATAAATGGCATGTGGGATAGTATTTCCCTACCATCACTACTTTAATGTAAAACAACAAAGGAGTCCCTTTTTGCAGATATAGCACTTAATGTCCAGTTTAGTCCTGAGACACTCAGAGTCTGAATCTTCCATCTAATCTACAGTAGTCAAGTTATGCTGTTTTCTTTGTTTCAGGTACCACTGAGAATATATTTGCAATAAAAGAACTGGCTGCTAATGTAACCTCACTTGATGGTTTAAGACACACTGGCAGCTTTAGCGCCAAGTTACTGAACACCTCATCTGCATTGTCTGAGGTTAATGAGACGTTGCAGAGAACCAATGAACTTATAATCAACTCATCAGAAGCTGGTAGGTTTGCTGCTTCATTTCCTTCTAGAAATGTCACAAAATGTAAGGGTTAGGTTAATTTTTAAGCCTAAGTGTCCCTTATCTTTATTAAAACCAGTTTATATTACTTTTCCTGGGTTGGTGGGATCTGATGCTGTGTGCAAATGAGATTTTATAAAGACTTTTCTTATTACAAATAAGCATTTTCAGAACTGTGTTTGCAAAAAAAAAAAAAAAAAGTCGTAATCGTAAGTACTGCCCTATATTGGCACATACACTTTTTGTGCATTTATATATATTTTGGCTAATGCATCAGAGACCCATGTTTTAAGCTAAGCAACATTTCAAGTCATATAGCTCCACCCAAATGTATTGTCATGGTCTTGCTTTTTCTTTTGGCAGCAGCAGCAGCTGAAAAAAAAGTGAATGAAATTGAAATCCAGGCTGGTATCTTATTTGGGAGGCTAAAACCTCTCAAAGTGCTGGAAGAGAACCTGAGCCGGAACATCTCTGAAATTAAAGAGCTTATCAATCAGGCCCGCAAGCAGGCAGCTTCTGTAAGGAGCTTATTTTATTATATAATCGTTAAGGGGGAAATGCTACTTAGTTTCAATTCCTAATTAGCAGTATATATTAGAATATGAAGACACAGGCCACAATCCACAGTTTTGTTTCTTCAGGGACTTGGGCAGGTCCGTCCGTCCGTCCTTCCTTCCCCAGTGTCCCTTTATGCCTTCGTGTGCCTCCCCATTTAGAAGGTGCTTTGCCATTCAGTGCATAAGAGTCAGGTCCAAATTTAATTAGAATAGACTCAGTGATTTAGTTTCTGCGGCTTTAACTTTGGCTGTTTACAAGCTACCCAAGAACACTCTTTTGCTAGGTTGTGCACCGTGGCATGCGAACTTGAAACCCAGGGTAATTCAGGGAGGTACAACCCAGAGTTCTAGCTTCACATATCCTGCTGAACAGTCCAAGAACCAAGTCTTTCTTGGGTGAATTTGGTATATCAGAAGCAAAAGCAGAAGTGACAAGTGAGCAGAAGGAAGTGCACTTGCTCCCATGATATCATGAAAAACCGGGGCTGTCATTAGATGAAATCAACAGAAATCTTACTCATTTCAACTAAGCTTTAAGTAGGGCTCAATCAAGGTTACTGGTTAGGAAAAATAAGTGAAACAGGGCATGGAAAGTAATTTAGATTGTGCCCACAGTAGTTCTTGTTATGAATTTTGAGCACTTTCTGTTCCCAGTTTACTGGGTTTGAGAAAGAAATGTGCTTTATAAAAAGTTTAATTACCATTCCTGGATCTTGGTTTCCTATATGATGGATAAGGGATGATCAATTGGCATCCTGTCTATCGGATGCATTCCCCAAAGCAGTTTTATTGTGCTTGTCATCAAATTATAGTAAAATTTTGGGCATATGTTTGCAGAAATGAACGAATGAAATAACAGCTTTAAGGTGCAGTTCTATGTAGGGAAAAACATCTACAGCTCCCCACATGCTTCAGCAAGCTGAGAATTGTAGGCCTCTCTTCTGTTTAAACTTGTATAGAATTGTGCCCATATTAAGTGTCTTAGACTGAATAAGGGACAAGGAGAACTTTCCAGTGTGGCCACGTGCAACCCTCTGAACTCTGAGAATGATGGGCCACCGAAGGAGGGTGGGAGAAATGCGGGGCACTTCCCTTGCTCTCCAATGTTCACAGTGTTTCACCCATGCTTGTGAGGATGAACGAGGGGCTGAGGCTCTGCCAGAATTCCTCGTGTCCTGGTGGAACCTCACTCTCCCTTGCTGACCCCCTTTCCCACAGCATCTCTGAAGTTGTGCTTGTAACTTCAAAGCTGCAGCTGGCACATAGAACCTCACATAGAGCTCACAGCACTTTCCTGGGCTTGCAGCTGGGGCTTTTAATTAATTGCTTAATTTTATTTTTCTACCTGCCCAACAACCTGAGGATCTCTGGGCAGTTAACAATGCTTAGAAATTGGAACATATAAACAAACAAACAAAAAACCCAAGAGTAGCATATAACAATAAAACAGTAAGCTAATTAATCCAACAATACAATAACAATAGACCCACAGCAGTTGCAGTCAAACAGCAGCAATACAAGGTAAAATGATGGCATCCAAAGTCACACTAACTTTTCTGTGTAGTTCAGGATGTGAGTGCAGGATGTGAGGACGTGAGAATCCATTCCACCAGCTTCCCCGACCTGCACAACACCATGACTCTTACTCCTTCCTCAAGGCCCAAGGCATCGGGGCGCCCTTTTCTTCAATAGGTTCCAGTGGTGTGCTATACTGAAGCAGCCTGTAACCACACCGAGCACAGTTGTTAGCCATGTGTTGACTTCTTGATTGATACACTGAATGGGGCAGGGGTCTGGTTTCTGTAAAGTGCTGTGCATGCTGATGGTGCTATAGAAGGAGGAGCAGTTAAAGATGTACATAGATGCATTTAAACACAATGAAACTCTAGCCAATAGTTGGCTTATAAGGCTTGTCTCAAGAATGCCACATTTTATCAGCAATGTGTTTTCAAGGAATGTATAATTTACGTACAATACTTACCTGCGTTTTTCTCTTCTTTTCAGATTAAAGTTGCAGTATCTGCAGAAAGAGATTGTATTCGTGCCTATCAACCTCAGATATTATCTACTAATTACAATACATTGACATTAAATGTGAAAACAACTGAACCTGATAATCTCCTATTCTATTTGGGTAGCAGTGGTAAAGTAAGCAGCAGGAGATCTTTATAATGCAGTTAAAGTCTTCATTTTATGGGCAGGGAACTCTACCAAGTATCAGTCGCTCTTAACATTGATTCATTTAGTTGCTTATTTATTTTTACATTTATATGCAGCTTTTTCTCCCTCTTGCAAGGAACCCAAGGCAGCACCAATATAGTGTACATATTTGAAAACACAGTAGCTGTTCCTTGTCATATTTTTAACTACCCTTCTAAGTTTGGATGGATAGTTAAGGAGTCAGTTGTCCCACCCAAGTCATACACCTTTAGCAGTGGGTGGGAAAAAGAACTGGGTGGCTACAGATATTCTGGTTTAGTGTCATTTTTAGCAGCGGGTGGGAAAAAGAGCTGGGTGACTACAGATATTCTGGTTTAGTGTCATTTTGAATGCCTGTGGGGTGGGTGGGAGTTAATGGTCCAAATAGCAATGTTTAGCAAAGGATAGATTTGATCTTAAGATTTCTGGAAGAGATGGCTGTTTTGTTCAGCAGCTGCAAAAAACATAATGCAAGATGTTTAAGAGCCCCATCTTTTTGCTGGTAGGGGAGAAGAGTAGGGATTGCAATTCAGTTTCCAACATTGCTATCTTGTGTGTCACCCTGGATGAATCCGTAGCTATTTATAAGTACTAAGCTGGAGGAATGGAGTTTGAAGAGTAAGGCAAGTGTGGCTATTGTGAAGTTTAATTAGTTGGGTTCAGCAGGATTTTTCAAGAGGAATCAGGATGCAGTAGCTGTGTGACATAGGCATTTCTCTGTGTTCTTATGTATCTGAGAGGCATCATTCATTTCAATGGTGGGAAGTTTGAGTGCTGTCAGGGAATATCAATGTATATCTGCATCCTCCACTGAAATACATAGTTAAGCTGCGTGCAGGGAAATTCTGTATACACATGGGAATTGGACACAGAAGCACAAAATCAGTGGCACTTCAAGGTTAGGAAAAAGGACAGGGTGTAGCATATGGCATAGCGGTCAGCAAATTCTACAGCTGAATTTGCATTTTTCTTTTCCTTTTCCTGTTCTTATTTCAGGGAACTGAAATGATACCCCTATTGAGAATAATATCGCAGTAGTAGTTACAGCTAATTTGGATAGTTTCTTATAATAGTTTGCATTTATCAAGAATAATTTTTCTTTAACTACATAGCTTTTACTTTCTGGGAGAGCCAGCTGTATCTTCAATTAAATAATCCTTTGGTTAATTAAGCTTGCAAAATTCTGTATTGTCTGCACATCTTGCAAATATGCTGTTAGTTTTATTTTTTTCAAATGCTTCATTTACATTTGAGAAAGTTTAGTGGTCTCACAAATTATTGAAACTTTTTTTAAAAAAATTGTGTTAGAAGTACTTAACATTGAATTTAAGTGGGTTAATTCTTTAACTGTTGGCTTTTCAAATACCAACCTGACCTACTTTGATAGGAGTTCATCTTGCCTATTTTCTTTCTTCAGACCTCATTCATATGGGACTGACTTGGTAGCCACTTGAAAATAGAGCAGTCAGGATGCTTATCTGTGTGATAATGTATTGCTTGAAGCTACAGCTTGTGGTGATTGGCCAATTTCCTACATGTCCCCCTTTTTCAGGAAGACTTTTTCCTGTATTTTAGATTGTATAATCCACAATGAATGGTGATGACAGGCATGGAATCATTCTCACATGGGGCCATACTGAAGATTCTACCATGTTAATAGACTGTCATTTGGCTATGATTGGTATCAAAGGCTATCTGTTAATCACTCCACTTATGATATTTTAGCTATGTTGGCATTCTCTTGGTGATCTGGAAATCTTCTTTTTAGAGTGATTTCATGGCAGTGGAGATGCGTCATGGTAAGGTGGCCTTCTTGTGGGATATGGGCTCTGGATCAACAAGACTGGAATATCCAGACCTTTCTATAAACAACAATGAATGGCATCGAATACATGCTACAAGGTAAGATGTAATTATTGCATGATATATGTAATATATGTATTTTAGCAAATTTGGGGTCACCATTAAATCTGAAGTAATTGCTGCCTAAAGAGTACAACCAATTATTGCAATATGCGGTTCATTGAAATACTTTGATAGGTGGAAGCGCTTTCTGCTGCATATAATAGCAATCTTTAGTCAGAATTTTGTTCAACTCTTTCTTTAGCTATAAGTAAACCTTTATTTTTGGCAAGTTAGGCATACATAGAAGTTTTCAATACCCTCTTACTTGTAATTAGGTTTGGAAAAACTGGGACCCTTAGTGTGGAGGAGACAAGCTCTTCTCAGAAGCTCCTTACAAGAACTTCCACTTCTCCTGGGACAGCTACAGTACTGGATGTAAACCAATCAACTCTAATGTTTATTGGTGGACTTGGAGGGCAAATCAAGGTGAAAAAAATAGCCATACCACATGCTGCAATATTTCATTATATTTATCATATTGATTTCCCTGAAGTTACCCACTCACTGTTCTTTGATGAATGAATAAGAATTGTTGTGCCTTCAGAGATGCAAAGAAAGCTGACTAAATATTATTGGAAAGCTGTTGCATATTAGCTGAGCAATAGGAAGGAAACACTTTGTACCAAGTCTGTGGGGGCAGAGGGGATAAGGATCTACCATTCTCAGGACCAGGTATGCTTTCCAGAGTAACTTAGGATATGGCAGGTGTACTTCTGCCCTGGACCCTGCAAGACTCTGCTTTGTTATAGCCATAGCCATTCCACCAGCTCAGCTAAAGTACCAGCCTGATCTTTTGGCATATCTGGAGTGTTTCATTGGCATAACTTGTATTCTGTCAGTGTAGCAGGGGACCATAACTAATTCCTATACTATAGGAAAAAGTATAGTAAGTGTTCTTAATACACTAGCAACTGCTAGCAGAACACCCAGCACAGCTAGCTCAACCTAGCTCAGTAGAGATGAATGAGCTGGGCAACAGCTAGTGCAGCAAATAATAGAAGAGCTTGTAGAAGAACTTGTGCTATCACTTGTGCCATGGCTTTGAAAGCAGAACCAAGGCATTGGCTTTGACTTCTGTGAAAGAAGGAAAATGAACTTTCTATAAACAGTAGATGCTTTATATTAGTGGAATTACCCTATTGAGTAAAACTTAGGTATCTTATAGCTCCTGCAATGGAACCTATAAGTGCAGAATTGTGTCCTTAGTTCATCAGAAATGTTAATTAATAGGCCTGTTGACTTGCAAAATATAAATGTAATAAATATATTTCCTTCTTATTGCAAACTACATATGCTGAAATATATATGACACTGAATGAGATCAACATATCAATAATATTCTTATTTTGGTAGAATATATCCTTAGCACAAAGTTATGGATTTCTGAACTGTTTATCTGAATGAATCACAAGTTACCTGATTGTTTTTGGTTGCTAAGTGTGTGTGTTCTGCAACAGAAATCACCTGCTGTTAAAGTAACGCATTTTAAGGGATGCATGGGGGAAGCATCCTTGAATGGCAAATCTGTTGGACTCTGGAACTATGTGGAAAGGGAAGGCAAGTGCAGTGGATGCTATGGAAGGTGAGAATTAGAAACAGTTGTTGAATTAGGAAATATCACACTGCATTTATCATAAATGCAGTTTTACAACAGCATTGAAAGATCTGGACTCGCTCTTCCATGGAACACCATCTCAGTCATTTTGGGCTGCCATCTTGTGTGTGTAATGTCCAGGTTCTAGACCACACCGCCATGACTGAACAGACTCTTTGCGAGCTTAATATACAATCACTCTGCACCAGTTTCAAGGTGAATGCAATTTGAAGAAGGGAGTATTTGTGCTTTCTGGTTATACATCAAAGCACAAAGAGGGCCATTGGCTCTGTCTTCCCCCTTCTTTCTGCCCTTCTACATACTAATTTCTTCCTTTGCTTCCTGATTTATGATAACTGCCAAAGTATCTAAATTGAGCTAACTTTGGTTACTGCTAATATTATTACTTGTCTCAGAAACCAGATCAGTCATGAAGTTTCCTGGTTTAAGGCTGGGCTGGTTACCATGTGTCAGCCTAAGCTACCACACAGGATTCTTGTGGAAATATCATGGGGAAGGTGAATGTGTATAACCACCATGAACTTGGAGAAAAGATAGAATAAAATCACAATGCAAAGTTAAGCGAAAACAGAACCAGCAGTGGAGCCAGGCACTTCTGAATCCAGAATCTTCTTGGTTCCCAATGTCCAAAGCATGATTTGGCTATCATGTTTGAATCTGACCAATTATTGTTAATATACTGATACTGCTCTGGATATGTATACATGGCCTGCTTTATAATTTCATGAATAATCAAATGGCACCACTTTTTAAGAATCCATTTCCTTACTGTTCAATCTTTGCTTTTTAAAAAACTATATTGATACATCTTAAACATCTTGGATGAGAAGAAACCATGTTTGATTTAGTAAATTGCTATTGGTTAATTATTATCTGTAACCAGCAGAGGGAGATGCAGGATTCCTTTAGAAATGTTTTGAGAAACAATAAGGAGATCCTACAATTACAGCCTCTACTTACTCAGTGCTATTCTGATTTAAATTAGTGAGAACACAGGGGACATTTGAAGGTGTTCATTGTTTTTGTACTTGATTTTCTTAATGTTTGTATAATATTCCGTACTTTTTCCAAAATTTGTAATTTGGCTTATTAAGCTGATGAAAATGGCAGTCCCAGGTATGTTTTGGCAGTGACTCTGAACACAGGTGGTTTCTTGCCTGTTTGGAGCTGTATAGGATTTGTAGCTTGCTCATTGCATTTCCTCTGATTTTATTCTTGCATGTAGCCCAGAATGGCAGCCTGCATTCTGATTCCTGCAGTGTTGCACTCGCAGAAGCCTTGTTAGAAGCAACACAGAAACCTGTGGGTAGGGCTTGCTGTGTTGGTCAGAAAGCAACTCTGCACTAAAGTTCTCCCTCTCCCCATTGTTTTCCTAGCCTACCTGATGAAGACACTTCATTTCACTTTGATGGCAGTGGATATTCAGTAGTGGAGAAGGCACTTCGCTCCACTTTAACACAGATCATTGTATTCTTCAGCACCTTCACACCTAACGGGCTCTTAGTATACCTGGCTTCTAATGGCACAGTAAGAAAATTCACCCAGCTTCCGAAGGAGTCAGTCCTATAGATCATGTAGCACAATATAGGGTATGATGCTATGCATGTTTATAGAGAAAAGAGCCTTACAACTCCTAGTATTCCCCAGCCAGCCATGCTGATTCAGCAATTCTGGGGACTTGTAGGACTTTTTTTCTGTTTAAATGTGCATAACACTTTACCATCACTTGTTCTAAAAAGTGGTTTAAATGTATATACTGTCCCTATCAATTTCCTCTGATGACAAACACATAAAATTGTCCTTGGTTTTTCTGCAGCAAGATGCTTTGAGCCCTGGGAAGGAGAAATCAAAACTTAGGTTTTATATGTATATTGTGTAGCATAGTGGCTAAGAGGCTGAGGAAGTAAAAATGGTTTTTGCCACGAACTGAGTGGCACGAACTGCTTTCATGTAAGGTTCCCATTGCAACATGTTCTTGTAAGGTTTGTAAGATAATATATGCTTTGTGCGATCCAAAGCATTGTTCATATGATACGGTGTAAGGATGTTGAACCTCTTTCAGACCAAGGCTCAAATTCAGTTTCCTAGCAGCTCTTTTGGGGTCGCATTTCAGGACTGGGTAGGACTTAGGACAAAAGGGGGAAGCTGCAGATATGAAAAATGACAGCCTGTTCTACTTGAAACTCTTTCTGCTAGTAACTAACAATCAGGAGAAGCACAGGAGCCTTTTAGGATGGGAACAAACAGCATAAAAGCTGGGATAACAGCAAACAAATGGGAAACGGGTGGGAGCAGGGGAAGGACATACGGTCTTTTGAGGAACCACAAAGGATCAGATTTGACATCTAGATCTGAGGTTTAGCAGCCCTGAATTAAGTCATGCAATGTTAGTTATTGAAGACAGGAAATTCTCAGTTTTATCTCTCTTGCTGAGAATAGAAACATCAAAACAATAACTAGTAAGCTACATCAAAGGGGGGAAATGCATTGCATAATTTAAGAAACATATGATGGGCAGATTAGGTTTTGAATTAGCTTGAGGCTTTGAATTAGGCTCTAGACGCACTTAGAGTTTTTCTTTTAATTTTCTCTTTGTTTCTTCTTCTGCAGAAGGATTTCTTGTCTGTGGAACTTGTTGATGGTCAAGTTAAATTAATGTTTGATCTTGGTTCAGGTCCTCTTACTCTAAGAACAGAAAAACGCTACAATAATGGAACATGGTATAAAATATCATTCAGTCGAAACAAAAAAGAAGGTAAAATGTGTTAATGAAGTTGAGGGCTGGAAGACAACTGTTTATAAGAATAAATCAGGGACAATCCAGCCAGGGTTAGCCATTTAATTCAAGATCCTTTAATGATCAATATTATGTATTGATAGAGAAAACCATGGTAGAGGAACATCAGACCCTAAGCCCTACTAGGCTCGTGCTGGGAAGGCAGATAAGTTGGGGCAGGCTTTTCCTGCTGGGTGCTTCTCTGTGGCTTCAAATAACCTTTCCCTTTCCATTGCTCTCAATAGCCATTTCTAGGCAGTCTCATGTTTTGTCTGTTTGGGCAATAGGTGAGAAGCCTCTCCACCACTGTGTGGACGAGGCAAGCCAGGGTGAACTTCCTTCCATCAGATTACCTTATTAGAATATCTTGATTCTTAAAATAAAGGAGTTGGCAGCATCCAGGGCATGAGTGGCAAGAATCAAGGGTGAGGTTGTAGGACTAAGATTTGAGGTAAACAGAGTCCCAGTGCAGTTCAAAGTTCAGTAGTAAAATCAGAGCCTGGTACTTGGTTCAGAGGCAGAGTTGTGGTCAAGAAGCTGGCCAAGGTCAGGTGTATGTATCAGGGCAAGACAAGCATGTGTCCATGAAGAAGCCAAGGGTCAAGAATTAGGAAGATAAACAGGGAAAGGTGCAACTACCTGAGGCAGGTTAACCCGGCAGGATTCAGAAATGGCAAATGTTCGGCGGGCAAGGCAGGGCAAGGCAAGACAGCAAGGCATGGGGTGGGGTATCACAGCATGGCAATGCAGCAAGGCAATGCACAATAATGCAGCAGGGCAAGGAACCCGATCCAGTGAGTTTCAAGCGAATATGCGGGAACTGAAATGCATTACAGTGAACAGGATGACCTGTGTTGCCTAGGCAAAACGGCAAGGCAGCATAGAAGCCAGCTCAGGCAAGGTGAAGGAGCCATACCATACCACAACTGGAAAGAACACCTGCATTGCTAAGGCAGTCGGTGAAGGAAGGGCTTGCTCTTATTTAGATCTTTCTGGAAGCTGAGCGCTCAGCAGGATCTGGGACTGATCCTGCAAATATTGTGTTGGATGTTCTGGTTCTTGGCCACCAGATGGAACTCTGGAACTGCCCAGCTTCTGACAGTAATCTGTTTTTAATGAACAGCAAAATGATGTCTTGCTACTGTCAGCATTTCCTGTAATGCTTGCCTAATAACAAATGTAGCATGAGAGCTATTCCAATTTGTTGATCTCATATTTATTACCTTTCAGGAATTTTGTCTGTCATGGAGGCCTATAACCTTAGTTCTAAAGAAACTAAGCGAGGAGAATCCCCTGGTGCAGCTTCTGACTTGAATCGTTCTGATAAGGATCCTGTTTACATTGGGGGGCTACCAAGGTCTCGGGTAATACGGTAGGTATTAATGCAAACTTTTCATGTTGCCCTTCTTAAATGTGTGAACTTGCAAACAGAGACCTGATTTGCACAGAATTACTGTCAATTTAAATATCAATGGTGCAAGTAGTTGCTTGCAAGGCTGGAAACTTGCTTCTTCCAGATAACAGCACAACCCACAATCAGCCCCTTCATAGGTTGAGCAGTGTGACATTAGGGACTTAGCCACCCATCAGTCAACCCATGAAGCTGTTTATGGGTTGTACACTGAGCAGGAGAGGCAGGCAGATGCAAGCAGCACACATGCTTATGCACAACAACACAAGGTGAGATTTTGATATGATTAATTTCAATAACTTTGCTTTATTTTTGGGCCATGTATTATTTTTATTCTGTGTATCTCATTTTATTGACTTTTGATAGTTTTTAAAACATTTTATTGTTATTGGCATATTGTATATTGTTATGTGTGTTTTGTATTGTTTTATGTTGTAATGAATTTTAATGTTGTAAGCGGCCCAGAGAGCCTATGACTAGTGGGGTGGCATATAAATCAACTAAATAAATAGATAAATAAAATAAAGTAGTTCTGAAACTGATGGCTTCTTGTTATAAGCAAACAGCCTCTTGGAAGTTAAATGTAGGCTCTGTTACAGTTATTTATTTAATATTTATGTACCACCTTTTCCCTTTCAAGGAACTTGAGGTGGCTTACATAATTTTCCTCTCCCACTCAATCTTATCTTCACAACAGCAGCCCTCTGATGTAGACCTGGGCTAAGAGTCTGTGGCTGGCCCATAGTTACCATGTTGGATCCATGGTCAAGCAGGGACTAGAACCCAGATCACCTGAGTCCCAGTCCTGCTCTCTGAACCACTACACCACACTGGCTCTCAATTCTGTAACTTGTTCTGTATTTGAGACCCTGTAACACTTGATACTCATATTTCATAGGGTGCATGCATATGCTCTTTCTGTTTTGGTTTTCTTAGCTTTAGTTTCAAGCAAATATCTAATATCAAATATCATGTAAACACACATTTTCTCTACTTGGTGCTAGCTGGTGGCCCAGACCAGGGAGTGCTCTCTTCCATCCATGATTAGTCAGAGTTGCTTAGCCCTTTCTTTCTCCATTTTAAGCTTCCCACTGATTCTATATAGCTGGGCTAGGTAACATGTTTCCTATAGGCCATAGTGGCACACACAGTGATGTTCAGGTAGCCCCAAAGTGTAAATTTGAAAGAAAAAGTCCTGCAGAGCAGTCACTACCATAGAGACCTCGAAAGGATCAAAATTAGCTTGTAAAGTTAAATAACTAAAACTGGAAGCTGAATGTTTTCTCTTCTAGGAAAGGGATAAATAGCAGAAGATATGTAGGATGTATCAAGAACTTGGAAATATCCCGTTCCACCTTTGACTTGCTTAAAAACTCATATGGTGTGAGGAAAGGCTGCATCCTAGAGGTATGGACAGACGGGCAGGTCTCTTGGGCAGATTTAAATGGAAGCTGCTTGCTGCTAAACAAGGAATCAGCAGCAAACAGTGTGGGATTGCATTGTAGTGCCTGCACAACATATGTTGTTTATGTCTCTGATAGCACATGATCTCATTCACTGATTATTTTTTTTCTTTTGCAAAATAGCCTATACGCACTGCTAGCATCTTAAGTAATGGTTACATTGAGTTGCAGCCTAAGTCCCTTTTACCAGAATCGGAACTTATGGCCACCTTTGCTACTAAGAATGCCAGTGGCATTATTCTTGTGGGGTTTAGCAAAGGTGCAGAAAAACGGAGGCGCAGGCAAGCTCATTTGGTAAGCATCCACACAAGTGCAGAAACTGGTTTCTGGTCTTGTGTTTTCTAATCTCTTTCTTTCCTTTTAGGTTAAAGCTAGGGCTGTCATAAGAAATTTGAGTGGGGCAGAAATTTGATAGATAAGCATTCCAGTGTGAATTCTGCCAGTAGAACTGGGCTGGTAGCACAATGTCCATGAAGCAGAGAGCGAGAAAGCTTCTGGAAAACTTGAAGCCCCGGAAAAGTGCTTTGTTTTGTTTTATTTCCTCAGGAAAAAAGGGAAATTACATACAATACTTGGTTACAATTACAATGGAATTGCATACAAGATTTAGCTTCTTATCAAAGCCAAAATGTTTCACTGATTTAATGTGGTAAAATGCACCATTTATAACTTTGCATGTAAAGTTTTATGAAACTTGTATTTATGGAATGTACAGAGCAATCCTCAGTGCTTAATTACATACTAGGAGCAGCCTCACTCTGTCTAGGGAGCTTACTTACTAGTAAGTATGAAGGACTGAATGTTTAAATGTCTTGTAGTATAGTTCTATATGTGTCAGGTTAATGGAACTAACTCCCGGCTGCTGCCTCAGTTTGTAGAAGCAAAACAACAGCAAATACATATATGTTCAATCTAGATAAAGGCCAGCAGAAAAAAGATCTCATTCACTGATTATTACAAGCAATAATTCATGAAAATAGATTTAAAAAGCACCCTCTGGGTATACTTAGAATGTGAATGTTGTATATGTTTACAGTATATACAGGAATCTGCCTCCTCTCATTTTATAAATTAGTCTTTCTCAGCCTAGTGCCCTTCAAATGCGTTGGACAGAAGCTCCCAGCATCCCCATCCAGCATGGCCAATAGGCTGGCCCTTTATTTCTGGTCTTCACTTCGCTGGTAACAATCACTTAAAATGGTTCCCTTCTCTGTCATTTCCAGCCCTTTTTCTCTGTCACGTTGGTCAGCGGTCATTTGGCAGTGCATGTTAACGCTGGTGACAGAGCAAGTACAAGAAAGGTTGTGCTCAAGGCCGTTAATGGAACTTACAGTGATGGGCAAGAACATTCTGTCATCCTGACTCGGAATAAAAGGTACAAGCCGAAGCACTTGTTTAATTACTGTCTGTTGTCAGTTTATCATGTTCACTGAAGAACTGATTTAGTTTTAGTTTATTTCGGTAGAATAATTACAGTGGTAATTTTCTGTTGTTAATAAAGGAATTCTGATTTATATGGTAATTGCATGCAGCCCACAGCCACTGATTAAGTTGTGTATGAATGCGCCCTTGAAATCTGTGGCCACCAGAGGGAATCATACCAAATATTGATAAAAACACCCCTACGTAATTAGCTATTTTATTTATTAGGCTAAGAAACTACAAATCCAATATATTAAGGAATAGCTACTGCAGGATTAGTAGTTGTAATTAATTATGAAAAGATTAGATCTGGTGTGTCACAGGAACAAGGCTCCAGAGCCCTTAAAAACACATTTATGTTCCAGTCATTTAAAGCAGGAGCCTATAAATATTTATGCCGAGGAAAAGCCCACATGGCTGCCTGTGGAGTGCTGAGAGCTGCAAGGCTTTGCTGTGTTGGATTGCTGTGCAGGATACATAAATTGCTCCTGGAAATTGCCATCCCTTTCCTAATAGTCGTTCTTGTTGTCGTTGAGGATATTTCACTCATTATTATTATCATTTTTCCCACAGGATGATAAATATCCAAGTGGATGAAGGTAACCCTGCAGGAATTAGACTAGGCCTTTTGGCCGAAACAAGATCATTGAATATATCTAACTTCTTCATTGGTGGTATTCCTGCTGGAGAAAGCATTTTAGGACTAAATGTGACTGGCTCTTTCCACGGCTGTATAACCAACTTGATATTTAACAAGGAGTAAGTTAAAGTCATTTCCACAAGTACACATAGTCCTACAACCAGTGATTCATAAAATTTACACTCTTGCTTAATCATACACATTTTGTGATAAGGAACACAACTCATTTAGCTTTGCTTCCTATGATGTTTTCAGACACAGCTAATATTTATTTTATTACTTACGTTATAAAGTAATAAAATAAATTACTTTATTTATTTTAAAGTAAATTATTTTATTACTTTATAATAGACCCATCAAGGCGGTTTACAACAATTTAAAGCAATCAAACCTTGTAGCAATAAAAATCGAAACATGAAAAAATGTTAAAATGCTAAAAGGTGGGGGCCAATAATTCTTGAAGGAACACTGTCTTCATTTTGGAGGCAACATAGCAGAAGGCTTGCATACAAGACAGTAATCCCTTAGTCACATCCTAAGCCATTTAGGGCTTTAAAGATGAACAGCTTGAACAGAGCTCAGAAAGCACTTGTCAACAAGTGCAGGTCTTTTGTAATTTGGACCTAGTGCTCTATACTGCTTGTAGGTAGAAGATTAATGATTCTCTTTGGGGTAGACCCAAGTAACCTTCATTTCCAAGCAGGGGCAATTTTGGAAGCATCATAGATGGTACACCAAGTGTAATTCTGCAGGTGCCACTGTCTGATCATCCAGAGACAGCATAAGATTCATACCTGACCCTTGAGGAAGCACATTTTTTTCTGTAAGAGTTACTGAGTCATGCTTTCTCTTGACAGTCTGCTTTCTATGTCTCTTCTGGATTTGCCTTCAGCTTCTTTTCCTTCAACCCATTACTGAAACCAGACAGAGGTCAAGGGTTTCACCTGTTTCACCTGTTGGTGTTAGGTGACAAAGAACAATATAGTTGAGTGTCATCAGCATATTGGTTGCCCTCCATTCCAAGGCTCTTTTAGCAGTTTCTTATATGTATTACAAAAGATAGGGAGCAAAATAGGACCATCAAAGGCTATTGAACAGAAATGCTTCAGCACCCACTTCCAGATATGACCTGACAGAAATGACTGGAACTACTGCATAGTTCCAGCACCCAGCCTAACCAGATGGTCCAGAAGACTATCATGGTCAGTGGTATCAAAAGGTGTTGAGACATCCAAGATAACTAATATGGTAGTGCTTTCCCCGTTGAGTATAATGTGGATAGAAATTAGAAAGGTAATATGAGAAACTGTTGCTTTATTGTAAGATGTAGTTGTTAGTTTACTGTAGTCTTTAACTTCCATTTGATGCACAGCAATATATCCTAAAATGTCTATTATTATTTTGGATGATTTTTGCTTGGCTTAATAGTTCTGGTTATAGTGCACAGACTTAGGTGCAACATCTGCTTTAGAACAGGAACAGGACAGAAAGTTGCAGTATCATTCTACAAAACAGCCTTCACTGGAGATTTTGCCATGCTCGCTCTACTCTGAATGAGGATTCATCCCTTTATTGAGCACCATTTGTCATTGCCTTCTCTTTTCTAATTCTGATGTGGCACAGTTGCACTGTGTACTTTAACAAAGTAATATTTAATTGACCATATCTCCAGCCTAATGTCTAATGCCTTCTCTTAAGCTCAGTTCTTCCAAAGCCTTTATTCTCGCAGATAATTTTAAACCAAAATAAATTCCCCTTTGTAGTTGCTTGTAGGCTTCCTTTTTATAAGCAGAACACATGCAGCTTATTGTCAGGAAACATCAACTTTTGCCTGCTTGAAATTGCAAAGCATGCTGTGAAAGGTGTTTCTTGGATGGCATAATATAGCAGGTAAGACCTGTAAATATTTCACCAAAAACAAGGAACTGTAGAGATGCCTGCCTGGTGTAGCTTTTAGAGTCTCATATATAATGAGACTCTAAATAATATAATTCTAGGCAAGCACTGAGAAATGGCTCAGCTTCCATGTTAAGCAGAGTGCACCTATAAACAGTGGTCCTGCTTTATTGCATTTCATTCAACAACATCAAATTATTTTTTCTTTAAACCCAGGCTTCTGGATTTCACCACTGCGGTAAGGTATGAAGGTGTTGATATGGACAGCTGCTTCCTTTGGGAGAAGCCCAAGCTTGCCATTCACCCAGAAGACCCTGAGCTCTTACTGGAAAAGCAGATGCCAGCCCTTTCTCTGAGGCCTCTTACAGGAATTCAAAAGGTATGCCCTAAAAAACTAGACCAACATTTCCATATGGCAAAATGATCCTGGAAAGGTGGAAGATACATGTGAAAGGGAAGCACAGGGCCAGGTTCAGGTTTACTAACCAGTCAGAGCAATGCATTTATTTATTTATTAGATTTATTTTCTGCCTTATTTATTTATTTATTTATTTATTTATTTATTAGATTTATTTTCTGCCTTATTTCTCACAAAGCACTCAAAGTGGCTTACATCATTCTCACCCTGCTGCTCTCGGTCTTATTCCCACACAGCAACCCTGTGAAGTAGGTTGGGCTGAGAGTCTGTGACTGGCCCAAATTCACTCAGTTGGCTCTGTGGTTGAGTGGGGACTAGAACCCAGGTCTCCTGAGTCCCAGACCCTCACTCTTAACCACTACACCACACTGGCTTTCAGGTAAAGTAAATACCCCAGAAATATAGCATCATCCTGATGTTTCCCCAAGAAGGGAACACATGGGAGCTGGTTGATGAGCCGTTATGTGCATAGATATAAGTGAAAGGGCTCAGCTCTTCTATCTGTTGTCTGCTGCATCCACTTTTCTGCACTTTGTCCTGAATGATAAAGACGTGCTCCTATTGGGTACCAGAAACATGACTAAATTTGGATAAGTTGAGACATGCATGATTCTTTTGTTGATAGTGCAAGTTTGATATATTTAATGAATATAAAATTACATCATGTCATATCTGCCTTGATTTTGTTGTGAGTTGCATTTGAGTTTAATACTTGTGATTTATATGGTGAGTCAAGTAACAGAATGCTCTGGCCCCCTGGCGGACTATTGTGTTATTTAACCAAGTTATTGCATTAACAGAAACCATGTGCAGAGGGTGAAATACTGAATTATGTTTCTGATGCTCATCAGTTCGGCCTTGCCAGAAGCAGCCACTTGATGGTGCTTTTTGATCAGTCTACAGTAAGAAAGAAGTAGGTATATCCCAGTGCTGGTGTCAATCATAGTAATATTAATAATAATACAAATACAATTAATATTTAATGTATATGTTCTTTTTCAAAATGTAAAAGGCTGTGCAGTGTTATGCACCTTCCCAATATATGAGAGATCATAATTCTGATTTCACAAATGGGAAAACTGGCGCTGAGGGATGATAACGTAGGGGACTATCCAAGAAATGTATAGCACCATTACCTCATGGAAAAGTTAACCTCATACATAAGTTTCTACCGGGATACTCTGAAAAACCTGGTTTACAGGGCTTGTATCATATGAAAAAGATGTCTTTTTCAACAGGAGTACATGCCTGAGGAAAGGCTCTGTGATTTCTGTCTGCATCTCCTGATTCCTGATAGTCACAGCTAAGCCAACACAACTTTGTTACATAACTCTCAGCTTGTGCAGAACAGTTGTAATGACAGTTATCCAGGTCGCTTGAGGCTTGCTCCAAGGTCAGGCAAGGGGGGAAATCTTTCTTACAAAACAGCCACCAAAACATTGATTTTTGCCTTCACTTGAAGAAAACTGTCATAAAATTTGCCTATTTTAAGTAGGAATTGAAATCTCTGAAATTACTCAGCTACTCTGTTTCTCCACACTGCCCAGTCAGCCCTTAACATGTTCCTTATGTCTTTCCTCAGGTCTTTCTTCTGTTCAGGTTTGGTTTTCTTTTTCCTTCAGCCATGCTTGCCACACCCCCACCCTCTTTCACTCATTCCCTGCTCTAGTCCAGCGCCCAAATGTGTTTTATTCAAAATAAGATATTCCAGTCCATAAAAAAGCTCTAGTTAGTCAGGCGAATTTTTAAAGAAGGTTGACGAATGCTCTTCATTTCAAAGATAGGGGGCTGTTCTGTGAACAACTCACACTGCATAGTTTCAGGGTAGTTTGTCATGTTGTGTGAACGCTTTCAATGTGAAATGATGGTTCATTTTCTTAAAGAACAAGTGGAAGTTCTTTTGGACTCTTTTCTGACTGGGGAAGCCCAAGGGTCCAGCAGTTGATTTGACTGGCTTTGGTTTGTCTGCCAATTGCCGCCCTGTCTGAAAAGGATGGAGCTTGTCTCAGGTACCAGTGCACTAAAGATGTCCAGGCTGGACATCTGAGTGCTCTTTATGTGGTACTGCTTTTGCATACAGTTCAGAAACTTCAAACAGAGTGTGACTGCCTCAGTGTTTGTGGGGCTGCAGGGATAACCCTCATATGGTGCTAACTGCACTGGCTACTGGTGTATTTATGAACTCTATTTAAATTGCTGATTTTGACCTTAAATAGTTTAGGATCAAATTTCTCTCAAAGGACTGCCTTTCCCCATATCAGCCTGCCTGCAACCTGCGATCAGCAAGAGAGGTCCTCCTCATTTGCCAACCTGTGGGAGCAGTTAGGTATGCAATTGTGCACAAAAAGGTCTTCTCTGCAGTGGCTCCACATCTCCAGAATCTGACCTTCCATCGCTTGAGAGCATATCATTTTCTTTTGTTGAATTCCCTGCTACTGTTTTCACTGTTGTTTTTAAGACTATAGAAGTATTTGTTCTGTGTTTTATTGCTGTATTGTTGGTAGGGCTCCTTCTCTGAAAGGTAAGCAAGAAATATTTTTAGGCAAGTTAAAACATAAAATAAAAGTTGTTTATCATGTATTGGTTCCTTATTTGTCCTCCACAAAAGGCAAGGTTCCAACTCAGACAAGAAGCAGGCAGGGAAGTAATTATCTCCAGTTCTTCCATTCTTGTAGTCCTTCTCACAGTGCTCCAGAGAACTCCCCGGTCTTCTGGAAATTGAAGAACATCACCAGGGGCATGCCTTTCTCCCAGATCCATCACAACTCAATATATTTAAAAGAGAATAGAAGGGATTGATAAAAGAACATTTTCTGTTGGGCTCCCAATGATCTCCAGGTTCTGACCCATTCCATGTTCTATCTCCTAGGCTCTCTGTACAGCTGAACCTCAGAACCTTTGCTTCTAGTGGCCTGATATATTACATGGCTCATCAAAAGCAGATTGATTATGCAGCCCTTCAGCTACAAAGGGGAAAACTTTACTTTTTGTTTGATCTTGGAAAAGGACGAACAACAGTTGTTCATGAAACAATAATCAGTGATGGAAAATGGCATATGGTAGGTATACCAAATAACTAAATTTCTTTCTTTTTAAGGCCAAGCTTCTGCTTGTTTTTCTTTTACAGTCTTTGTATATAGGAAGAAGTTGCTGTTGATACATTTCAAATGGCTGCAATTAGTACTGCTTTTTTATCTATTCACCAAATATTTTGTGTATATGGATATCCAGTCCTTCAAAAATGTGTGGAAGCTAACTTGACACCTGGTGTGCGTACATCAACAGCATGGAATTATGTTCTTAGTTATATGGTTCCAAGTATTTGGTTTATGTTTCCAACTGTCCATGACAGGTTGTAAACAATGTTTCTTAACTTACAGGTGAAGACAGAGTTTGCTAAGAGAAAAGGTGTCATCATAGTTGATGGGCAGGAATCTGTTTCTGTAAATGTTCCAGGCGACGGAAACACATTGGATGTGGAAGGAAAGCTGTATTTAGGAGGCCTACCCTTGGTTTTCACAGCCAAGAATATTGGAAATGTGAGAAGTCTTTTCTTCTTAATGAACCCTTCTTCGAGTGTCTTGTCCATCAAGCAGATGAAAATGAGTTCCACCGATCTCAGAGAAAAGATCTGCCATGAACCGAAGTACAAAACCCATGTGGGGAGCTGCTCCCCATGACTTGCTTGTCATGCTGTAACAGAGTCATTTTAAAAAATGGCTTTCTGTGTGGACTATAAAATGTACAGAATAGCCCATAATAATGCTGACAGCAGGCTGTATCACTGGCAGAAGAATTCCGTGCTTCTATATTTTTGCTCATCCCTTTCATTGCGTTTAATCAGAGTGACTGTGTTTATATGGTGCCACAAGCCACAGTTGACTGTTATCATCAGTTGTTTGTCGTATTGCCTGCATCCAGTCAATGGGGCAGAATATAACTATTAAGATAAGGAAAATAAAATACAATTTATGATCGTTATCGTGGAAAGCTCTAGAACAAGTGAGTTACAGGGCAAGGCCTGTTCTCTTGCCAATTGGATACCCAGTGACATGGCTGACAGTTTGTCGCAGCTGTCAGAGGTGTCCCTCCTGCCTCCTACCCCAGAGGTCTACCCAGAGGGCAGGAGATGTGAGCCTGCGATGCAATCTGTTGAGTGGCATTACTCTATTTCTGGAGCAGCCCTGCTGAGCAGATTTCTAGTTTCCAGTTCCTGCCTGGGAATAAGCTGTTCAGGCAAAAACTGGCTTGGTAGGGATACTATAAGAACAGGGCGTCCCTGTTGAACCCATGGCTGACCCATGGCCTTGAAGAGTTTACTCCCAGGTAGCAGGGCCTTGAGCTCAGTGGGGATGCTTCATGCATTTTGGCATCTAAGCCAAAAACATCCCCCTTTTCTCTGCCCTCATGTGAGAGTAAGATGCTTTTGAACAACATGGCAATCCTTAGTCAGGGTTGTATATTAAAAATATCACCCATCACATGTCATAGTTCAATGTGGGTTAAGTAACTCAGAGTGAGCCAGCTATGTTGTGTGAAAGTGGCTCTGTGAGTGTGTGCAGAGGGAGAAAATTCCCTTATCCCCACACAAGCCCCCCTCTCCAAGTCCAGATTGGATTCCCTACACTTATTGTTCAGAGAGGAAATAGAACAGACATGACTGCACGCCACATGTTACAAGGCGCGGCGCAGTTAGAGTATGTGACTAGCCCAAGGACACCCGGTGAGCTGCCTGGTTGAGTGGGAATTTTAACCTTGGACTCCTCAGTCTGACACTTTAATCGCTTTGGCAGGGTGCCTTATTCACAGTCTAGACACATTTTCATTTAGATATACTGTTTCTTTTCTTTATCTCTGCTAATAGCTACATGGCTTTTTCAGTGAGCTATCATTCTGAAGCAATAAGGTTTTGTTGCTGGTGTGTCTGTGTAACAGTACTGACTGTGGTACTGAACTGTGTTTGCAGGTTACTCACAGTATCCCTGCATGCATTGGTGGATTAGTCCTTAACAGCAAGGAGCTGGGTAAAGAAAGCCCAGTTTCAAGCTTTGCTGTGAATAAATGCTACACTACAGCTCAGGAAGGAACTTTTTTTGATGGAACTGGTTTTGCTGCACTTGGTAAGGAAGCAATTATTTTACTAAACTTAATTTAAAGGGGAAAAAGCATTCCAACATACTCGACTGATACTCCACTGTACTGTTTTCCATTGTCCTTTATTTCCAGTTATGTTTGTTTTCTGTTTACTTACATGAAGAATGCGTTGTATTTTACTAGTAACAGTTTCCTAAGTGAGGAATAGAACTACTACACTGATCCCATTTTAATGGAGGAGGAAATAAAATCCATGTAATGAAGAGAAGTCTAGAGGTTGCTTTTCTTACCAAATCAAACCACTTTTGTGTTAAGCCACTGCATTTACAGCCAGACATCTGCTGCCATAGCACACATATATAATATAATTATAGACTGAGCTGGATCCAGATTTAGTCATACCTAGAATTGCTCTATTGACACCTGAATTGGTCTATTGACATCTGATTTCAGTGGGACTACTCACAGTATGACTATGTCTGAATGCAAGCCGCAATGGCTGGGGGCTTGTCTATACTCTTCCTTGATGACCTTCTGCAGACAGTTTTGTTTAACGAGACAAGGCTTTGGTCTTACCAGCTCACTTTAATGCCTATTCTAACTGTTGCACAGCACTTTTGCTCAGTTGGTTGTTGCATTTGTTGTCGTGTCTGACCCATCGTGAACCCATGGACAACATTCCTCCAGGCCTTCTTGTCCTCCACCATCCTCCAGAGTCCACCTAAGCTCACACCAACCGCCTCAGTGACTCCCTCTAGCCACCTCATTCTCTGGCGTCCCCTTCTTCTTTTGCCATCTATTGTTCACAGCATTCAGCTCTTCTCCAGGGAGTCCTTCCTTCTCATTAGGTGGCCAAAGTATTTGAGTTTCATCTTCAGGATCTGGCCTTCTAAAGAGCAGTCAGGGTTGATCTCCTCTAGGACTGACCGGTTTGATCGCCTTGCGGTCCAAGGGACTCGCAGGAGTCTCCTCCAGCACCACAATTCAAAGGCCTCAATTTGTTGCTTTTATTGATTTCAGTTATGGCTTGACTGATGTTTATATTTTGGCCGCCCTTTTGTTTAGCCAGAGCAATGCAGGTGCCTGGTGCACTTGGGCAGGCCTGGTTGCTTCTCTGTCTTCTTGCATGGTTAGGGTCCTTCCCCTTCAGCACTGGCACAGCTTGCTGGGAGGAGGCATGTAGGTGAGACAGTCTGCCAGAGCAGGCGTGAAGCAAGTAAGCAGGCCTACTGCTGCCTCATTCAGTCCAATAGTAGGACTGGTCCAGCATGGATTTTAAGCCTTCATGTAACCCCGGTGCCTTCTGAACATCTCTCTCAAGAACTTCAGGCTTATTGTTAACTGGATCTGTTGCAGATTACAACAGTCACTCTGTCATAATAAACTAATCACTTTATTATACTGCTTTCTTCTTTTTCTGCCTTGGTAGTTAAAGAGGGCTATAAAGTCCGATCTGACATGAATGTTACATTTGAGTTCCGCACCACTGTTGCAAATGGAATTTTACTTGGAATCAGTAGTGCTAAAGTGGATGCTGTTGGACTGGAGCTTGTAAATGGCAAGGTGGGTTATGAGCTGATGTGATGTATGATGAAATGTTTATGGACCAGTCATGAGCAATGTGTAAGTGGCTGTGAGTAACCGTCAAGAAGTATGCACCTGAGTAAAGTAAGTAAAACTTGAGGTCAGAGCTAGTTTAATTATTTCTGTATAACAGTTGAAACTTCTGAAAGCAGATTTCATTATGAATGTGGGCTTTGGCCATTCCTTACTTATTAGATTACAACAAACTCTGGAATCATGCCTTTAAGTCTTCTCTACACCGTTTTTTATTTTTCCTGCTTTTGGTTGTTAAACTGAGTTCTGCTACTCTATTTTTTGCATAATGAAAGCACTCGCAATGCAACAAACAGTTCCCTTGGGGGCTTTTAATTAAAATTAAGAGAATGAAATAGGTTGAAAAGTTTAAAAACCCAATTAAGACAAATAACATAACAAAGCATAGTTATTTAAAAATTTTCAGCTGTTATAGCAAATAATATATGACCAATGAAGAAAAGCATAAACTATTTTAGGAACAGTCCAAATAAACCTAAACATTGTGTCGTCTAAACCAATGTCTAAGTATTAGTTAAGGTTCCTAGGAATATTTTCCATTAAGTAAGGCTTTTGTTGAATACGCTGAACCTTCTGTTACCTTGAGACTATTATCTTCAGGCTGAAGGGAAAACATTCTGCCTGTCATGTTGCATATATACTTTTCAGTTTATATTGAGATGGGGGAAAGGTTTTAGTGTTTTAAAGTACAATATGTTTTCCACATAGAGGAGAAGAAAAAACACCACATTTCCCACTAGAGCAATATAGTGATTAGCCAGGGGTTTCAAGTACAACTACGAATTTGGCTGCCCTTCCTAGCTGATCTAGCACACCAGCTGGTATGTGGATGGTCATTTGGCCAATTCAAACCCCACCTCAAGTGCTCTATCATGCTTGTACTGAACTACATTTCCCTTCTGAGTCCATGCTTCTTTTTCAAGTGCAAGAATAATACAGCTCCCCCTCATCTTGTTCATTAGTGGGTGGACAGCTTGACTCCACTGCTTGAAGGTGAAGGCCAAGGTCAGTAGGCCATGGTCCTAATACTGTCAGTGGACTCTTATACCTTATCTGTGCTACCTCCACCACCCCTTCAGCACTCATTTCCTTTTCTACATCTGCTGATGGCCACTCTTCCTCCCTGCACAACTGGCTCTGCAACGTTTTGTTGCTCCGGCCAGCCAACCCAGCCCATCACTGCATTTCAGTAGAACCCCCTCTTTACCCTTACATTGTCTAAACCTGTCTAAACAGAGGCTGCCTTCGGAGTGGGCACAGGCAGGGAGGTCGAGGAGGTGAAAGGTTGCCACCAACACAGCAGCGTTCCAGTCCAGCAGCGGCTGCGGTGGGGCCAGGTCTGAGGCAGACTGGGGCCCCTTGAGCCTCAAGGCCCTCAGCAGCTGCTCGCCCATGTGGGCCCCTGGCTTTAGGCTTGAGGAAGATACAAGACAGCCAGTCACACCACCTTGTTAATTACCTATTTTGGTGGAAGAAACATTCATTGTAAATGAGCTGCTGACTTAACCATGGACCGTTTGACTGCAATGAAAGATTTCCCACATCATTGTTAAGTAATGTGTCCAGTCAAAAGAACCTTTTGTTTGACTTGCTTTTTATCTTTATGGCCATTTGGTTGGGTTTGTGCAGGTTTTATTCAGTGTCAACAATGGAGCTGGTAGAATAACAGCTACTTATGAACCAAAAGGCATGGCTAGCCTTTGTGATGGACAGTGGCACAAACTTCAGGCAAACAAAAGCAAGCATCATATTGCTGTGATAGTCGATGGGAATTTGGTTCAGACTCATAATCCACATCTGCAGTCAACCTCAGCAGATACGAACAATCCAATATATGTTGGAGGTTATCCTGGTATGTACTTTCATCACCTTCCAAATACAGAAAAAACCCTAATTATAATTCCCTCCCAGACTTGCCTTGTAGTTATTTGTTCTGTCTGTTGGTAGTTTATGATGTAGTTTTCTTGCAGTGTAGTCCTGTATTATCTACTCTGAATTAAAAGCACGGAGTTCAATGGGGGTTATTTTTAGATAAGATGCTTATAGCCTTGTAGATTTTATATTGCATATCCAGTGGATGATAAAGAAAAGAGGGAGGCTACTGCATGCTCTGTATTTTCACTCTGTAAATTACGTTGAAAAATACTACATACTGCTAAGGTATAATTTTAATCTTTTCCAGAGAGTCAAAAGGCTCACTATGGTCTTTCATTTGTTTTCTAGCTGATGTAAAACAAAATTGCTTGACCAGTAAGAGCTCATTCCGAGGGTGTTTGAGAAATCTCATGCTGATTAAGGGCCAGCAAGCAGAATCATTTGACTTCAGCGAAGCCTTTGACCTGCGTGGAGTTTTTCCACATTCCTGCCCTGGGGCTGAGCACTAAATGTCAGGGAAAACTCTCTATTTTAAAAATCTTTGTTTATTGTTAATGAAAGAGAAATGGTTTTAATGATAATCCTGATCTCAGCGATCTCTTTGTATTTTCCAGCTCAGGACAAATATGTTTAGCTGGAACTTTTGTGGTTCCATTTTTACTTTTTAAAGCCTCTTTGTACAACAGATACCTCTACTAAAGCATTAACAACATTAACTGAGTACTTAAAAAGAGAATCTGGTGATTTTTTAAATCAGTGTTTATCATGTATCTTCTGATTACTTGACAGTATTTCATTTGTGTATATGGGTCTTTTTATACTAAAGCTGTAAGATGGGGTCCATACAATAAAAGCATTCTTCCATTTTAGATGTGTGTTGTAACTGGAATTGCAATTCAGAAAATGTTCAGTTCAAGACAAAATACAGAGGAGTTCAGTGGGATGTTAGTCTTAAACAGGATCTGCCTGCAGCAAATCACAGTTAACTACTGTTGAGATAGTCACATGGATAATGCTGCAATATACAAAAGTGTCAGTAGTGGAAGATGGGCGTTCCACTTCATCCCTGAAGAACTGAGGTTGCAGAACTGAAGGCAGGGCATGTGCTTTGTGTACATTGTCTATGCAGTGATGTTCTCTCTTCATATTGTAGCAAAAGTACAAAAGGTACGGTACTGCAGTTATTGATGTTCCTGTGCACTTCCACATCTGCTTGCACGTGATGCTGAGAAAAACTTGAACTATACAATCAGCTCAATCTAGGCATAGGACAGCTCTTGTGAAGCTCAGCCAGCTCACATGGTTGCAGGGTGAAGAGTTCCATGTTTCAGTGCACTTCCAAAGCATGTTCGGCAAGCAGAAAGCTATAGCATCAGGGAGAAGGCAGTTCACTGTTTGTGGGGACAACTTTTTAACCACTAGACAATTCTATTTTTCCTCTTTTTGTTTTGTAAATGTTTAAGGCAGGTAGAAGACAGTGTCTTTTAAAAATTGAGGCTCTCATATCTCATGTGGTACGTTTTCAGAGTGTTTGATTCGCAGACCATGTATGGCCAAAAGTCATTAAGCCACAATGTGAAACAGACCAGAAAAAGCACAGACTGGTGTACATTCCTTCATTATTGCTTGGCTTTATAAATGCAATTCCTGGAGTTAAATTAATCAGTCAACCAAAACTTTTTAAAATGGGGCCTGTCCTCACGGTTTCTCCATTTTGGCACAAGTATCTGAAGCAGCTGGTATGCAATCAGAGGCTTCCTAAAGGCAGATCTAATCCCAATATCTTTAAGTGACCGAATTTATTTTGTAGTCACACATGTACTGCAAAACAACTTTCTTTCTTTAACCTCCACCCTTTTATGGTGTAGAGGGTCATTTTTGGATGTTCTGGTATATATTGGTTTTGCTTACTGTAAGCTGCAACAAACCATTAAGTTTGTCAAGCTTGCTGTTACATTGCTTTACACCCATAAGTTTTTGACCAATCCAATACACAAACCAATTCAGCTGGAATGCTTTCATTCATGTTCTCTTTCAGATTTAGGTCTGCAGAACACATGGCTTGCCAAATATCATTGGACTTCCCCAACCACTCATTCTACTGGCTAGGGCAGATGGTCATTGCAGTCCGGCAACTAGAAGTCTACATATTCATTACAAGATTAATCTAAATACTGAAGAGTAACTGGCTCTATGGCAGCTCATATCAGATTTTATTTAACAAATACATCTACTGTGGTGTTAAGATACTCATTTTCAGCAACTGCGGCCTTTAATGCAGGAAACATGGAAAAATGTAAGAGATTTAGTTGATACCACTTAAATTTCATTCTGTATTAAATACATAATATTCTTTCTAGTAGGATTGCTGCTACTTTAGTAGGGATGCCAGTAATCAACCATTCCAGACAGATGGACAACAGAAACACTAAAAGGTTTCATTTCAGTTAAGTGTTGGTCCTGCTCTGGTATTATTTTTTTTAAGGGATATACCCTCATTTACTTCCAGCTGTATTTAATACGAACAGAAATAAATGTGCTTAGGTTCCTGTTTTTTGATCTGTTATACAGACATGATTAACTTGGGATAATTTCCAGATTCAGTGGGTGGGTGGAAACAGGCACAAACTCGGGCATGGTAGTCATCATTGTGTAATTGGGTGTGATGCCTGCGTAGTGGAAAAGTGGTCATCCAAATACTGGGACAGAGCTCAGGTAGGTTGTAAAATATCAAAAATGATGTATTTTATAAAAATCTATGCCTTCTCTCAAAATGGTTAGATGATGGGAGTTTCCTATGCACCTTGCCTTCAGGCTAACAGCTAATGCTGCAGCTTGCTGGCAGATATGTAGGTGCAGACTCATTAGCTGCTCATGCTGAGCTAAAGCAGCTTTCAGCTTGCTTCCCTTCAGCTTGAGGCCTAATGGAAGGGGGAAATTGAGCCCTGGAGATCAACACTGGGGTTCATTAGCATGGCTTATGTATAGCTTTATCATGGTAGTTCAAAGGGGTACAAAACAAAAAAGTTAGCTTCATTAGCTTAAAATGTTTCTCAAGTGGTGAAGGAACTGCTGTTTGCTGCTTAAAAGTAAGGGACAGGGAACTGACAAATGAGCTCCTGAATCATCTGTTGATGCCAGTGCCCTGATAGAGTGAGAACAGGATTTCCAATGCAGTTAAAGGTAGGAAGAAAATCTGTCCCCTTACCAGAACAAAAGAATTCTGGAATATAGAAAACTGCATGCCTCCAGCAGTCTTTCTCCTGCATCTTAGTCTGAAACCAGTGAGAAATAATGAGGAAATTGCCCCAGTTAATCTTCTAAAAGACTTTTTTAAAAGGTGAGATGTATCCATGGTCACTATGGTGTACTGAGATTGAAAGTATTAGAACTTCAAAGGAAAATATGTGGACATGTACAGAAAAGAAACTGCTGGCACTTAAGTTGAGAATAGTGGCAACTGTTAGGAAAGTAGGAAACATTTTGTAAAAATCTGCATTTCCTACTCACTTACCTTGTAGATTTGTGAGAAAAAAAGACAGTTGTAGAATGAATCAGATGGAGAAAGATCTCCAGTGTAAAAACAATAACTTGTGAGATCACAACACACAACCACTGAAGACATGATGCACTGGGGAGGATGGAAAGTTACTGGAGGGGGAAATGATTTTCTTTGCTGCCCTTCTTTCCTGTGACATATCATACATTTATACTTGCAAATAAAAAACTCCAATCATTTGGAATGAAGAAACCAGGAAGCAGAAGTTAGATTAGAAACCATGCCAGCAGAAGAGGTACCATGTGAGAATAGTTCTTAGTGCTGCATGCACAATTTCAGACTGGATTCGGACTACATGGGCAGAAGGGAAGCTCTGTTAATGCCAATAATCTGTAGAAGGGATATGGCTGATGAAGTCCATCCCATAATAAAAAGATGACAATACGTGGACAGCATATTCATTGGTAGATACAACTTTGATCAACCGTTGAACTTGTAGTTTTCCTAGAAGCAGCAGTGAGGCCAATTGCCATATTAATACTGGTCAGTTGGATGAGAGAGAATGTGCTGGTATTGCTACATATTTGACAATACCCATCTGAATGGATCTATTAAGAAATTTATTCTGTGTTGCAGAAGCACAGAGGGTAAAATTTGTGTGATCTCTCCTTGCTATCTCTAATATTTAAAATTGTTCACATATTAACATGGGTACAAATTACAAGTAAAATCATTACATTCCCCTCAACTTACATATCCAGTCTTGACAAACAGAGGTTTATGTAGTCCTGTAGAGTTCATTTGACCTAAGGGTTTCCCCTTCTTCATCACATTACTTGAGGTCCACCTTTTGAACAGCAAAGTCAGCCAAACTGAATTCCATACGGTAAGTACCTCAAATTTTAAAGCATCTAGAAATGAGCTTCTGCTTTGCAGGGTACAAAGTTTACAAAACAAAAACACTCCTTCAGTTACAACAGATACAAAAATATAAAAAAACCCCTAGAAATATAAGTTCATGCAGCAGAACTAACTTCCTACTGCAACGGTCAGTTAATGCCTTCCATTGGGCATCTAACACTCTGCCTTAACTTGTCATTCACTCAAGGCTGCCTTTAATTTACCATAATGTAGGGCAGCATCCACTCAATATTAAGCATCCTTATGGTCAAACAGATTTTACATGAGAAATTTCAGGAGATGCTTAATTTTCCAGTTCGAATCAGTGGGTTTAAAAACACTGAGCAATGACTGGATTATGCTCTAAAACTTTAATGCCTTTCTTTATGCTGTGATGAAGCAAATAAGATCACTTCCCCATACTTATACTTACTTCAAAGTGAGGCCATTATTTTCAATAATGCTTGTTTCAAATTAAAATGCAAAGAAAAAAAGTGAAAATAAAATAAAATGAAATATTGAGCATCTGTCAAACAGTTACCCTAGTCCGTGAATGCTTTGCATTATGGCTGTTAAGTTAAAAGGATTTAACAATTTTATGAAGGGACTAAACTTCTTCCAGTCAATCAGCTCCATCAAAGTGGTTCATATCTAGATGAATCAGTGGCATACCATACAAAATGCATGTGTTACAAATTAACTTGTGTGAACTGTTATACATTAATTCATTCATTGGCAAAGCCAGAGAAATGACATTAACATGTTGATATGCAATTGTTTACCTATATATTTACATACATGTGCAGTATAGTAAAAGTAGAAATAGTTTACACAGTGGCAATCCAGGCACTATAATTAACACTTGACTATAAAATGTCAGTTGACCAGGATCAAGTTGCCATTGAATTTTGGCACTGCCCTTTGTATTACATGCTATCCTCCTTTTTCCTTTGAGTATCTTGCTATTAGTGGTCATTCTTTGTCTCGTGGGATAACATTGTACTTCTTCCTATAAAAGTGACAAGCTGGAAGGAAAAAATCCAAGTTGTATTCCACTAACCAAGTTTGTCTGAATTCCTTCATATTCATTGAAAACTGGCCCCTATAAAAACCAGTGTTAAAATGAGCTCATTGCATAATAAATTATAACAACCCATTAACTGAAGAAAACAGTTCTCATGGTCTATAATACATTTGGAGGATAGAGACTGCAAGTTATGTTGAAGATATGTGTAGGCTAACAACTACTTTGGTTTCATCATTGGCAATGTGTCTCATGTCAGAGGCTTGTTGACCATCATTTTGGCATTATTCCAAAGTGCTCTGCCAAGACGTCTTAAGTTTCAACTTATTTTTGGTTTGATAACCCATTCTGCTTGAGGATTTGCATTGTAAACATCTAGCATGTAAGCATCTGGATCCAAACAGTGCTGCCCTGAAAGAAAAATGGTATGGTTTTAAACAAACGCATGCATTATTTTATATAACATACATTGTTTTTATATAACATACAGATGTTTAAACCTGAATCTTCCAAAGTCATCTGGTACACACCTGTAGTTTTCAAAGTATTTTGTTCTGCTTCTGAATGATTTAAAGATTTGAGGACCTCCAGGTGAAAGGAACTTGATAACACTGTGGTCACTGTCAAGATTGGTGAGAAGCTCCTACCCTGACTAAGCTTATAAGCAAACTATTGCAGTATTTTGTCTTTCACCTTGGAAAAAAATTGTAATGTTTCCAAAGTGGAAAGACTGTATGTTATTTTAATTAAGTAACTATTGATATGAGGGATGATTTTGGGAAGAACTATCATCCAGTGAAAGCGCATCCTATGTTCAGTTCCCAGAATCTGCAGGTAAGGCTAGGAAAGAGTCCTGTCTGAAAACTAAAGGACTGCTGCCAGTTAACTTGGACAATACTGGACACGAAGGACTGATGGTATGACTCAATATAAGGCAGCTTCCATGTTCCTAAACTCATTTTTGTCTTTGTCCATGGTAGAGCTTGGCCCCTAGACCTCATGCTAACTTGCAGTACTGGCATGACTATTTGCAGGGTAACACAAGAGGTGGGTAGGATGTGGTACTCCACATCTCCATCTTATGTCTGCCCGCCCACCCTTCTGGTAGTTGTGAGTGGATTGTGTGCCAAGTGGGTTTAGGAAGGCCCTGCCACACTTGCTATGCACTGTAGTTGGCCTTAGGTTCACAGCTCGAACAGATATAAATAAAAACATTTGAACATTCAATGAATGTTTACCTATATTCCCTCCGATTTCATGTAAACTTTGGATCTGCATTTTTGTCTTGTCTGATGATCCATGGCTACAGATTGAAATATATAATAAATATTAAGGGATTATTCCTCTAGAACATCCATATCAGATACAACCATTATACTGCTATATTTATTTTATGCTAGCACCAATCCTAGAAAAAGTACGTGAACCTTACGTAAAAGACCTTATTTCAATTGTATTTAAACAGGATTTCTTCTCAGAGACTGATTTCCATTTTTTAATTCAGATTATAGTCTTCCCTGTAGAATCAACTGTATTTTTAACTTTTAGTAGCAACAGAGTGGCATATTTTACAGTTAAATAAGTTTAATTCTGTGCAAACTTGTGACAATTTGCAAACTGAATAGGATTTCATGTTACGCATTTTGTAAAGTTTGGCTGTGCATTTTTCAAAATTCTCCAGTTACTTGGTTTAACATTTAGTAGAATTCCTTGACACACATATTGTATATATTCCTTTTTCTAATTGGTTAACATACATTGCATGATGCCAGCATAAAGGTTCATGCAGAAATTCTATGACTCATATGATGGTATCACAGAGGCAATAGAATGCAGTAGAATTCATTCATGACCTGGACATTAGCCCTTGGAAGGACCCTCTGTCCAGGCAGGCCAATCACCACAGATCTCTTACCCTATTCCCTTCAGGATTGCTGTGTATCAGATGAACTTCAAGTGACACTGCCTCTCTGCACAGCTTGCTAGACAGATCTACCTAGGCCTAACGCCAGTCTGATCTCATTTTTAAATTCAGTGCAACAAATACATTGATGAGGGAGGCCTGATTCATGTGACATGATTTTGGCCAACAATAGAGTAGTTATTTTATTACTTCATCCTGCTTTTGGTCTGCTATTCTGCTCCTAAAGTCAATACAGATCGGATGTTCCTCTATGCCTGGGATTAAGCAATGTGCATTGCTAAGTCCCACTTCACATGAGCCCATGTTAACCTTTGGCTTGTACACCATTACATAGATAAAAAAATCACTTGGGCCAGACAGGAACAATAAACTCAAACCTTCTTTGTTCCTCAGGGAATTAAGTCAAACTGAAATTAACTAATATAAACATAGTATACAGAATCTAATTTCTTAACTAAAACCTTCCCCAACCTGATTTGACTCACCTGTTTTCACAGTAAAATCGTGCCAGAATATCTTTGGCTTTTGTTTGATTATTCAGCTGAATTGCCATAGAAACCTTTGAATGCAGTGGTGCATGAACTCTTATCACCCCTTCGGGTATGTCAGACTGGAGAAATCAAGATAAACAAGAGTTTCCAAGTGCCAAGAAATGTATGCATCTATATCATGATACCAATACCATGGGCTGTAGCTATGCATATGATTTGTTTTCTTTAAAGCACAAATCTCAGCAATTCAATGGGGTGTATTAAATGGTATGATGCAAATAATTGTAAAAAAAATACATAAATGCCAGATGTCATTGGCAAAACACACTACCAACCCCTTCCCAAACCAAAACCAAAAACCAAAGGTAGAATGTTTACAACAACCAAGCACTATATAGAATGACATACCATTTGCTAGCTTACAACCTAACTCACCTCAGTATGTCTCTTTTGTAGAAGTGCTAACTCATAGAACCTTTGTAGTTTTAATTTATTTGCTCCAAGAAAATGCATAGTAGTTTATATATTCTAAATACTTTTCCTTGCTATGATGTGTTTGCACATATTACCATAATATTAGAATGACTGCTAGATATTCAAAACCATTCTTAACTGATAATAGCTTTCCCGCTTCCTATCATGTTCTGTTCACTTTCATTGTTGTGAACCACTTTGGGAATATCTTGTTTTTAGAAAGGCTCCTAGAAACTATAATATTCATATTAGCAAGAAGAGAAACAACTACCTCAGTTCTTTCTGGCCTCTCCCGCTCCATAGTTTTTCTTCTCAATAGTCTTCGCACACCCTTGTCAAACATTAGCTGCCTTTTTGTATTGTTCATTGAGGCCTCATTCATCTTTCTCACCTGAGAAATCATAAATGTTGGGACCTAAATGGAAGGAAGAAAGACTGCATGACAAATGGTTTCCTTGAAGTTTCTGTATGTGCGCATGTACCCTCCTGAAAGTAATCCTATTTGAGAAAATCCATAAAATTCCAAAATTCTTGGAAACAATTCACTGAGAACAACCATGGAGAACCTTAATGGTGTTTCCTCCATTATCCCATCAATCACAGCATTAGTCTGTGGAAGTAGCATAATAGTTTCTAGCTGTTTTCTTCTCTACAGAGAAAGTTGATGAATATCAACAATATTACTTCCTAGCATTTTCCCTAACTGGACAAAATTGTGCCTGCCTCAATGATGAATGTCTCAACTAAACCTAGGTGGATGAAGCCACAATCTTTGCTGTTGTACTTGGACTCTGTTGAATAGAACTGCTTGTCACAGGTGGTAGCATCTCACTATCCTTCCAGCTTGACTTCCAACTCTTGTTCTACAAAGAAAGTGAGCTTAATCTTGTAAAGTAAGGGAGAAAAAAGCTTGAATAAGGATAGATTTCCTTGTGTTTCGTCAAAGTTGGCTTTCCCTCCTTAAATCTTACAAAAAATCATATAAATCTCTATCTGATCTTTATTTTGCTATTAAGACTCTTTCTAATTGTACCATTACTGCAAGCATCTGAATTATTTTCCAGCCTGGGCTTGTTCAGGATATAAGAATGAAAGTTCCCTGGAAGTGAAACTCGAATTTGGAAAAACAGAAAAGATGTGTTGACTTAGATTTCAAGCTACAAGGTAGACACAAAATTTATAATAACTCTGCAGAGTTTCTCATGGAAATGGCACCCAGGCTATGTTCTGGGAATTTTTCATGACAGCCTGAATGTTCAGAAGTAGAGCTTTGATAATCCTCAGAAGTCATTGAAATCTGATTGTGGCTCTTCTGTTTCTTTAACTATGGAACAATTACCACATAAAACAAGCAGGGAAGCTGTGGTCATCTGGTAGATGGAGAAAAGCTTACAGAAAATTAGGTTTAATTATTTATATCAATATATTGCTACAAAGCAGAAGAAATGGTTTGGAAAAGCTGTAAGTTATGCCTTAAAGGAAATATATTCATATCTTAAGTTAATATTTATAAAATATGATTTTGAAACAGCTGTTCTGGAAAGAATTACTTCAAACAGCTTCCATACTGTACAAACAGCAGAATTCTTTCCAATTAAATAAAATCCATTTTAAACATTAACAACACTCTCTTGGATTTATTTTGTCACTGCATGCAGCAACATTTAACTTTTAACACAGCCACCTTTTTGCAGGGCTTCTGTCCCTTTAAGAGCTGAAACACAGGCAGAGACATCCCAGTGTTCCTGAGTTTCCATGTCAGGAAAAGATACACCTGTTGATTTTCCATCTGGCAATGAGCTGTTCAAGGCACAAGAGTCTTACCAGTACAATGCGCTTATCCTATTTGACAGTAGCATAAGAAGAATGAATCAATATCTTTACATACCATCCACAGGATATCCTGGTATTTGATCAAAAGTCTCACAACATGTGCTGTACTGGCTGCTGCTAGCATCTCTTCTTGGTTTGCACGTTTGCCTTTGTAGATGAAGAGGTTTGGGGCAACAATCATGGAAACATTCCATAAAGTCATTTTGTTTTTCCTTTCATTAGCAACCACCTTCCTCAAGAACTGTAGAAGGGCCTAGCAGAAAGAATGCTACTCAGACTTAACTTACTGGATCACAAAAACACATCAATGTGTTTCTGACTGGAAATTTCTTTGGGTTTAGTTGTAGCATATCTGTTGTTAATACCTAGAAACACACTCCATGACTTTAAGCATCACTGGCTTAGTGCTTACAAAATATACTGACATTAAAAAATGCTTGATATCAATTAGGTTGCAAAATAATTGCCAGCCAAGTTATATTCTGTCTATAAAGGAACCAGTTTGGTCTGTATGTACCATCATTAAACATATTCTTAGGATATACTCCTCTTGCAGTGCTGTGAGTCCCCAAACTCAGATGCTTAAGATCATCCTGTGCAGAAGAGGAGGAGTGGCTGAGGCCATCTTTAGATCCCTGATTTCCTACCATGCAGATTTTGCTGATAAGCCCACAAGAACACTTTCCCTTCCACCAGAAAGCTTTCTCAACCTCAGTGAGCAACAGGTGGGGCTGTTTTATGCCAGCTGTTGGGGCACTTATAAAACTGAACAGCTGCTAGCATGCTGCTTCCTACTTATGACATGGGAGTGCTCTTTCTGATGTCTACATAGGAGTGCTCTCTCAAAGTTCTTTTTGAAGAGCATTAAACATGTTTTTAAAAATTAGATGTAAGATAGGAGTCAGCCAGTCCTCTCTTTACCAAATGAGCTTTCTCTAAAAGGTCCTTTTGAGATTAAGGAAAAGGAATGGACAAGTTTGTTGCTTTTGTTTTTTGTAAGTTTGCTTTTTTCTTTGTACATAATTGGCTTATTTGAAAGTCAACAAATGAAGACAATCAACCTTACTGAAAAGTATGCTTACCTTGGCTGTGGCTCTGCTGGCATCAGGAAGCAACATGATCAGCAGATGCAAAGCCTGCAGCTGCAATTTGACTTTCGAAATTTCTATGGACAAAAGAAGTAGGGAGACCCTGTTTTGTTTTACTTTGTTTTGTTTTTTATATTAAAAATACTAGGAAAATCCAATTTTATGTATTTAGGACACATTAATAATACTCTGTGTAAGATACTGAATAATTCTTTTCTAGAAGTGGAGCCATTTGTCTTGTAAGAGCCATGTTGGATCAAACAAGTCCATCAGTAAAACACCATTATTGGCCTGGGAGAAGTGCCCAGGAAGGTCATGAAGGCAAATTGTGATCTTCTGTTGTAATCCCTCTGGCAACTGGCATTCGGAGCTACAGGGCCATTGAAGAAGGAACTTCTAGTTAAATATTATAACCATAGCTAATACTTGTCAATAAACCTTTCCTCCACGACTTGATAGAACTAGCTGAATGGCTGCTAGAGGGCTTCCATCTATTCTGAAGATGCCCTCAGTTCAGTCCAACTCTAGTTTAAGAGTAAGAGCCATAGGAAGAGAAGGCAGATGGGTCTTGAAGTTGCCCACCAACAGCTACTAGTTGGACAGCAGAGTGGGCTGGCAGATGATAAAAGTCATCTGATGATTAAAATTTTGGTGTGAGAAAATGAATAGACAGATTTTTTTTCATCCTCACATTTTGATTGTATAAAGGCATTATGATACTTTGCAAACTGAGAAGCAGCACAAAAATAATTAACAATATAGCAATAACACATTAGAATTAAAGTTCAACTGTTCACTAAATTATGCTAATTTCTTTGTGCTACTAATGGAAATTTCTTTATGCTGAAGTCTAATGCTCAAGTTCCTCTCATTGCTCTGGCCAGCATTATGTTCAAGTCTTCAGTCCCATGCACACACTTTTTTGAGAGAAGTTAACTTTTGAGTAAACATGCCTAGGATTGGGCCATTTTTACCCTTTCTCTTCTTGACATGTCTTACATACACACTTGGTCAGCTGGATCTTGCATCAGTTGCACAAAGAATACATTTGTTAGGGCTTTCAAAGGAGCAAGTCCGTTAGAAGTGAGTCTTGTCCTCAGGGGCACATTCTTTGCATAGCTTATCCTCCAGGTCAAAAGCAGGCCATCCTTCATTGGGGGATGCCAATCAGTTCTCTTTTGATGTCTCAGGAAGCTTGCCTTTTAGTTCAAAGCAATCTTCTGTATAACACAGTATAGCTCCATCTCAAGTTAACACAAAGTAATCCATTTTCAAGTAATTCATTTTTCCTGTCACATGGTCTAATATTGTATAGACCCCAGTTACCCATTTATTTCTCTCTTGATCTTTTTCCACCATCAAACTCAACTCTATACATATATGGCAGTTCTACTGCATACTATGGCAGATTGAAGTTCATCATTTGCCTGTATTCAGGAGCTTATGGTACATCCGCTGAGTGTACAGAGACAATGTTTAAAGTATAAAAGTATTTATGTTTCCCTGCAAAATAATAATATGCCATTTTATTTTTCCTTTCCTCCTCACTTTAAGAACAACATTGCTAGAACATGGCCTATAAAAAATAATGGCTAGCCACACTGTTGTTAGGTTTAGGGTTAGGGTTATGCATGTTTAGGTAAAAAACTCATATTCCTGACTGCTCTGACATTTCCAAATGCACAGAGGAAAATGCTCAGCTAGCACTGGTCATCTTCAGTCTAGTCCACACTCTTGGGATTCCCATTCTAACATTCAGTTCAGAGCTAGCTTCCTGTGTAAATAGTTTTGGAGACTGGCACAATTCCATAGAAGCTTTTTACTGGGAGGCGGGTGGGTAACCTTACCTCCTGTGTCAAAACATGGCTCCTACTTAGGGATAACAATCCAAGAACAGCTTTTGCACTTGGTTAATGAAGGTCCTTGGTTCCTCAGGACCTGCAGAAGCCTTACTTGCTAAAAGTAAACCTGACTCAGTCTCTGCCTCTTCTTGTTGTTTTTATTCATTTCTACATGGCAGAATAGCCAAAGCTCAATGGGTGGCTCACAGCAATTCATAACCTTTCAAAGATCTCTCTGACCCCTCTCTCATTCTCTCTCTCTCTGGTATGTAATACTCCTTAAAGTTTGCAATCTTTGCCCTAAGCTTCATCTTTTCTTTTTCTGAGTTATAAATTCTCAATGCTGTTTTCCGAAAGCAAATTGCTCCCTGAAGGTGCTAGTTTTCTTCAAAGCTGCTATTTGCTTCCTCACTGGTTCCCAAACCATCTCTTAAGTCAATGCAAGCGCGAGTGTTTACATGTAAGACTAGCTCTTTCTCTACCCTGTCTGTAGAAAATACCTTGCGTAGCAAATGCAAGAAGACTGGCTTAGGGAAGGCATGTCCAAAGTGAAACCAAATTTGCTCTGAACTGCAGCCATTTACACTTGGGAGACAATAGGCTACTAAGTATTCAAGTCAAAAGTGATTATTCTGTATATTTCAGAATTGTGTAAAGACAGTCAAGTCACTGGATTAAGAAGCAGATACTAAATAGAAGGCTGATTGCCCTCTACTTACTTTCTACTAATGTGATGAAAGCAGGCAGATATTCCACAGTGAAAAGGGGACTGGGAAGTTCTCGTAAAAACATCTTTAGCAGTCCTGCTGCATCATTGTTGCGTACCTGATCCCAGTCAAAGGAATCATCATCAAATTTTGCTTCAATTTCTTGGCGAAGACTCTATGAGACAAGACAAAAATGAATAAATACAAATGACTATTAATAAAGCGAATGCTACCTTTTAGCTTTTACATCCTGTTTGGGCACAATGTAATTTTTTTCAACGAAGCAGTTACTAGAGTAAAAGTGCATAATCTTGCTATTGGATTTTAAAAGGTAAACCTTGAAATATCAAGGTTCAATAAATATCAAATAATTTAATAAATTATAATAATTTAATATCAAATAGTTTAATAAATATCAAATGTATGCATATCTTTCTGAATTTCAGTACTGCCATTCAATCCCTTCTACAAAACACTGAGGAAAATCAGGGAAAAGGCAGATCAAAGAGAAGAGGGACCAGGTTTTTAAAGAGAGGCATCTCCACTGGTAGAGGCTTTGCGGGGTGGCTTAGAGAGCCCCAGAGGCTGGGTGTTCTCCATCCCTGTTGCTGCAGAATGACAATCTGGAAGTGTAGGAAGCTCCTACGCAGATATAGCTTTGCACATTCATGCTGTGGTCCTGAATGTAGATCATAAGGGGAGGACTTCAAGTGAGTGACTTTAAAGGAAATAAAAGTATGTGAATGGATACTATTAGCATCACTCGAAAAACAAGGTCTCTGCCATCTGCCTTCACAGTTTTATAGTCCCATCTGCACATCTCATGTGGCCATGAAGGAACATAACCATATTACCATTTTATGCATAAGATCAGACATTAAGAAAAGAGGAAGACTTGCACCATATTATATACATTTGTTACATTCAAAGTATGCTTTAATTAGATCCATTTGCATTTTTAAAAACAATTGGAATGCTTTCAAGTCCTAATATCAACATAATAAATGAAGGCAGTGAGTAGTAAAATCTGGATCAGGTTAGGGGGGAAAGCCTTTTCCTGCTGCCCCTTACTGGCTGTTATTTAGACTTCAATGATCCAGTAACTGCAAATTAAAAACATTACATCTTTCATGTGGATCCCCAGCTTTCCCCATCAATACAGGAAAGTCTAGCATGGTAACACACATCACAAAGTATTGCCTGGGACTCAGAATCATAAATAGTTCCAAAACAAGTACGACAACATCTAACGGTCTATACAACCTAATGCAGAAAGTATTATGCTGAAAAGTGAACACTGGGATTACCCCAAGTCTGGTGATGTTACTTTGTTTGCAGTGCTTCAGCTGGTGCTCAGAAAATTAAAAATACTATTCATAAATATGCTATATTGTTAACGCATGTGAAAAAGATGCTCATATATAGTTTACCCATAGGCCACATTTTGACTAGAAAAGCATTGTTGTTATTATTAGTCGCAAAGTCATGTCCAACTCATCGTGACCCCATGGACAACACTCCTCCAGGCCTTCCTGTCCTCCACCATCTCCCGGAGTCCACCCAAGCTCACACCAACCACCTCAGTGACCCCATCTAACCACCTCATCCTCTGCCATCCTCTTCTTCTTTTGCCATCTATTGTTCCCAGCATTAGACTCTTCTCCAGGGAGTCCTTCCTTCTCATCAGGTGGCCAGAGTATTTGGGTTTCATCTTCAGTATATGGCCTTCTAAAGAGCAGCCAGGGTTGATCTCCTCTAGGACTGACCGGTTTGATCGCCTTGCGGTCCAAGGGACTCGCAGGAGTCTCCTCTAGCACCACAATTCAAAGGCCTCAATCCTTTGGCGCTCAGCCTTCCTTATGGTCCAGCTTTCACAGCCATACATTGCAACTGGGAAAACCATAGCCTTGACTATATGCACTTTTGTTGGCAGGGTGATGTCTCTGCTTTTTAGTATGCTGTCTAGATTTGCCACAGCTTTCCTCCCCAGGAGCAAGCGTCCTTTAATTTCTTGGCTGCAGAAAAGTATTACTGGTTTGTAAAATCTGCAAAGTTCGTCTAAGTACCTTAACTCTTGAGGCAGATCCAGGCACTCGAAGAATTCCTTCTGTTTCCAAACCTGTTTCCTCAAGTTTGAGTAACAGCTATACCACAAAAGACAAGAGATAACTTACACGGAGTTTGTCAGTACAAGAATAAATCATATAGAATGTTTTCAACAACTGGCTCCTACAAACACATAATGGTCAGGCCAAAATACAGCACTATTTGGTTGTTAAGTCACAAGTTATATCAAAGTGGCACCTGGCTGCCTCTGCTGGCCTACTCCAAGCAGTGCCTTGAGAGACCAGTTTCTCCAATTAAGCTGTGAAGACTTCTTTTGTGTTCTCTTGAAGGTGCCGAATGACTGGGTACTCTAATTTTTCAGGGTCTTTGACCTTCTGGAGACATTGACTCCTGCTCAATGGAAAAGTAGAAACCCTCTATGTATTTGTCTGAGAGTGCAGGGTCAATGGGGGCAACATTAGGAACATGGTATTCTCTGTTTGGTTGCATCAACTAAACAAGGCAGGAGTCACTCTTATGTCTAAGGGCTAGACTGTGTCCAATGTTTTCTTATCAATATGTCTTCCTGTATGCCTGGAACCTGATTTTGAAGTAACATAATAGAACAGAACTGTGAGAGACCCAAGAGACCATCTGGTTCTCCTTTCTAATCTATGAAAGCATTACTTATACCATCATATTTTCTGGATTTCGTTCCTTATCATGGCCTAAAATGAAATTTGAAGGTAAATTTAGAGGGCCATGCTCACTGAAACATTCAAGGAATTGTTGAAGAACATTTGGACAAAAAAACCACTGCACTTCTTTATAAACTCATAATAAGTAAGCTGTCTCTTGGATATCAGTGAAATTTAAAAACAGTGTTGCTATGATTATCCTTTTCATTATCTCTATTTTTCTAAACATATAAAATTGATTTTATGAAGAGTCAATCAACTGGAGGTTACTTCTTTCTAGCCTCAGAACAGGAATATTGCCAGCTCTGTTCAAATGGAAAACTGTGTGACCATTCATATGTGTTGTCTTTTCTAAGTATTTGTATTGGACTCACTTTCTGAAAGATGAGAGGGACTTTTATTCCAGGACTCTTCTTCTGATCATTTTCTAGCAGCACTGCTAATGGAACGCCAAAAAGACCATTTTCTTCAGAAAGAGAAATACAAATGATGAGCACTGATTCACTTAATACTGAAAGTCATTAGTCCGTTGTTATGACATGTGATCATAGGACTTACCTCGTCCTTTGACCCTTTCTGTCCGGTTCCTCTTCAGCTCTATTCCTAAAGCATCGTAGAAGGCTGTTAGCTCAATCAGAGCGAGATAGCGAATTTTCTTCATGTCATCAAGAGACAAATCTCCAACTTCAGTCAGTCCAAAACGGCTTTTTCTAATTGTGAAGTTCTATAATATATTATAAAGAATAAGGTTAATGAAAAGATTTGAGAAGTTACTGCTTATGTATGCATGTGAAATTAAATTTTTCATATAAGCATATAAGTTTAAATAAACTTGAGTAAAAGCTACTGTATGTTAAAAAGCAAGGGCTTCAAAACCTCAGGCTATGAACAAACAAATCATACACTAGATCATCCTTTTTAACACTTTTACCTCAGAATAATTATTGCTTACAGTAATTTTCATGTCTCAGGGAACCCCTGCATAAAAATTCTTACAAAGATTGGTTCTAGATTTAACGCAAATAAGGTTGTAATTTACAGCATAGAAAATTATTGACAATGTTGAATGGTACAGTTACAAGAAACCATAAACTAAATCAATGCAACACGAACAACAATATTTGCTAAATAGTGTGTTTAATAAAACTAAAATAAGGAATGAAATTACTTCTTTATTGTGAAAACTGTGCTTTTTTTTTTTTTTTTTTTTTTTTTTTTGCTACAGAAGGACTTAACTCTGGGTTGAACTTTGGGCATAAGTTAGGGAAGGGGAATTTATAGGACCTTCCAAAGTCTGTGGGACCCTCAGTCCAACCAATGCACAATCACTCAGAAGTATCACAAAATTGAATTTAATTTAGATTATTATTGTTGCTCTTATTTTATTAATGTGACATGCCACCCTTCCCGTAAGAACTGCTTCTCAGATTAAGGGAGAAAGGCCCTGCCTGATCTGCCTGTGTATAGGATTCACCAGCCAGGCTTGAAGGTAGCAGCCTCTTCCTCTTTTGTGTCTCAGCATCTGCCATAGAGATAGACCATGCCTGCCCATGGTGGCTTCACCAGTGGCCCACCGCTTCTGCACACTGACTGGAGTCCATTTCTCCCCAGTCCACATCGGTGGCCAGACCCCATTTGTAAATTGCAAAGGATGCACATGATGAAAGGAGGGTGTGAAATAAGGGCTGCCGCTGGTTGTTTAATGCCAAGCACACCAACTCAGCACTGTACCACCTCCCATGAGACTGATGTGGGCACACTTCCCACCCTGGCCCCTTCTTGCATGGGCAGGGACTTTCTCCGGCCCCCTATCTCCTGGGCGACCAGGGTGAGTGGAAGGATTCCTCAGGAAATAACTCCTGTGTGTTTATACTATATTGCTTTCTATCGTAAACTCACATGTATGAATGTGAAACATGATGCCTATTTTGTATACCTATATACTTGTAAATCTATCATGATGTCTCACAGAACCCCAGAGACCTTTTGCAGAATTCTAGGTTTCCATGGAATCCAGAAAGGCCCATTATAGCATATAGAAAATGCTATAGAGAAAGGCCCATTATAGCTAGTGAGACTTAGGATTTTCTACACAAAACATTCACTGTGTGCTTCTCATTCCCTACTTATAGTTATTTATGGGTTCTGTACATGAAGCCTTGAGCATCCAGCTTCACTTCTGAGTCAAACCAGCACTTTTGCAGAAGGATTTTTTGGTTTGTTTTTACGGCAGAGAAAATCTGGTATTTATTTTGCCAAGTGAAGGGAAGTGCGATTTCTTCTTGTGTATTTATGCTATTCTGCTGCGCCACAATGCCACTTAGAGGCTATTTAATAGGACAGCAGGAAAGAGCATGCTTCTTGTGTAGCATTTGGATCTCATGTCTGCAATTAAACCAAAAGTAGATAGCATAGGATTCCCAGCCAGAAAACCACCTCATGTAGAAAAGTTCTCACAGAGCAGTCTGAATGGCCTTGTGTGGCTGTCCAGCAGGTTTTGGGATGTAGTGGGGATTGCCAGGTGGAGAGAACGCTCCACTGGCATCTGTGAGCATATGTCTACAGCTGGTAGTGCTCTGGGCAGCAGATACCTGAAACAGGGTGTTCCAGGTTTGGTATGGAGCAAAGGTGAACTATTATATTCATACCTTAGCTGCTTCTTCAAGACGACCCTATATCTAGCCTACATGCAGTATTACTTTCAATGGAAAAAGCAATACCTTCAACTCTTGCCTTGGTTGGAACAAACCAGTTGGGCTTTGGAAGCAGTTGTACACACATCCCTAACTCCACAGAGTCTTTCTGTTATTTCTATGTAAATTTGCATAGGGATGACTTAAATACCTTGCTCATTAAACCAAACATACATTAATATGCAGCATGGGGGGAAATAACTGCCACATTGTCTAATTATGGAGCTCACATGGAAGAATATATATGATAATGCTTTCTGTACAAATTTCATAGACTAGGGCAGATATGTGTTCCACAGAGAACATATGCATAAACTTGGGAAGATCACTCAGTGTCATTTTAATTATATAGATTCATATGAAAAAGCCCATGAGAGTGTAAATTCTATGGATTAAAGACCTACTTGATTTTGTGCTCATCCATAATACAAACACCTCTGAAGTAATTTAATATGAATACCAGTTTATATATGTGCAGATAAATGCCTGTTTAGGAATGTCTAATGCACATATCTCCACCCTTTGTGGACCTGTGGGGAAATTTAGGAATTTATGAAACTGCTTTGGGTTTCACTGCAACATGTGTAAGCACCACTTTGGTGTCTGTCTATAATGTCTATTGTCCATAGACAGAGTCTTACTCTGCCCTACCCCCCGCCAAAAAAAATATTTTGCTTCTACTAATGACCACAATAGCTCTTTAATAAGTTAGTATCTAATTCAACTATTTATTGACAGTACAGTACAGCTAATGCTTCTTTTAAACATATGTTTTTACTAGTGGTTGCTTCTTTTATGAAGATGGTTATTTGTGTGTAACTAAGTTATGTGTAACTGCAACAATCATTAATATTCACAAATGTACACACTGCTTTAAATTATTCACTTACTTCATCAAAAGCAACAAAAGGTCAGCACAAATGGATCATCTGCACTCTTACAACAGCTAGAATACTGATATTACAACACTGGAAGGATAAATACCTATATTCTGTAATGCAGTGAACCAAGGACCTTACAACACGTTCAGTATTAGAACAGTTGGCATATAGCCACCACCAACTGGATTCATATTTGGATATTTGATCTTTTATTGAAGCTTATGTATAACTGCTGGAAAGTTGTACACATTTCATATAAACCCATGTAATATATTAAGAATGGCGATAATAATTCTTTAAAGATCTGTTGGGGCTTCCTTGCAAGTGCCACTGAGACATCATTGGTGGGCACCATGGCTGTGTTAGGGACTCCTGGTCTAATAGCTTTAATTAAGAGACATGCTGAAAATATGCTGTTATGTGTGTATTATTCAAGGTCGTACTGATACTGAGGATCAAAGAAACCCACTAACTACTAAATTCATGCATTATTTTGATAAATAAAACTATTTTGAATCTATTTGGAGATAACCACAGTAGAGCAGGCACACAGCTTGTCAGGGTGATTCATTTTTATATACATTCCCTTTAAAGTTTTTTAAAGTATAAAAATAAAATTGATACTATAGGGTTCTTTCCTCATAACTTTCTATTGCTTATATTGTCATGAATTCATGAAGCAATGTCAGGCTTTGAGGATCTCTGAGGGTACCAAAATCATTGGGACATGTTTTAATTTTGAGCCACATTTGCTGATATCAAAACAATTTTTTGTACAGCATTTTGGCTTTCTTAGATATTTCAAAAAATATTTGTGGGGGAAGTGGCCTCAGGGAAGGAGTAAATGAAAATCTCCTTGGTAATTTTTCACTGAGGTCTCCTTCTGTCAGAGGTATTATTATTATTTTTTTGTTCCAACATGAAAATACTGGAGATATGCAATGCAAGTTACATATTGTGTAATTCTGGTTGCTTCTACAGTGCAGCTTGCTGGCTGGCTGTTCACCTAGTATCTTTCCATGACTAATGGCAAATAAGTTTGAATAGTAAACAAGTCTAGCAAGAACAAGGTATTGTCATATATCTATGTAAATGGCCATTCATCTCCAAAGAAGATGTTAACTGAGGGACTAAATAAATAGTGCATACATGTGCGCTTAAACTTACAGGCAAAAGAGATTCTTCCTTTTTTAATCTTGGATTTTTATGCCATTCCCTGTGCTTTGGAATCTCCGTGATTGATTCTGAGAACGGAGCTTCAAAGGATAGCTCTTCTTTCATCAGCTGACTGTCTTTATCGAATTCACATTCTAGATAGTTGCTAGCTGAAAGTAAGGAAGATTTTGCATGAATGCTATAGTTTTTGCAGAGAAATCACTGAGAGAGACATAACCAGACATTGGGAGAAAGGGTACAACTAGCAGACTTTTAAAATATCACCAGTTGCCTACAGAGAGAACTACCTGTAAATGGAAGTAACTTTGCCATTCACATGATTAGGCTATTTATTGAGTTCCTGATCAAGTTACTTAGTATCTTCCACCAAGGAAACAGTGGGGAACATGAGGTGTCCCTTTTTGTGCATGTCAAAGAGTCAGAACATTTTCCCTCACTGCTGAGTTCTTGATGGGTCTAGAGCCACATATGTTCAAAAGAGTGAGTAGTGATGATGGGAATGCCTGGAAAACATAGCTTCCTGTGCACTAAACTTGGTCCAATAATGGCACTAGTATCTTGCCAATACAGAGCAATCCCATAGATACCTATCCAAAAGCACATTGCAATGAGTTCAGTGCAACTTACTCTAAGCTAATTTAATGTATCATATTGCAGCCTGTGAAAGCATTGTGTTTTCGTGAGGGAAAACTGAATGTATTTATATGTCTTGCATGTAAAACCAAGGAAGAAGATGAAAGTGTTAATAGAATGAGGAGAAAATGTGTTATCACCCTAGCTTCTGACAGAGGAGCAATGCATTGTAAGAACGGTGAGCTGGTGGAGTGGCAGTTACTGTTACTCTTACTATTGTGATACAAAGCCAGATTTCTGACAGATAGCTAGAAAGCAGGGGCAGGCAACCTGTTACCCTCCAGATGTTTTGGCCTACAGTCCCATGGTCCTTCACAACAGGCTATGCTAGCAAGGTCTAATGGGAGTTGTAGGCTAAAACATCTAGAGGACCATCTTAGTTTATAGTAGGTTGGACTGAACTGGGTGCCATTTCACTTCCCCACAAATTAGAGGTAGAGGTAATGGGATTGACCTAGGATAGAGGGCATCTCCCACAGAGTATTTAAATGTAAACATGACACTGCTGTGATGGACAAAACTCTCTCCTTTATTTGTTTTACAGAATCAAGTTATGTATTAGTAGGTACTCACAGCTGACCATTTTCCAACCTGGTTTTTGCACAGGAAGTTGGATACCATTGGTTGTAACAGGTGATACTGGTATGGCCTCGAACGTAGTCTGGAAGACAGGAAGCAAATGAATAATTTAACTCTGATACAAAACTGTAATATAGGCAAAGTTTATGCTTAGTTTATTTTGTTCTCTGTAGTTTACTGTGAAGAAATCTTGTGTCATTTATTCTTTCTTTTCTTTGCAGTGTGCAAAGGCATGCTGTGGTTTGATGTCTAATTAAAGGTAAAGAAAAACAAAAACTGATTACAAAGCAGGCCCAGATTCAGCCAACTGTGCTTTAATGACTGAATGGGCCAAAGATGCAAGTGATATCCCAATCAAAAAAAATTAAAAAGATAAAAAATAAAAAATGTTATGTAGCAAAAATATGGACATAGGTGAGATATGTTGGAAGCATTAAGTAAATAGCACGGAAGTTAATGCCAGTTCAAGCTGTTGTTCTTGTTGTTACCTCATTATAGAATAATCTTTTTCCATGACTAGGTATCCACATGCCTGATATATTTGGAACCTGCTAATAATATTGAATATAGCAGACACTCAGCAGGTCATGACTTGCCACATTTCCTTTGCAGAGGAATCTGAGGCCGTGCTGAACTGTACCGTCATAGCTATGCCTATTTTTAGCCTTAGAGTGTCATGTTATTTGAGTTAGCGCTGGAAATCAGTAAGTTACTGGCATGATAACAGGAAATAAAATTATCTAGCATTGAACAGGCCATCAGGCAAAATATTTGCATCTTTGATTCTTCTTTATATCATGATACAACTGATGCTAAATCTGTCTTCATTGTTGGACAACATAATGTGTACAGGAATTTCCAATAGGAAAAGAAAATTTGAACTGGAGGAAAAATAGTCAAGGTGAACATATTAGTCTATTTTTATAGCTCTTTATTTTGAACATGAAACTGTAAATACCAGCATAATAACCTCTCTACTATTAGATGGACATTCTAAAAGCTAAGTTTGTCTTCCCAGATTCCAGGGACTAGGAGAACATTCTTTTACACATTTAACGAACAACAATAAAAACATGAACTAGGCAGTATCTACAGAGTTACATTGGTGCATGACAGTAACTTATTGGGCGTTATTCTCATATAACCCCAGTCCTCTATCAGCTTCACTGGCTTCCCATCGAAGTCCGGGCTCAATTCAAGGTGATGGTCATTACCTATAAAGCCCTTAACAGCTTGGGACCTGGATACCTAAAGGAACACTTTCTTCCATATTTGCCTTCCCGTCCCCTGAGATCGGCAGCAGAGGCCCTCCTCTGGGAACCCTCCAGGAAAGATATTAGGAGGCAAAGTACCTGGAGGAAGGCTTTCTCTGCGGTGGCGCCCCGCCTATGGAATGCACTCCCCAAAGAGGTCTGCCTGGCGCCGAAAAACATATAACGATTTTAATATCATGACCTATATGTTTTTATTGCAGCCAGTGTTGGTTGATAATTTTATTTATGTTATATTTTATTGTATTTTATCTATGTGAGACGTCCTGAGGCTTTCGCAACAGGACAGCATATAAATATTTCAAATAAAATAAATAAATAACTTAATGAGAGTGCTCAAAACTGATCTAGGAGTAGGTTAGGCATTATTAAGGAAAGAAAATGTTGGCCACTTAACTGTAGTAATAAGTCACTAGAGATAATGAAATGCAATTGTCATTAAAAATTTATTTAACTAATGGAGAAATCTCTCTCCCTCCCTCCCTCCCTCCCTCCCTCCCTCCCTCTCTCTCTCTCTCTCTCACACACACACACACACACACACACACACAAATACACACACACTTATTAGGAAGTCTGGACTGAATGCAGACTTGGTTTTACTTAAAATAGGTCCATCAAATAGACTGACTTGACCCATTTATTTCAACAGTTTGATTCTAAATATATTATATCTTGTAACCTATCCCTACAAGATATAATATAGAGAACTAGGCAACTTGGTACCCTTTTTGTACCTGTAAATATAGCATATTCTCCATTATGTGCTTTCACTTGGCAAAAGGAGTCAAGTCCCAAGTCCTAAACTATTGGAACAACTTAACTTAACTTCATAAATGGGGCAGTCAGATCAATCCAGGCAATCCCTCACCAACAAGTTTGTCATAGATCATGGTCAATATCAAGTCTGCATGGTCAATATCAAGTGACATCTCTGAAGCTTACAGCGAGACTCAGATTTTCAATTGCCAAAAGGGAGAGAGACTTCCATGACCATGGCTGTCCTCATAACAAGAAGAAACAAACTTTGCAAATCAAAAGGAAAAATGCATATTTACATACAGTAATTAATTTATTTGCTGCATGGGGGTTGGAGAATTCTGCTTTTCAGCACACCTTGGTACACGTTCTTAATGTCTCTGTGCACACCTGTGTACTCAGAAGCTCTTTTAGACTAAACCCTTGAGATATCATGAGTGAGTAACCACAATAACAAGTGTATATTTCAAAGTGTGTATGTCCAAAGCACTAAATAGTCTACTTACTGAAGTGTCATTGATGCCAAAGATCTCACGCACATCCCTGACTGTGTGCTTATTTTTCTTCCTCAGGGTTTGCGTGTAAGTGTTATATCTCTTCTGCACAGCAGCTGCTTGAGTTCGGGTCAGGGTGGATAGTAATGCCTCTCCATCCTCCTCTTCAGATCCTGATATTAATGTAGACAGACCTACATCTTGCAGCCATTCAGCTTCTAGTTCTCCTTCTGTGGAAGAATGGGAATGTGTTGATATGGATATAAGGAATGGAGTAAGGAAGTGGCACCACAAAAAGACTAGTCTCGTTCTTTAGAACAGGACTCCATCTTGTGTTAGGGAACTGACCAGTGGGACAGGCCACAAAATGTTGCAGTGTGGCATGTCCCCTTTCAGTGTTCCAGTCAGCCAGGCATGCCCCTTTTCTCCATCGCTCTTCTCCCATTTTTCTGTCCCTTGCCACAAATAGTCAGGATTCCATGGGCACTCAGTATGCTGTCCTCGTCAGGAAGTTTTGGGGTTTTCCTGTATAGGATTCTCCCCAAGTTTTGTTGTAGTCCTGACAAATATGGTATTTATCTCAACCTGACAATCTCTCTCTCTCATGGATAGATGATTCTGATTACATATGCATCCACACTTGGAGAATGAGTTCCCTGTTAATATATAGGATTTCTAAATGGGGAAGTGGCACTCTTCACTGGGCTTTGGGAGTCCTGAATAAGTGAGAAACTAAATGGGTGTTAGTGATGCATAAAAAATAGGAAAACAGAGAAAGAAAGAGGGCATCAAAGATTTGAAGATTCTAATTCCAATATAGTTCAGAAATGGGATTTTCAGAAATGTGAAAACACATTCTGTAAAATAATATCAATTCAAAATAAGAGATATTTGTTGTCTGGTGTACATCAGTGTCAACTTATTGAAAGCAAGTTGTTTCAACGTACAGAAACAACTGTACGTCAACTTATTATCACCCATTTCCTAAAGCAAATTTATCTTCCATGAAAAAGGGAGAAGTAGTATTCAAAGCATAAATTACAACTTACTGAAGTGGACTAAAGCCACAACCCTACGCATGTTCAGGCAAAGAAAAGGCTTATAACTCCCACCATGCCTGTGCTATGTGGTACAAGGCATGCTAGGAATTACAGGCCTTCCATTCTGTGAAGGAATGCATGTGTTAGCATTATGGTAACAGTAAACCTACTAAAGTGCTGGTGTTTGAGATTACACATGGAAGTGCACATGTGCATGTGCGCATGCATGCACACACACAGACACATGCCTTTCAGAAGGCATCAAGGGTTTGCTGGCTAAGCCTGTTGAAATGTCTCACAAGAAAAAAACAGATTTCCCCTCTCAAATGGAAACTGGAAAAAAAATCAGTCATCTTTTATTGGTAAATAACACAATGACTGTGTCATTCTTAATAGCTTTCTTAACATGTTGATCCCTTGCTAATGGTAGCAGGACCTAGACTGTTTCTAAATGCTTAACTGAGCTGTATGGCTTGCTTAAGCATAGGAATGCCTTCACATGCCTTGGGTATTGACATTCTAGCAGTCCTGGTGCAGCTACATAAAAGTCTTCGGGAGTGGGCTGCTGCTGACTACATTGCTAGAAGACCAGTTGCTGTGGACCATGCCTAGGTGAGACCTGTTGTGTCCATATCCTGCTTGTGGACTTCCCATGATCATCCGGCAGGCCACTGTGGAACAGGATGCTGGGCTCAACAGGCTTTCAATATGCCTGTTGAAAGCAGGGCATCTTATGCTCTTAAGAGCATCCAGGAGCATGCAGACTTGTTAAACCTTTAAATCCTTTTTGTTAAAACCTTTAGGCAGAGTGCAAGTTCTGGGCTGCTGTAAGAGAAGCAACAATACAGAGGTACCTCGGCTCATGAACGCTTCAGTTCACGACCATATCAGGTCATGAACAAAAATTCCATAAACATTTTGACTTAGGTCGTGAAATCCGCATTGGGTGGCGACTCCAAGTGGGGAGATGTCTGTGACCGTGCTGGGGGCAGAGGGGGAGATGGCCACATCACGCCCGTCTTTCCTGCACAAGCGCGCCCGTGATTGTGCCCGTCTTTCCGGCAGGAGTGCAACGGCAATCTCAGCCATCTCCCCTCCAAGCATGATTGTGCCTAGCTCCCCCCACGAGCACACCTGTGTTCGTGCCCGTCTCTCCCCCCCCGCATGCCTGTGATCACACCCATCTCCCCCTGAGTGCACCCGTGTTCACGCCCATCTCTCCTCCCCAACGTGCCCATGATCGTGCCCTTCTCCCCTGCCCCAGTGCGCCTGGATAACAGGCGTGTGCAGGGATGATGGGCATGATCGTGGTTGTGCTGGGGGGGGGCGGGGAGATGGCCAAGCTTGGGGTTGCAGGGGGGAAGTGGTCTCTATCTTCATTAGAAACATAGAAACAGAGCGAGTCAGAAGGGGCCTCCCGGGCCATCTAGTCTGATCTCCAGCATCTGCCGGCTCCGCTCACAACATGCCCACCATTTGCTTTGTCACTTTGCTTCACATTTTTCTGATTAAACAAATAGTTACAGAATGGATCAACCTTATTTACATTGAACCTTATGGGGAAATTTGACTTGGCTCATGACCAATTTGGGTCACGACCAGAGTCCTGGAACAGATTAAGTTTGTGACCCAAGGTATCACTGTATAATAAATGCCTTGTGAACTCTCTTACTGTTACCTTCTGTGTGGCATATAGAGAGAGCTCTACCTGCCATACAGTTCTGGGCCTGCTAAAGCAGCCAGCTGCCCCAGGTTATCATCACCATCAAAATACAAGCCAACTTCTAGTGCAGTCAGTTTCCATATGTAGACCAGGGAGTAAGCACAGCAAAATGTTTCGAGCCAGCCTTGTTCAGAGGTAATAAAGAGCTGAAAGTAAAGCAGTTACAGACATAAAAATGGAAAAGAGAAAATGGTATTCCAGGTTACTCTTACACTGTCAGGAAATCCTTGAACTTGTTCTGTAGACAGAAAGGAGGAAGTCACCATTTCTGGTTTGAAAGAAAATAAGTTTTACTTTTCCCCAGCTCTGGAGAAATACTTTCCCTTGAGATTTTTATCAACACAGGCTGAGAGCAGCAGTATGACCAATTCATTGATTCAGCCTCTGAGGTTACTGATATTCCCAGAATAGATCGTGCCATGTTGTAAATGCCTCTCATGCATTTAAGTATTTTCATGCTGGTACTCAGTCCAAAAAGGCTGCCAGAAAGGCTTAAAAGAATCAGTGAAACAAGACAGCCCCCACCTGCAAGCTTGCAGGCTTCGAAGACACAAAACACAAGGAATGGGAAGGAAAAAGGGAAACTGAATTAATTCCTCCACTGGACTGATGGAATGGCATGAATTTTATGAAACTGTTTGGAGCACAACAACTGGGTCTAATAATTCATTGTTATGCCTCCAAAGCAATCTTTACCAATCTTTACCTCAGTAGCAGTTTCATATTGTTTTTTCCTCTGTGATAAAGAATCTCTGTTTGGGATACATTTAGAAAATCTGGGCACAATCTGGTCAAAGTTGAGCACTTTGGCTGTAGTGCTAAAAGTACTTAATAGGAAGTATATCCTACTATTTCTGGGATTTGCTTTTGACTAAATATGTTTATGATCATCCTGTCCTAAACTTCAGTAGAAAAATTAAACATGCTCATTTCCTGGGAGTTTAATGTGATGTAAATGTGTTGTCTTTGTACAGCAACTTCTAAAAATCCATATGACTTAAAACCTTGGGTTAAATTTAAAAATTAATTAAATTAATGATTAGATTTACCAAATCATTATCTTAAAAAACAGCTAAATTTACCCAAAATCTAGAATAAAGTACAATCCTATACATTTAGAACAATCTACCATTTTAGATTGTTTAGACTGTATCCAGTACTTGGTGAAATTCAGATATTTCAAAGCATGGATTTTTAGAGGAATATGGAGTGCAATGGCAGACCTTATGACTGAATATCAAACAAATTATTCATCTGAAGTCTGGTCTTAAAATCCCATCACACTATCATTGCAAAAGACTTCCTTGTGTCCTGTTATTAAGATGCAGATGCAAAAAGCTAGGTGCAAAAGATGAAGGTCTTTCTGCCCTTTTAAATGATATTCAGAAGCTACACCTACTGAAATTCCCTTTTCAGCTATGAAAGGCACCAGTTGAAGCATCTGTATGGATGAATCTAAAATGTGAGTGCTCACCATCTGGAAGCTTGATTTCTACGAGGGTTTGTTCTTCTTGCCTATCTTCAGTGCTCTCTTTGATATTTTCCACTTCACACCAGAAATCTTCCATGGAAGCACTGTCAACAGAAGCCTGGGAATTGGAACGGCTGTACACTGGAGCATGCAAGGATTCATTGGAGAGCATTCTGCTAATTCTTTGGCATCGGGGGATGGATTTTCTGGAGGAAGAATAAGAATTCAGAAAGCATAAATTATCTAAACTTTTGGTCTTACTGGTCACATGGTGCAGATTTTCAAACGGCCAAAATTAGACAAGTTCATGCTGAAAGGGTCGAACTCCAGTGCTGTGTTTGTGCCTTGTGTGTGCATTAAGCTTGTGACAGGGCATGGCTCAGACAGGGAGCAGGTGTCAAAATCTGGAGCTGCTTACATCCATTAATTTCCTATTTGAGCATCAACCAAAAGCCTCATTAACACCCAGACTGCTGTCTTGCTCCTTGTTTCCTGTTTGATTGCATATGGCACTGCATCATTCTGTGTTTTCAGTTCTATCCATGGATCAATGGTTAGATCGCAAATGATTTGAGACAGGTAACTAATTTATATCTCCTAAAATAATGAATGTCTAGACAACTATAACATAATAATAGTAATAAATGCCTAGTACAAAGAAAACACAATACAATGAGAGCAGTAAAAATCTGTATTTTTAAAAAAAATACATTAATTTTCAAGTAATGTTACATAATGGATTACAAACATTTTAATAATCAGAAAAAAAGAACTAGAAAAGGGAGACATTAATGATAGATTGCATTATAGTTATGTTTTCACTTCATGGTAATAAATTGTCAGGCTTTTAAATAATGGTTCATGTTACAGCTTGCTTATAAAAGACTCAACTCTGAAGGAATCAAACAATTAATGAGAAAACAAAATAACAGATCCAGTTGTGCACATGGCCAGTATTTATAAAAAATGCAAAAAACAAAAAAACAAAAACAAAAAACCCCGTCCAGCATATCTATGATTTACGTAAGTACAATACAGAAATTTCCTTGGTCATCAGTTAGATAAGGAAATAATCCAGCATTTTAAAACAGAAACTATTATTCTGTTCTATGTAATATTATCTCTTTCCACTATTTTTTTCAAGGAATACAAATGGTTCTGTATTTAGGATGCTTATGATTTCAAGAAGGATAAGGCATGGCCAGGATAATAAAAGAGACAGCTAAATGATTATAGCTAATGAAGTTAATTCCATTCCAGTCTGTTTACTAGGGATGTCAGGAGAAAGCTATGGAGCTACATTCTTAAGGTTATATTTACAGACAGCTTTGTCTTCTAAGAGAAAGAGGGACTAGCTCTCCCATGTTTTCTTTCCTAAAACTGGTAAATTCCTGTGCAATTACTTGCATGGATAAAACCCACATCTATGAAGATCATGAGTTTTGACATAGAAGGCTGCATGTAGCTCAATTCTACTGTGAGGCTGGAAGGCTCTATTGCAGTAGATAAAACTGGAAATATTACCAGATAGAGGGTGGGGAATAATCATGATGTGAAATCTGAAGGCTGATAGAGCTAGCCAAGTTTGGGTACAGGGGCAGAGCCCAACATGGAATGAAAACCATGTTTATTTTTCCATGGAGTCCACATGGACCTTCAGCTAATATGTTTCCCACCCTGGGTGAAAATCTCATACCCAATGGTCTGGAAGATGGGTGAAGTCATTCTTCTTATATAACCTTGTAACCGTACACAAGGGAAATGACAATGCAAGGGAAGGAAAAGAGTGTTTAAGGAGGCAGGAGCTGAACCACAGCTGAAGAGTGGCATGACTGGCATCTAAAGGCAAAGGCTGCAGCCAACCGTTCCCAGTGAACAACAGAGACAAAGAAAACAGGGTGTCGTAAAGGCATCCTGATGAGCCAAGCCAGCAGGAACATCACCGAGACAAGTGACAGTAGGTGCAGCCCTGAAAGGGGAAGGTGAACAACTCAGAGCTAACTCTGAGCCAAGCTGGGGTGGGTTGACAGTGTGTGGCATAAGGCTGGCCTAGCATCAGGAATCTCCCTGGGTTTCTATTGATTTGTAGAAAAGTGAAAGCTATTGAACCCCACCCTCTTTCCTGTATCCATCCTTTGGAAAACCAACAAGAAAGGTATGGAGCCCTACTGCTTTCCCCAGTTCTACAAATCTAGGCACTCTGACTGGATGACATTACAGGAAGAATCTCCAGGCCTCCATAAAACATCATGGCTAATACAAAGTCCAGTTTGAAAATGAAGATGAACTAATTACCAAAAATCTAAGCAAATGCAATAAATAGAATTTTGGAGAAACCATTTCTATTGATAGATTAGGAAATTTATCACGCAACCTGATGATGTAATTTGATGACAGACATTCAAAACCAGAATGTATTAATGGTTAATTTATTTTGCTGAGGGTTCCCCCCCTTTGGGTAGTGTAAGTATGACTACATACAGCCTGATAATTCTCAGCATGGTCTCTTTATTCCATGCAACAAAGGCAAACAACACTTACATGAATAGCTGCATATGGTAGCAACTATCCAAGCCATATTAATTTTGGAATAATTGTATATGCAATCCATTTCAAGTGGAAAGACTGCTGAGGGAAGAAGAAAATACAGAGCAAGGATTGGGAATGTGTGGCCCTCCAGATGTTGACAGCAAGTTTCATCATCCTTCACCACTGGTTATGCTTGGTAGGAATGAAGGGAGTTGCTATCTCACAAGATCTGGAGGGCTGCAGGTTCCCCAACTCTGAGTTGATGGCTTGTTTTGGCTTAGAGTCTATATTAGTCACTGCCAAGGAATCCAAATTTTCCTGCTTCACAGAAGGAAGAACACTGACCATGATCCTTGACCTCCCCAAGCCTCACACCCTGAATCATTTGTTACTTTAGCTACCCCAAGTGACAGCACTTGCAACCATATTAGGGAGAAACAGTTTGTAATTTCAGAAGGAATTTTCTTTTTTTATGGTATCACATAACAAACAAATACAAAACAGATTATGTCATGCTTGGAATATGTGGAGTGCACGCAATATTTAACTAAAGACTGAATCACAGCAAATTCGAAGTAAATTTAAAAATACAAAATGCATCTAGAACAGCTGCAGAGGATCTTTAAATGGGAGAAGTATTTCCAGTTTGTTCAATATAGTTATCAGGTAGGCACCCAGATGTGTCCACTTTATTGATAATCCTGGATGACAGTAAACAAACTTACTATTTTCTACTATTCTACTACTCTACTATTCTACTAATAGTGTTCTACTATTTTCAATGAAAACAATTACAAGTTAATATCCTTAGGATCACAACCCAGGTAGGTGGGGGACAAACATCTCCAGGCCCCCGGGCATCTTTCTCAAGCAGCTGTCCAAGCTGTGAGTAGAATGCACCGTGTTGCAGTGTTTTCTTTCTACTTGGACGGATGGTTCCAGAGGTTGGTGCTTGGGGAATACTGCTTGGCTCCATGGATGTTAAACACCATGGAGTTCCACAAGGATCAACCTTACAGCCCATGCTATAAGTTCTACATGAAATTGCTGAGTAGGTTCATCCAGAGCGTTGGAGTGCTGCTGTCTCCCCGGACACTGCAAACGACCTCTGAGGTCATCTTCTGACTGCTATCTTCAGGGTGGAACTGGAGTAAAGCAATAATGAATGGCCCATGAGCAGAAAATAATGAAGAACAGGTCACCTTTAAGAATAATACATTCCTTCTGGCATAAGCTTTTGTGGATTATAGTGCATTTCATCAGATGTATGGAATATTATGGGAAATTTCAAGTTTATATACAATATAAACGTGTGTATGTGCATGTGTGTGAGGTGATGAAGGAAAAATTGAGGGAAAAGAGTAAGCTGCTAAAATACTCTGTTGTCTTCTTGCTAGTTAACTGAAATAGGTGCACGTTGGTGTTTGCAAACCTACAGGTCTACTCAAAACTACATATCACAATATTCAATAGGTTTTACACCTAGTTATGTGAGTGTAGGATTTCAGCTAGGAATATTTTAGAAATATGCAACAGACTCAAATACATTTGAATTTATAAGAACCCATCCTGTGGATTCCACAGTGGATCAGCCTTTCCTAAACTGCAGACCAAGGTTTTCCTTTCTTTTTCACCTTATATTATGCAAATTTGGTCATAGAAATGTATGAAAAAATAAGCAACAATGTGCATTTCTTACAAAGACTAAAGTAGTAAAATATTATTTTTCAGGGATTTAAAGAATCATAAAATCACAGAATAGTAGAATTGGAAGGTGCCTCTAAGACCATGGAGTCTAACCTCCTGTTCCATATAGGACTCCATGCTAAAATATCCCTGACAAATAGCTGTCCAACTGCCTTTTGAATGCTTCCAATGCAGGAGTGCCCATGACTTTTTTAGGTAATTGGTTCCACTACTGTACTGCTCTAACAGTCAGGAGGTTTTTCCCTGATGTCCAGCCAGAATTTTGCTTCCTGTAATTTGCGTCCATTATTCCATGCATACATTATTAACACATTCCTTGTCAGCAGTCCTTCCGGTAGCATATTCTGTGGTCCCAGAATCCAAATTTTGGCATCACCATTGTAGCTAGTTGTTCATCTGGAGAATTTTTCTTTCCCTGTCTATTCCTTTTCCAAGAACTGGGAAGGTAGATGAGGAAACTATCTGCACCCCACAGTTCACAAGTTTCCGTTCCAGAAATTCAAAATCTGACATGATTTCTTTGTAGTGACAAGAAATATGAGATTTCTTTCTTTCCATTTCGCAGTATCATTTATTCACGCATGGTTAGGAGAAAGAGATGTGTCAGTGGACTTTATGAGCTTTGGCAATCTTTCAGTCACGTATCTAATCTGAGCTTCAGGGACACAGAATAACTGCCAAGTCCATGGGTCATCGTGACATACTTGTGTTCCACTCCCACAATATCCCACAATGACCCCTCTTCTGTTCTTCTTTGTCAACTGACCTTCTTACTCCATGTTGCACAAGTATCCTTGTAATACTTGCAGCTGAAAACAGTTACTAAACTCTAGTGTTACAGAGTTTCTTCTGATTCTTCTGATTTTTAATTTGAAAGATGAAAATTTGGAGCTAATGGACCAGGGGCTCCCTTAGCACTGGGGTTAACGCAGCTATCAACAGCTTTGAAAGTTCACATTTATGGTGATGA